CCCCTCCCCTCATCCCTCACCCCCCCACCACCCCCTGGCCACCAGCACATCAGCACTCCTGCATTCGCTCAGATCCATGATCCGCCAACGCCGCCATCTGTCACGCTAGCCCAACTGTCCGCCCCTGTTGGCTTTCCGCTGTGTGTCTCCGCCGCGCTCCACGACCACATTCTGGCCAACGTTCCCAACGCCCGCCCGGCAATATCTGCCACACATTCTGCCACGCACCCTCGAGAGCGTCTGATCCACGGTCTGACCAATGTCGGCCCCATGTCATCCCAGCCGAACGCCCAACGAAATGCCTCGCCCACCGCACCGGTGAGGTCAAATGCGCTCGAGCATCCAGCCCATGGCCCGTCGACGCCCACCGCCGATCGGGAGCCTGTGACGCGGAGACATCTCTCACACACTGGCCGCTCCAAGACAGCACCCATCACTCAGGAGAACAACCTGTGGAAGTCATCTGTCGACCGTCCCCAGCTGTCGGAGCGCGACAGCATATTTGCAACCACGTATCTAGCGGCCGATAGCCCAGGCAGTTCCCCACGACCTAGTGCACGAACACCAGAAACGACCAACGATGCTTCTGAACACCGCATATCAGATAGGGCTTCCCCAGTGCCTCCCCAGAGGAGACTGATAGACCCGCCCATTGCTCGCAGAAAGCAATCCACATTCGCCCCTTCAACGCCCATGGACCCTCAGACATTGCTTGCGACCGCTTTCAACCCGCAGCCAGCCATGGCAGCCGGTGCGGTCCTACAAGACCTTCACCATAGCCCTCCGCCCTATATGAGTCCTGTCGATTCGCCTTTACAGCGGCCGGTCACACCACACCATCCCGACATGCAGTCCACGCTGCATGAAGCGCTGTTGGAAAATGAGGAGAGGTGGAGGAACAGAGAATGGCGCGAGGGCAAGCCCGTACCGTTCAAGGGCTCCAACGCTCTACAGGATCCAATAGTGGACATCGCCATGGAGCAAAAGATGGAAAAGAAGATCGAAGCCACCTTGGCCAAGACAGAGCCACCAACTGCCGCACGAAGTCGAAAAGCCAGTCATTATCTACGGGTGTTCAAGGACGCGGACAATTCTGAAGACCATAAGAAGCGGGACAACAAGATCAAAGACCGTCGGCCCGCAGAACGAACACCTTCGACGCATCCAGAAGAGACATCAGTGAAGGAGGTGGCTGACATGGCGGAGCAATTGCCACCAGCCGCTCTTGCCTCACCAATCGCACATTCTCCGCATGCTGTAGCGGCTGAGTCTAATTTTGAAAAAATCCCAACACCTCGAAAAGAAGGACGCCAAACATCAGCGTTGAGCAATCGCGACCGAACACAGGTCGACCAAGCTACTACGAGCCACCACGAATTACCCTATCGCCTCTTAGAAGAGATTCGACGGTTCGGTACTCTAAGTCCAGACACAAAGGCAGGCTCGTCAGTACCGCGAAGTCTGCCCGCATCCGCCGTAGAAAAGCTGGACGCACATGTCTCTGCAAGGGAAATTGCTCCGCATCATGAGGAAGAATCGGTAGATTATTTTCAGGCCAAAGAAGATGAGGGTGCCGAACGTTCCCCCGCATCTGAGGAGGAGGATTCAGAAAGAGAGCAAATTTCATCCGCCCTCTACTTCCCCCATCGGCGGATCAAAAATTCTGAGCCGACTGTGGCGGACCAACAGGACTCTGTGACGGACGTCAATAACGCACGAAAAAGGGCATCGATTCACGAGACAAAGGTACCCAAAGGCTGGGCGACGGAAGAGCAAGTTCAGACCCCACAAGAAGTAGAAATTTCTCTACAGTCCCAAGATACAAATCAATGTCTGCATGGTGATATTCCCACAGCGGCTCCTGTGCAGCAAGACGACGACGTCCAGCCGCTAACGTCGGCGAATGTCGATGCACTTTCAGCTGAATCTGATTATGAGTCGCTCGCTGAATCCACGCATTCACTTCTTGGCTATGAATCCAGTGCGACTGATGATCTAGGTACAACGCCCACTGCGACCAATCTCAAACAGGAGCCCAAGGCTGTCTTGGCTCCGCAGTCTCAACCACCCGCACCGCTTGGTGCGGTGGAGCTCAAGCCATATGATCATCAGGTTGGTGGTCACTCCACCGTCTACCGCTTTTCCAGAAGGGCTGTTTGCAAACAACTGAACAATCGAGAGAATGAATTCTACGAAACCATTGAGCGCCAACATCCGGAGCTCTTGGAATTCCTACCAAGGTAAGCTAAGCCTACCGCTTTCTGATCGGCTTGAGGCTGAGACTTCGGCAAGGAGGGAGCCGTGCCATTACTTTGTTGAACCTGCTTGCTAATCATGCGTCATTAATGTAGATACATTGGAGTCCTGAATGTCACGTACCGAAAAGCACCCAAGAAGAAGAAGATCGCCAAGGACAAATCCAAAGCAGATAACGCACCTACAGCATCTGCTTCAGAGTCGAATGCTACATCCAGGCAGCAATCTGTTGCTCCTTCTGACAGAGGTAGAGAGGATCAGCCCCGAGTGGTTAGCCATTCCCAACAGATCACCGCTGTGCCTCAGGTAGTGTTTGAGAACAACAGGCACATCATCCCCGAAAATCTGTTTAGGCTTCCGCCGCGCTCGACTACTCCGGATCCATGGATGAGAAACGCAGCTTTCTCGTCGCAGTATCATCGCCGGAACCAGAGTGATTTCGTTGTTGCAAACGAAGGTCAAGCGCGGCCTCCATTGCAACATCACAACAGTTTAGGCGTGACGACAATCAACAAGAAACTGCAGGAAGAGGTGCTTCGCCAGGTGTTTGCACCGCCGCAAATACATCACCGTCAACGTCATCATCGTCATCACCATGGTATTCCATCTCGTAGAGCGGGTGCGGAATCACCACAATCCATGGCCGGATCAGTTCCGAACATTCGAAGGAATAGTACGGATGTATCTGGACCCCATGCCCCGGTCACTGAAGAAAGCACTAGGAAGCAAGTTTTAAAAGCCGAAGCACACCGTCAGGTTTCTAGGGAGAGCGATTACATTAAGCCCGGGTCTTTCGAACTTTCTACCACGAAGAAGACGGAAATGTTGCAACCGCCTGCAGGGCCCAAGTCTCGAAGACGACACTCTGGGAGTGGATTGACACGGCGACCTCTGGGGATAGACTCAGGCCGTAGGCACAACCTGGAGTACTATGAGGAGGATGGATATGGCGGCGATGCAGAGGAAGAAGTTTTCGCCATGGACGAGCTATCTTCCCGTCTGAACAGCGATACTAACAATCCACTCACTAACGGTACCGCGTCCACTGATTCAGGCGGGTCATCGGAGAAGCCTGCCGAAGGGACCATGTTACCAGCTCCCATCGCGCCTAAGCAGGAAACCGTCGCACGTCCTGTCGAGGAAACTCCTGTTTCCGAGGAAGCCATCCCCAAAGAAACAGAGTTTCAGCGCGATGAACGTGTGCAGCAATTCATTCTCATGGAGGACTTGACTGCAGGCATGTCAAAGCCTTGTGTTCTGGACTTGAAGATGGGCACCCGCCAATACGGTGTCGAAGCTGACGAGAAGAAACAACGTTCGCAACGACGCAAATGTCAAATGACGACCAGCCGAGAACTCGGTGTGCGTGTTTGCGGCATGCAGATATGGAATGTCAAGACACAGAGCTACGTGTTTGAAGATAAATATTTCGGTCGTGACCTGAAAGCTGGTAAAGAGTTTCAGGATGCTTTGAAACGTTTCTTCTGGGACGGCACCGGGTACAAGGCAGCTACAAGACATATCCCAGTGATACTGGACAAAATCAGCCAGCTTGAACGCATGATCAGGCAACTTCCCGGCTACCGCTTCTACGCCAGCAGCTTGCTTATGCTCTATGATCGGGGAGACGGCGAGTCAAAAGACAAAGATGGGTTGCGACCTGCTGGCAGCGAACATGGATCTGCCGCACCATCCGGACCCGGGTCGCCTGGTCCAGCGCCAACACCAAGTTCGTTGTCGAAATCTTATCCCGAGATCAAACTCAAGATTGTCGATTTCGCGAATTGCGTCACTGCCGAAGACCCACTTCCAGAGGACCTACCCTGTCCTCCGCAAAGCCCAGATGGCGTGGATCGAGGATACCTCCGCGGCCTACGCTCCCTGCGACTGTACTTTCAGCGCATCTGGCAGGACACTTGTGAGGAATGGGTCGAGCGTGGCGAAGGCGATGGCATGGTACGCACCCATCATCACGGGCCTGGTCTGGGCGAGGTGGGAGGTGGTTGGATGGACGATACGGGGAGCGAGGATACGGGCTATGTTAGCTTTTGAGGGATATTTTTTTCTTCTCCTTTTCTTTCTTCTTCCAGTATATTTCCTCGTTCAAAACAGTGTGATTTGAGCGAGGGGCGCTTGCTTGGTTGGGACCAAAAAAAAAGGAGAGTCTTGGCGTCTATCGCGTGGTTTCCACTTTGTTCCTTTTTTCTTTCTTTCTTTTTTGAGGTTCAGCGTGGCGTCTATGGGCATGAGATTGAGATTGAGATTTGAGATCTTTTAATGTTTTTGTTTTCGCGGGAGGGGGGTAAAGGGTTAACATGCATTAGCGCTTTCTTTCTCTCTTCCTTTCTCTCTTTCTCCCTTTCTTCTGTCTTGTAGGGCTTGTATGCGCATGGGCGGAACTATTTTGCAACGTGTCTAGTACCTAGGGATGCATGGCTTTTTTTTTGGCTACCGCATTGTGTATCAATATCAAGTGTGGACCTTGTAGACAACTTAGTTAGCTTTGTTTATTCATTTGATTTATTTGAAAATGTTGATACTTTTGTGCTTGATGTGGTGTAGTGGGTGTTTTTTCTTAAGAGGGAAATGTTGACTTGGAGGCTTTGGGGCGAGGGAGAGGGGGTATGGATGGGGTTTGGCGGGTAGATGCATTTTGTATCTTTGTTTTCTTTATTACATTTTTTTTTTGGTTTATAGGGTTGATGGGTTTGATTGTAATGCAGGAATTATGCTGATGCGGCTGGGTTATTTGGATGCAACGATGGTGTCTGAATACCTTCTTAATCACAACAGCTTCGTCAACCGTCGCGTCCAACCGATTCCGCACAAATTACACATTATTCGCTAGTCCCCAGTCCACCCAAATGACCATGCCCAAGGTACACTCTAAGGCCGGTGGCCAGCCCAACGCGTCTGCCCCCCTCTGTCAGAAGCATCAAGTAGGGAATCTTGCAAGCACTCGAGTTCCTCTTGCAGTTCGCCCGTGTCTGGGGTCAGCGAGGAATCCACAAAATCAATGAGCATGATGGAGTCTGAATCGATGAGGAAATTGTGCCTGTTGACGTCTCCGTGTTTGATGGCAAGCGCGTGCAACTTTGCCAATGCTGATCGACAAGCCTTGTAGTCTTGTGAAGCGGCGGGTCGGCAGTCGGAGACGCAAGCGAGGAGGAAGCCAATGACCCTTGTCCCCTCTGTCAAGTGAGCGAGAAACTCTGGACCGATTTGGTAGCCGTCTATACGTTCGTATACCGCCGTCTCTGTCGGAAGCCGAGGGATTTCCCAGGGAAAGCGGGCGAATTTGGCAACGGCCACTTTGCCAGGGAATCGCTCAGATGTGGCCTCGTACACGTTTGAATGCAGTTTTTCGCCGAATTGGACGTCTAGATGATTGACACGAATCGGGTGCCAGATGCTCGTTATCCCGGGGAGTGTTGTTTCTGGGGCGAGGGTGAAGCGAGCAAGGCTGGTTAGAGGATCGCGGCCAAGACGTGCTTGGATCCATTTACCTGGAGGAAGAGGGGGCAATAGACTGATCAACAAAGGACTAAAACATATCTCATCAAGCCCAAAAATACCTGCGTCTATCGTGATGTATTTGACGGATATGTTGTCGACCAAGATTCTGAATTCGCTGTCGCCATCTGGATCGACGGTGCTTGCAGCACCTGAATGCGTGAATGATCATGCGCCATTGCGTTGGAGATACGGGAATAGTTTGAGGCTTTCGTGGAGGATATTCAATGCTTGATCTGCCAAGGCTGGCTTGTTTGTTACACACTTTGGCCGCCGTGGCGTTCAATCACTGCTACCTAGGAACGAACGCGCTCAGCAGCCAATCACGACATGAAGAGTTTTAGCGCGCGTTGGCTGAAGACATCACCGTGCAGTAGAATGGAGAAGCGCGTGCCTGCAAAGAAGACGTTTGGGTATCAGCGTGACACGGAAAGAAAGAGACTAGAGATCATCGCTCAACAGTCGCACAATACACTCACTCAATCAGCGATCGTTTTTCGTCAGAAGAAGTTCAAGGCGGTGGTCGAGATCGCAATCTCAATCGGCAGGGCCATGAGGACATAGCCTACCAATGAATTATACTCACACGTGCCTGCCATTTCTAATAGTCCCGCATTGCTTTATGTGCTCATCAAATGATGCTGCCCAAAATCGCCGCCGGTAGTGAAAGGGGGCGCGACCGGATTCCTTGCAGCCAAGGCAGTGAAAGCCCCAATCCACCTCTTTGGACTGATTATTGAACCATGGCATATGGACTACAGCGACGAATCGTAGCGGATTTCCCGAGCGTGCATCGATCGGTGGAGTTCGAAAATCGTGTATTCGACCCATCATCGATGTTGACTGATGTGCTGTTGCCGTCGTACCTGTACCGGAATTCCCAAGATTTTGCTCAACCGTATCTGACGCATGCTTCTGCAAAGCACTTTCAGACCCATCACGCTCGATACCGGCGCAAAAAGCAGACTCGTAGTCAACAAGCACAGTACAGGGAGCGAGTTTCTCATTTGGTGAATATCGACCAGGTATCACCCGCATACTAGGCAATCTTTCCACGGTTGCTTTGTCCAATCGAAAATCTCGCTTGGCGTTGCGAATCCGCAGCGGGAGATACTGTCTTAATTGCGTCAGACACAGAAAGCAAACGCGTCTGCTTGTCATGAGATAGAGGTATCCACCAAAATCGCCGCAATGCTCGCACTCTGGTGTACACAGCCTTGTGTGTAAAACCTTGATCGTAGTCCATCTGCCAGTACCGATTTGTAGTAACCCACGTAGGGCATTGGGAGCGTGTGTAATAATGGCTTTGAATTGGGGGACAGAATCAACCAGCTCCAAGGCCCGACGATTGACATTTCGAAGATCGAAGAGTGTGCGAATGTCGAGGTGGAGCAATGTCTCGTGTAGAAGTTCGAGTGGAAGACGATCCAGAGCTCCTAGATCCTGTGAAGCACTCGGGTGAGCCCAAGAGTGGAAAGAGCCGAATGAAGATGGTGCTAGATGTTCGTCTAGAGTGTGGTCATTGATACGCAGTTTGGAGTAGGCGAGACCGTGGTAGCGAGTTGGAATTCCATCGTAATTAGTGTACATATCGCAGCGCGATGTCCCTGCAAGAGAGTTGAGGGAAACGCGTTGTATCCAGCGTAGCTAGCCAAGACCATCTACGCACACGCCGACGACCAACGACGTCGTATGAATTCTGTCGGACTACTTCTGCAGTGGAGACTCAGCGTAATATAGGAAGCTTGGTTGAACCCCCTCTGATAGAAGTAAGGTCACAAAGGTGGCGCTAGCGCATGGGCGGAGGAAAGATGATGCGTGTTGCCTGATCGGAAGACCCCGTCTTCACACGCCGCGTATACTATATCGTATATTGTAAGTATAAAATCCGAGTACTATGTAACTTATCCCAATGGTAACTAGGAAAAGGAATTCTGGTTCTTCTTAATTTCACTGATTGACTAACGAATACTTGCTAGTAGTAGTTACGATGATGAAGCTAACCCCCGTTCAGCTTAACTAAATACCAAGTAAACTGTAACTAAACCCCCATCCCTGCATGGAGGGGCAACAGATCGCGGGGCACGTCAACCGTTGCCAGCAGTCTCGCCAGTACTCACCACCAACAAACAATCACCCATACACACAACCGACACCATGTTCAAGAAAGAGTAAGTGCAGACGCAAAGACCAGTACTAGTAGCAGCAACAGTCATACTATCAGAAAATTAACAAGCAATAGCATAACATCGGGCGCAAAGTCCAAGGTCAAATCGAGCGCCCAACGCGCCATCCGCTCCAAGGTCCTTGAGGAATACCCCAGGTTAGAACCGTATATCGAGGATATAATGCCCAAGAAAGAGCAATTAGATCTTGTGAAGTTGTATGTCTACCTCTCTTTCACTTTACTCAAAAGGTCCATTGCACACCAGCGCTTTTCCATCCGTCCCAAACATCAATTGCTCCTCCACCTTCACACGCGCATGCACATGACACACATTGCACCAGTACAACAACTATACACGCGGCCAAAAACGCAAAACAAGAAGAAAAACCTAACCCGCAACCAACAGACCAGACCGCGTCTCCCTATACACCCTCCACTCAACCCCACTCTTCTTCCAACACATGGACGACGCCTTACTCCCCCACCTCACCCTCGTCCACAAATACCCAACCTGCTTCCACCGCCTACGCATCGACCGCGGCGCAATCCGCTTCGTGCTTTCCGGCGCCACGCTCATGGCTCCCGGCCTCACATCCCCCGGCGGCCGGCTCCCGGACCCAGACGCCTCGGACGAGGACAAGGCGCGGTATGGGACCGAGGATTTGGAGGCGGGGCAGGTGGTGGTTGTGGAGAGCGAGGGCAAGGAGACGGCGTGTATGGTGGGCGTGTTGAAGATGGGGACCAAGGAGATCAAGGAGAAGAAGAAGGGGGTTGCGTGTGAGGCGGGGCATTATTTGGGGGATGGGCTTTGGGGGTTGAAGTTGGATTGAGGGGATGGGGGGGCTAGGGGTCAATGAGATGAGAGGGGTTTGTCTGTGTTGCTTGGGATGGGAGGGCGGAAAGGAGTCTTATAGGTCCGGGAGAGGGATGGGATCCAAAAACAGACTCCAGCGGAAGGAAGTCAGAGGGAGTGGCATGCTTCCAGATTCGGCAGAAGAACTCCCTCTACCAGCCGTACAGACTGTTGAATTTCAAGCAGTCCGCTGATTGTAGTATGCAGAAGAGTCATACATGTGGCTGGTAGTGAACTTGGTATCATGAATTCTAGTCGTCCAGAAGAACCCGCTTCATAATGAAGATTTCGTATCCACCACCTATACGCTTCAACATGGCCCTCTTTTGACATCAATACAAAAACACATGGCTTATTGTCCTGCGCCACGGCCTGCTCCTCGACCAGCTCCTGCGCCCGCACCACCTCCGCCCATGAAGTTGCGTGCCCTATCATGCTGTTAATTTTCTGTCTGAATTGAAAAGAAGAAGAAAAGCAAAGGATATCCGACTTACATCTCTGCAAGATTAGGATCGTTCATGAGATCCTGCATATTTGGCATACCGCCGCCGCCGCCACCGCCCCCACGACCACCACCACCAAACTGCTGCGCCATCTCCGCTATCCTCGGATTACTCATGAGATTATTCATCATGTCGGGATTGCTCATCAAGTTCTGCGCCATCTGCCTCATCATCGGGTTTTGCATGAGGCCAGCAAGGTCGGGCATGCCGCCTCCGCCTCCGCCTCCGCCCATACCGCCCAGCATGCCTGCGAGGGACGAAAGATCGGGCATACCACCGCCTCCACCTGCCGCGCCGCGTGCCATATCATCGCCTAGCGCGCCAACATCTCCGCCCTCCTCCTCGACCTTCTTCCTCGCCGTCTCGTAGCCCTTGCGCATGACCTCTGAGCCGCCGCCCTCGGCATCCATGCCGGACTTGTAGGCCTCCATCGCACCCTTTGCGTCGCCGAGGACGAACTTTGCGAGACCGAGGCGCGACCATGCTTTGGAGTAGCTGGGGTCGGCAGCAACGGCCATTTCCGCATCCTCTTTTGCAAGTTCGTGCTTGCCTTGACCTGAGTAGGCGGCCGCGCGGTTGGAGAGGTAGATTGGGTTCAGGGGGACGATTTCAAGAGCAGCTGTGTAGTGCTTGATTGCGCCGTCGTAGTCCTTCTTCTTCATCGCCTCGTTGCCCAAACCCTTGAGCCGCTCTGCTTCCTGCTTGTTGGGTCCTGTTGCTGAGGCGCCAGCAGGTGGTACCTGGGGTGTGGCGGGGCGTGCTTCTTGTGCCGACGAGCTTCCCTCAGTGGTGGCCGTTGTCTTGCCCTTGAGCTTCTCATATACATTGTATATGGCGAGTAGGTTTTGGCCGCCTAGTGCGTCCTTCTTTGCCGCCTCATCGTTGACGTCGACTTTGAAGGCTTCGGCGATGCAATTTGCCGCCACTTCGAGCTGCTCTGCGTCGTCGGGTGCTACCGATCCGTCCGTCTGTGAGGTCTGGAGGAAATCGAGAATGGCAAGCGCAAGGCGCTTCTTGGATTGGGGAGTCGCCTGTGAAGTGTAAGGCTCGGTGTGCCGTGTGAGATTCAAGTGGGGTAGAAACTGACCATGACGGCTGTGTATGCTCGAGGTAATTCGCAATATTCAAGCGTGTGAATTTGTGGGGTCGTCTCTTAGGGCAAAAATGGCCTCTCGAGTACCAAGGTTACCGGGAAAACGTGTGGTGCTGTAAGCTTGTGGTCACTGAAGTTGAACTCGAAGCTTCGGTCATTGGCGGGGCAATTCATCGCCAAGCCAACACCCAACGCCTCATTCAGGCCAAGAGCAGACGCTAAGAAAATGATCAGCCATATCACTGATATAGAGATAATAATAAGCGTTGGGCATTATGTTGTCATGATACATCTCTACTTATACAAAGACTTTAAAGTCTATATAGTTAACATTCATGAGAAGATAAGACATTGGGTATACGCCAAAGCTCACTCATCGCTCAATCCCTCCCATGCACCCTTCTTCTTCTCCTTTGGCCACAGTGACGAAAACCGTGATTCTTTTGGCTCGAGTGTGACATTTTTTGCGCGATCTTCAACCTCTGCGTCAAGTACAAATCTCCTCATGCGCTCTGCAATCCGGGGATCAAGCACCATCTCATCTAGCCATACTCTTTCTTTTGTTTCACCTTCTTCATGTTTCCGTGTCTTTTTGTGCCAGTCGGGCTCTTCGTGGGCGAGGAGTCGTTGTTGCTCCCATTGTGCACTGTTGTATCCCTCTTCGTTGGTGGTTACAGATGCCTCTCCAGGAGTCTCAAAAGGCCGGTATGCCCCGAGTACAGCGGCGGCTGTCTCGCGGCCAATGTCCTCGGCTACTTGCCGTCTATTCAAGAAACGATACATGCGAATTGGGAAGTTGAGGAATCCTAGCAAATGTGGGAAAGGGATTACTGCGGCCGGACCCAGCGATTGAGGGCAATTGGGGGAGAGTGTGGCGTTTTGGTATTCGGCAGTAGTGATGAAGGGTGCTGGTTGTGTTTTTTTCTTGGGTTTCTTTTCCTCGACCTTGGGCTTTTCTTCTTCGACCTTGGGCTTTTCTTCTTCGACCTTGGGTGCTTCATGTACAGCGATGGGTGATGCATCGTCCGTAGATGCAATAGCCCCGGTATCTCCAGCCAACTCGGCTGATCCTGTGGCAGATTGCGATGGCTCTGGTGGCTCCGCTGGTGCAATCACACTCTCAACGGGCGCCACAACAGGCTTGGGAGCATCTAGTGGTCCTAGCCAGCCTTCATGTAACCCTCTGACATATTCCTTCCATGTGTGTCGTCCAATAACAACGTCTCCTCCAGGCCCCGTCCATTCACGCACTCCAGATCTTTGTCTCAGTGCCTCTATTTCCTCCTCGAGCCCTTCTTCAATCGGCTCGGATGAAGGCTCACCCCTCCGCTTCCGCAACTTCCGTATCCGTTCTGCAAGCCCAGCTCTGACATCTCCTTCTCTCCGGCCCTCAATCGCATCCCAGTCCAGCGCGGCCGCGACAAGAATCGGCTTGACGTATTCGTGGAAATGGTCGCGCGCTGAAACTAGTCCGTCCATCGGTGGTGCAGATATGTAAATGGTGACTTTGCGAGGTAACTGGTGTGGATCGAGCGGCTCCTTCGCAATGTCTTCTACAACCTTGGCCCACTTCTGCTGTATGCGCTTCTTCTGGCGACGGTCGTACATGACTGCCGCAGTCCAGGATCCAGTTATGGAGAGGAATATCATCCAGTTGCGTGAGGGGAGCTTCATGCGAATATTGGGCAGACCTGCGACTGATTAGACTGATTACTATGGACACAAGGCAACGACTGGCTTACCCATCATTCTCCATACTGGATTTGGTGGCTTTTCCCGTTTCAAGGGACCACCAGACGAGCCACTCGCCGGGGCGGCCTTTGCATCTGGTTCAGCCATGGCAGTGCTGATGTGGTGATGTTTGTTGGGCGCTTTTGTCACAGCCAAAAAAAATCGGGAAGCCGGGATTGTATCGGAACAGGGGTCCGTTGCACTGCTCCAAATGAGAAAGCTGACATACTAAGCCGAACCACACTACTACTACAACAACGAGCGGAGAAGACACTAGACTTGGCACAGTTGTAGATGAATCGCAAATTTTAAGTTCAATACCTAGACCGTATCTATGCCGACTATGCTGGGAAGAACTTGTCAACAAGGGTCACCAGACCCATTGTGCAGGTGATTCTCGTGTCCAGGTCATTCCGTCATAAGTTCGATCGATTCGCACCAAGACCTCAATGCGACTTGCCCTTCCTAACCCTCTTGCCCAGATACTTCCATCCCCCATCCACAGCCTTGCGACTCCAGCTTTTCGTAATAATCTTGCCTTCAAACGTCCCGCTCACCAAGCTAAACAAGAACAACAGCCCCACCGACACCCCGAATATGATGCCAAACGCCCACCAAAAGTTCCCAATCTCAAACTGGGTATTCTTAAACTCGATGCCAAAGTAGCCCGTCATGAGCGTCACGGGGGTGAACAAGATGGTAATCTTGGCGAGCAGCAGCGTGACCCAGGTCAGACGCTCAACAGAGAAGGACTCCTTGATGGCGATAAGATTGAAGTTCATCATGACGAGTGAATCTTTCTGGTCAAGACATTCTTGAATTTCGCTCAGTGCATACAAATTGATGCGGTCTTTGAGGCGTTCGAAGCGCACGCGTGCAGCGGAGCTGAGCGAGACACCGAGCAAGCTGTCGGCCTCAGGCATTATTGGGCCGTGCGGTTGGGAAGATTCTAGTGACTCCATTCCGGACATGAGGATGCGAGAGTTCTTCAATGATGCGAGGGTGGCTTCTTGCTTCTTGAGGACGCGCTCGATGATGAGCTCATAGCTTTGGTACACGCGTTTGAGGACGGCAAGCTGGCAGCCAATGTGGTGAAGTTGGTCGACATGCGTTAGGCTGGCTTTGACGAGCATTTCCTGTCGCTGTGTTGGGGTCAGTAATATTCGACGTTTCTGTACATCCCGCAGACTTACCAGGCGATCTAGTTCGTTGGCGTATCCTTTGTCTCTTCGAGATATAAGATTGAACGTGGAGCCCCAGTCTTCGAACAAGTAGTAGAAAAGGAGTCCAGGCGCATCTGTCGTACGATGTACAGTTTCTTCTTCACTGTTGCCAATACGGTGCCGTATGGGTAGCTGAGTGAAGGCAGCTTCTCTCAGTGGCGTAGGGGCCTTGGTAAGTTGCCTGAATACGTTGACAAGGTTCCTCCGTGTAGTGAATAATGTCCTCAGATCCTCTGCGCATAGCCCGTTGTTGTGGAAGGGAAACGGATCTTCGGAGACTGAGACCACAGTTTTATCCTCGCAAAGAAGAAGCCACTGCCAGACCCGCTTTCCATGCGGCATATCCTGGGCTCTGTCTGCATCCTCTGGGTGCTCATCTCTTTGCCTAGTGCGCACATTGTGTAGCGAGTTGTACCCCATGCTGACGAACCTTCGTCCCCAGTCCACTGTTGACCAGTGCCAAACATCGTTGACTAGTTGGTAATGAGTGAGATCTTGCACCATCTCAAGTTGTGTGGAGTGCATCATCTCACTCATTCCAATGCTTGACTCGAAGTCGAGACTTGCTTCATTTGCCTCCCTCGCTCTTGCTTTGATCGACCCCGATTGATTTGACTTGTTACTAAGGCGGGACCTTAATGTTGATGAACTCTTCTTTCTGTGCAAGGACGTAGGTCGCGGTGGGACCGGATCACTGCACATGGTGCCCAGAAGCCGGGGGGTGAAGTCGAAGTGCCTAGCCAGGGTACGGATCAGATCCTTTTGGTTGTATGGCATCCAGATATTGATCCATCGAGTATGCAAGTAAGTGGGCCTGGGTGTAGCTAATAGTTTGTCGTATGATGAAGCATCAAGGTCGAAAGCGCAATACGCATCATGCTCGCCAAAGTCAAGACAGAAATTAAGGCTCTGGGGATTGCGAGTCTGTCGATCGAACACGTCAAAGTTACGCTCGACATCGAAGTCTCGAAAACAGTGCTGTATATTCTCATCGCATAGCTCCTGGTAGTATGGTGGTAGGTCTTCCGCGGGTCCGGCGGGTCGGAATCGATCAGCCATGGTTTGCAAATCTTGACGGTGAATTGTTGGTACATGAGTGCTTGGTCGAAGGATTCCCATCCACTAAAGTAGTTTCTGTGTCGGCCCATATCAGGCAGCTGCCGGTGATACGGACCCGTGCTGTAAGTTCTCAGGGCATTGCGTCGTGTGAAGACTTCAGGTGGATCACGCGGCGCTCCTAGAGACTCATCAATGCACAAAGTCTCAGATTATGTCATGTAATGACGCATGCGCAGGAGCTGCGTAGTAGCATAATTCTCGAAGGCCAATATTCCTGCGGAGATTTGTGCGAAGATGAAGAGGAGATTCAGTTACAAAGAGAACGAGGCTGTTCTGGTGAGGTATCTCTCTCCCAGCCTCGACTTGCCCCTTTGGGAAAGTTCACAAAGATCATCGATCACGGCAGATTCACGAAAACAACAGACCATTGTGGATTGCCTCTTGGTACGAGAGTGCTATCCACCCTGTTCCACAGTGCACGCTTGCCTCCGGATCCCTTCCGACGCCGGCTAGCTTCTGGGTTTCGCTCTTCAAGTCCACTAGTTGCCAGATCAGGAAGGCGTCGAGAGTTATTATCCATCATGCTATAGCAAGTCTCAAGGTGAACACAGAGCTGTTCACAATATGTCGTCAAGTGATGAAAGATTGCAGGACATGTGCAAAACCACAACCTGGCAGATCAAGCAGTGTAGTAACTAATCGTTGTTGCATGCTCAACATCTTGGCCCCACTTCCCTCGACTACCTACCATGCTCATCAACATTGCCTCCGTCATTTCGAACGTGACGATTACCAAATCACACCATTTTCCAACTCATCAACTGCAGCAAGCCCAGCCTCATCAAAGACAAACCAGTCACATGCCCCATCCACCCCCAGATTTCACCAATTCTCATCACCGACCCAACCTACCCAAACAGGCAAGTGGCACCAAAGTGTTGATCGCAGCGATCGCGGTACGGTGTTGCAACGGTGCCATCGCATCGCGCTATCTTAGGGGTTGGGTCACGTGATGAAATGGTCGGGCTGGACCGATCTCGCAGTTGGACGTGAGGTGGGAGAATGTTTGGAGATAGGTTACTGTTGTATACATCTAGATCTGGAAAAGTATACAGAACGTGTTTGTGTGACAAGAAAAGAAAGACTCCATTATGCAACGCTAAAAACGAATCGTGTGTTCCCATCTCATCCTGAATCCAATGTATGCCATCTAAAACAGTTTCGCAAAAAACGTTCCTTGGGTATCTCCCACTTGATGCACTCCATTCACGCCAACTCAAGCTCTATTTCCGTCCCTCATCATAGCTCCATAATCTCCTGCTGCTCCGCTTCGAGTGCTTCTGCCCCAAAGAGGGCTTCAATGTCCTTTGGATCCATGGTGCCCACAAACGCCCTTTTGACAAAGGTGAACCACTCCTTGGATGCGTGCATCTTGCCCTTCTTCTTCTTGTGCTTGTGTTTTCTGTGTTTCTTATGTCTCTTGCCACCTTCGACCTCGAAGGTTTCATCCAGATTTTCGTCCTCTCCTGCTCCGCTGTCCTCCAAGTCGATTTCTGCGACACTGGACTTCTTACTTCCATCTTGCCCGATCCTTCTCGCATACTCGACCCATCTTCTTACGGTCAGATCCTTGAAACCTTTGTCCTTTTGCGTGTCATATTCGACTTCAAATATAAACTCATTTGGATGTGGTTCCTCTTTCGGTCGTTTGCCTTGGTGTTTTCCGTGCTTCCCTTCCTTCCATTTCTTTTGTTCTAATTGACCATCTGAACTGACTTGTAGGCCAAATATCGTATGCGGACTGTTATCATTATTTGAGAAATCAGAAGTCGTTGTATGAAGCAGACGATGTTGCGGGTCCACAAAGTCATTGTTGATGTGCGTCAAGTTGGCAAAGTATTGCACACATCTTGTCCACGTGAGTGACTGGGGGGAGTATGCTGGACCAGGCGGTGCAGATTTTGAGGGTCCATCAGGAACGCGGAATTTGTACTTGCGTGGTCCCTTCTTCTTTCTACCCTTGTGCTTTTTCTTGCGTTTGACAACGGTCTCGACTTCTTGTGAATACGCTTCGTCATTGGAAAACTCATCGTCGGTAAGTTCAGGCTGTCCGGAAATAAAGTTGAAGGGTGAGGATGAGGTTTGCGCAGTAGAGACCTCAAGATCCTCTAGACCTGAAATATTGTACTCGATGATGCGCAGCGTGGGGAAGTAATTTGGTACCACGCTGGGTGAGACATGCGATACCGCAAATCGCTCAGCGTATTTGCCTCCAATCTTGTCCAGGTACTCCCGCTTCCGGCTATCTCTGGCTGGGTTATCTTTCTTTCGTTTGTGCAGCTTTGACTCGAGCCAATCCCATACCGACGCCTCTTCTCCATCCTCCTCTTCCTCATCAAGCGCACTCGAGTACGACCTCTTGTTCGATTTCGCAGGCGGCGCAGGAAGCTGTGCCCAAGCTTGCTTCAAATCGATCAAATAGTCCGATGCAGAAGCGACTGTGACCTCGCCATCCTCCAGCAGCCTCATCTCGTCCTCAGAATTCGATCTCACCTCGCTCGTAGCCATCCTACCTCTTTTGGCATCTTTTTTGATGTCCTCAAAGTCCTGCAGCATGAAGTGGTCGATGTTCATGTGCCCGTATAAACTCCCCACAATGATATCACGAAACTGTCGAATCCACAGCGTGTATTTTTGCCAACAAGTCTCATCCCAGCTCTCTTTGCTGTCGACTCTTGCCGGCGGGACATGGCCTATTAGCATGACCTTGATGTTGCGTTCCCGAAACTCTTGGAGTTGGACGCGCAACCATTCCATGTGCTCGTAGCCGGGTTCGCGTTTATTTGCGCAGCCGTCGACGCCAGAGTTCGAGGTGAAGAAGTACCTGCATAGTATCAGCGATGTTCACCTATTGATTTGTCTTCCTTGTTCGAAGTAATACTTACATGGTGTTCAAGCTGACGACCGCAAGTTTGCCGGGTATAACTTCGACCGAGAACCAGCCTCCCTGTTGGAATTGATGCCTCTGCACCTCGGGTATAAATCTCCGCCATATATCCAGATACTTCGTCGTCCACTTGTTTGGTCCGCTGAGGAAGATATTGTGCGGCATGATATCGTTGTTGCCAAACGTCGGGACGATAGGTATGATGAATTCATGTGTGGGCCGGTTGTGATGGTCTCTGTGCCCAAAGACCTCTGCAAACTTGGACACCATGAACTCATTCTGCTGTATAATCTGCTTCTGCGTCCTTGGTATGTTCTCGTCGTTGTCGTGCCGGGCCGAGTCACCTGTCCATATGACAAAATCGATATCGTCCTTGATGTTCTCCTCTATCCACTTGAACGTCTGATTGACGAGGGCAAAGGGCGAGTCGCAGCCCGATGTCTCTGCGCCGTAGATGCCCGCTGGGCCATGTTTGCGATGGCATGCCGCCTCCGACGTCGTACTCGAGTACGTCTTGTAAAAGGGGTCTGGATGGAAATCTGTGTTGCATCGTGTCGGCAGCTGTTCGGTACAAAGACGGGATGGGAACGAGGGGAAAGAATAGGGTCCCCAGCTCCCAGCGCAAGCAACTTACCCGTAATGTGAAGGAATCTCCCCGTTAGTCGTCGTCCAGAGCTCGTCGTGCTGCTTCCGCGGAAGTCTGAACGGTCGCCACTGATCCCCCGCTCTCCTGCATGTCCATCTTCTGCGCCAGCGACAGATGGAGCTGCTGTTGTGCGGCTGCCCCAAAGCAGCAGCCCGCAGATCAGCGCACTCTGCGGTCTAAGCATAGGGAGGTAATCGAGCAAAAGTGTATATGCGCACACACGCAGCAGCAGCAGCACCAGTAGAGAAAGAAGCGGCTTCGGTTTTATTTATTGTCAGTTTCACAGAGGCAGACACCTTGATGGCGCTGGCGCACACCGAACGAGCCAGAAGAAGCGTTAGGGAGCCACTCGTTGTGGGCACGATCCCTTTGAAACCCTTGTCATTGGACGTCATACTTACCGTAAGGTAAGGCGGCAAGGCCACGCACTACCGCTCCCTGCCACACATCACAAGATATAATACACGCTACAATACCACTAGTACATGCCCACAATATGTCCCACTCACCCACCCACTCCCTCCCTAACTCCCTACAATATGTAGAGTACAGTACTACTCCCTCCACCCCACGCTCGCTTCCCCACACGGTCACGATACTAATGCCCAAGTGCTGGAGGAGGAGGCGGGGACGGGCGGGAGGCTACCCTAACGTTCTGCTCGCCTGACATACCCACACACCACTGCTTCATTCTCTTACACACATGTAGTGGGTTCAACAATAAAACCACACCCCCTGGGTTTTGACTCTCTACTAACAGCAACTATTCATTGTGGTCAGTTGACGCGCCAATTGTCGCCGCATGCGATGTCCACCGAAACAAGTGCAACTTCATCACACCATTGTCTGTCACGCACCAAAACGAGTGACCATACACATTGAATGATTGTAAATGTCGATTGCGTGTCATCTAGCAGTCAGTCGGTCATTGTATCTGCTAGTCTAGTCTATCCACTGCTGTCCTATTAATGTGTCTCATCGTCCCAACAGCCGCTCTGCTTTGTGAGAGGATCGTGTGGTTGAAGTTCCATGTCTAGTGCGCCATTTGTTTGGCCAACGCTAATGCCCACATTATGACTTGGAGCCTCGTTGAATGCACCACCGCGTAGAATCAGAACACCCGTGTGAATGCACTTTGGACGCGAAAAAAGTCCATGCAATGCAATGAAAAAATAAGGAACCCAGAATCAAACCTGCTCAAGACGTGCTCGGGTCGAGCAGTCCAATTGAGCCCGAACACCTGCGCTATGCTGCGATCATATCCTAGGTCGCCGTCAAAATTCGAAAACACCTTTATGCGGAATAGAATATCCTTCGAGTGATGCCATGGACATCATGTGCTTGGTCTCGTATGGGTGCATGCCTAAGCTCCGTTCTTCACACCATTGCTGGGTGGTGAGCTAGCCCCTGGCTTCTCCGAGCTCAGCATCTTCTGATACATGCCCTTGATCGCCGGGACAGTGACGCTCGAGCGAGGCCAGTAGTTGTTGACAGTGAATGCCCTAGACTAGTTAGTTATCCACAAGGCAAAGCTGCAGACACATCACTTACCAAAGACGCTCCTCTAATTCCGGATCATTACGCGTCTCTACACGAATGTAGTTACCAATGGCAATCAGCTCCACCTTGAGAACCTTGATCATCTGGTCCTTTTGCGGATAATTCTTGGGCGTCGCCTTTTTAAGGCGGCTAAGGTTATCGCGCACAGGTCGAAGTCGCTTTTCAATCAAGTCCTCCGGCTTGCTGTCTTTGGGCTTCGGTGTTTCAGTACTGCGGCTGGCACCCTGACTCTGGCTGTGCGAACGTGGGCGTTCTTCCATCGGACGTTGACGGTCCTCTTTAGGCCATGATCGATCCTCCTTGGCTCGTGGCCGGTCATCCTTGGGTCTCGACCTATCCTCTATGCTGACCTTTCGACGGAAATCAGGCGTGTCAGTCCTGTCGAGATGCTGCGAACGACGATCAATGCTGTTGCGTTCAACACGATGTTCTTTGCGGTGCATATCAGATGGCCTATACTGGTCGCTGTGCCTTGGGCGGTCATGACTGCTCTTTTCATACTGTCGGCTGTCGCTACGGCTCTCGGGATGACGACTCTCACTGTTGCTATGCGAACGTTGAATAGGTCGATCTGTCTCGCGAGACACAACTTTGCGCACTGCCCCAGAAGGTGCCGGACTGGCAGAGCCGGATGCTTTGTCAATTCGGCGAGCATTGTTGAGATGGTGCTTCTTGTTATTACGATGATGGTTCTCCATGAGACGCTTAACATTGGGATCCGGGCTAGCCTTATCCTTGAGCACCATGAGAAGATAGTTTGCCCTTCGAACAAGATGGACAGCACCAGGCGATTTCGCGTTCTTCTCCTCGCCCTTGGTGCGCTCTTCTTTCTTGTCTACTCGATGCTCTTCAAGATAAAACTTGTCACTCAGCCCAAGCTCCACATCGTCGCGGATTTGACCCCATGCACCGTATCCATGTCGTGAGATACCAATGCAGAGCATACCATCCTCTCGAGCACCCCAAGGGCATGAGTAGCTGGCAGGTTTAATCGCGTCGGGCACACGAAAATTGCGCCACTCGGGAGTTGCCTCTACGGCTTCCTTCAGGATGCGCATTTCGATAGGTCGATCAATGATTGTCTCAGCATTAATCTTCTTCACCATGCCGAAGTCGAAGAGCACAGCCTTCTTGTCCTTCTTGGTGAGCGCGCGATTGGTTTCCATTTCCAAATTCTTTAGCCTGGCCTGCTCCACCTTGACAAGTCTGGTGCTCTCCGCAATGACTTGGTCCAGAGTACTTTTCACAACGGACATGTCGCGACCCACCAATTTCGCAGCTTGCAGCATTTCATCGCCACGCTCTTCAAGTGACCCATAACGCTCATATGCACGAACGAGGTTACGAGTCTCCCTGGTGGTGAGTGGGCGTTTGGGATCGCGCTTGGTATTATCGTCTTCAGATGGCTCATCATCATCAACCTCAACCGGTGTAGCCGCAAGAGCGCGTTTCTTCGCGGCTCGTTGCTCTCGCGCGCTTGCCGCAGCTGCTTTGCGCTTCCTAGGCGCGCTCTCCTCAAGCAGCTTCTGGGTTTCTTCCTCTTCTTTGCGTTTCTGAATATCGGCTTTGACAGCATCAAGATCGTCCTTGGGAATAATATCATCCCACTCCAGGTCAATCTTGACATCTGTATACTCAAAGTTCTTGAGAAACTCTGCACCACCGTCAGAGGTAAGGCCAGCTGCTTCTTCGGTCTTGTGTTCTTCCGCATTCTCGAGAACAGCGTCGATGTCGAGTTCTTCAAGCTTCTTTTGATTACCAGATTGTTCAAACATCTTCTGGCCACGACGCTTAAGGATGTTATTGATATCATCAGCTGAGGATGGCTCAGCAGCTGCACGGCTCATTTTGTCGTTGAGCTCCTTTTGCTGACGGTCAGTGACACCACGCTGGATGGTAATGAATTCAAGCATGCGCTTATTTCGCGCGCGTTCCAGAATCTCTTCTTCGATGGTGTCTTTTGAAACTAGACGATAGACACTGACTGGCTTCTGCTGGCCGATACGGTGGGCCCGAGCCATGGCTTGCAGATCAGCTTGTGGATTCCAGTCCGAATCAAAAATGATTACAGTATCGGCTGTCATCAAGTTAATTCCCAGACCACCAGCTCGGGTCGATAACAAGAAGCAGTAATCATCACTGCCAGGGGCATTGAAATGGTCAATAGCGATCTTTCTCTCAGCGGCAGGAACAGTACCATCAAGACGCTGGAAGGGATAATTGCGCAGCTTTAGGTAGTCTGTCAGGATGTCCAGCATATGGACCATTTGACTGAAGATGAGTACGCGATGCCCGTCAGCCTTGAGTTTACCTAGAAGGCGATCTAGTAACATCATCTTTCCACTTGTCGTAATGAGGGCTTTCAACGTTTCATCCTTGGTAGCATCACCTCGGATGAATTTCGCTTCCGCGTTCGGGAAGAGCAACGCATGGTTGCTTGCCTTCTTCAGCTCCATAACGATGTTAAGCAGTGACTGCTTATGACCAGCGCCGCCTTCATTGAGAGCCTCGTAATTCCGCGTAAGAATGTTCTTGTAGTACTCTAGCTGGATATCGGATAATTCGACACGAAGGATCTTTTCTGACTTGGGTGGCAAATCGTTCTCTACCTTTTCCTTCGTGCGACGGATCATGTAAGGTTGGATGGCTTCACTAAGCTCGGCAAGCTTGTGACTGGCATCATCGGACGCGAGGTCGACGTTCTCATCGACAGTGATCTTGCCGGGCATGAGGAAGTCCATCAAGGCTGCTAATTCGCCGAGTGTGTTCTGAATGGGAGTGCCAGTAATAAGAAGTCTGCTTGGAGCGTTGAACTGTCGCAACCGATCGTACAGCTGCGATTCGCGGTTTTTTAATCGGTGAGCTTCATCGACAGCAAGGAACTGCCACTTTATGCTTGACAGGAATTGCCAATCTGCCAAGACGTACTCATAGGTCGTCAGTAGTACGTTGAACTTGGTCTTTCGTGGGTTGCCGTCTATGAGCAATTCTTTGTCTCGAATGATGCTTCGAGCGTCTTCCCTGCCGGTATAGATCACATAGTTAACATCGGGCGTCCAATTGTTGAAGGTATCTGCCCAGGCCGGCATGGTTGACAACGGCACCACGCATATGAAGGGACCATCTTGGCGACGATCGTGCCTAAGCCAATTGATGAAGGAGACGGTCTGGACAGTTTTTCCGAGACCCATCTCATCAGCAAGAATGACGTTCGTTCCTCGACACCAGTTATGAGCGAGGAAGTTCAGACCCTGAAGTTGAAACCCCCTGAGCTGGCCATACTTTATGTAGTCAGGCTGCGCATCCAGCTTCACGAACTTTCTGCGTGTGTTAAGATTCGATTCGCGTGTGTCAGAGGTTGGTCGATTCGATGAACGGTCGAGGTAACGATCAATCTCAGTTTGTGACAAGCGACTGATGAGAGAGGCTGGCTCCCATGTACAGAATTCGTAAGTCAGACCCTTCCCTAATTGTGTTGGTTAGATAATTTGAATTGAAAACGAGGTACTAGCACATACACTTTACGAAATACTCAGTTTCGTCGTCGCCATCTCGTGAGTCAATCACCCGCTCAACAACATGGAAGTCCAACTGACTCTCACGTTCGGCTTCACGGGCAACCATGTGTTGCTCAAACTCCTCTGGTTCTTGCTTCTTCCGCGCGTGATAGTACATGTCGCTCCTTACGGGTCCCTTGAAGTAATTGTCAAGCTTGCGCCAACCCTTGTGTGCGGACGCAGTCTTGTAATTTTCCCAAGTGGAGTGATAATGGGCACGGTCTTGCCATTTGATCTGGTGTCTGTTAGAACCCTAAACCACCAGGCATCAGTCGGGGTATACTTACAAGGTACTCAAAGTCTTTCTTCTCCACGTAGTGAGGGTCAGGCTCTGCGATGGATTAGCATGGGATATGAGAGTGCGTCGAATGCCATACCTATCCCATCAACCGGTCGATGATCAAGGATCTTGTCTATGACAGGGCCAGTGTCCTCGACTGCATTTGCCCAGTAGTTGGGAGTCGTCTCGTCCTCGTCTTCTTCAAAAGGATCTTTGTCGTCGTCCTCATTGTAGTTGGTGACGGGTGCTGCAGTGCGCCGTGCAGAGAAGCGCACCTCAGCTTGCGAGGGGGGGAGGCGACCCTCAGCTACCAGATGCTGACGTTGACGTTCCTTCTTAGTCGGAATGTGCCTGCGTGCGCCAACATAGCCATCGGACTCGGAATCAGAGCCTGCCGAACGATGTACTGGTGTTGGCTGTTTCGAGGCTGCATATTTGGGGTCAGTAAGGCTCAAAGATCCTGGGGAGGAGTTGATCGAACCTTTTCGCGAGGCAGTCCTTTGACGCTTGCGAGGCTGACTAGAGCCAGAATCATCATCTTCATCATCGCTGTCGACCTGAGATGTGTCAGTGGGATGCTGGTCAATTTGCTGAGGCTCTCTTACGACACGACGACTAGGGCGGGCACGACCCTGTATAAAAAATTAGCTCCAGTACGCAGAGTCTATACATGACACGTACGCTACGACGTAGACCATAAAGCTCTGGGTTCTGTGTGATATAGTCCTCCTTCTCATTGCTGGCCTTGCGCTTCAGTGGCCGTCTAGAATCTTGTGACGTGGGGCTCTGCGCCTCGTCGCTCTCTGCTCGCTCAGATGGCGGTGAGTCAGAGTCGTAATCGCCGTCTGGCTCGCCCTCGGCATCAACGTCCTCGGACGAGTCTGAAGCAGCAGCCACCTCCTGGTCTTCGACATCATCATCTCCCGGCGCATCGGCATCTGAACCAGGTTCGGGTACGGTAGGTCCGTTAGTGTCAGACAGATCGCTGTCGCTGTGTTCAGAAGGGCTGTCTGTGGTGGTAGTCTGCGCCGCGAGAGGCGACAAATGGCCATTTGTGTACGATATGGAGGCGCCATGGCCCGGTGAAGTAGGCATTGCGACGGACACGGCTGTGAGAGATGGTCAGCATGCTTTTTCGATGACTCCGAGGCCCCAACGGGAGCTAGCGAGCGCGTTGGATAGAGCAAAACTACGCGACGCAGAGCAACCAAAAAGCGACGCGAACGAAGGAGAAAGCCCCAGGCAATGGAGGCGTGATGGAAAGTCGTGATCGTCGATGGACGGGTGATGGAAAGTGGGTGTGGGAGCGGTGTGCGGCCTTCGAGGGGCAGAACGAGCAGAGACGACCATAGGGGACTCGAAAAAGCGCGCTGAACGCAACAGGAGGTCTCATGAAGGGAAGGATTCGGGTGACTCGATGCAGCGACGTGATATAGTGATGGAACGAGAGACTTGGGTGAGGCCGGCAGCGCGAGTATAGGGCAGGTTTGCTGGCAACAAAGACACACGCAGCAAATCAAAGGGGCGTGTACTCACAGTCCATGTCTGCATGTACCCTCACTACGGAGAGTGGGGTGACGTCTTGAGGAGGGCGAGGTGTGGGTGGTGGTGAGGGTTGTGGAGGGTTCCTTAGAGTCGGGGCTGCGTCGCTCGCTGGACTTGTGCTCGGCCCTTGCACAGTATCCCGTAGCGCACAGCCGCCGCCACCAGCAGCCAATCAGAACCTGGCAGTCGATGCTTACCACAGCCGTGAATGTCCAGGTTGGCAACGTCAGTCAAGTTCCAGTTGAGCGAGATTGTGTTGCGACTCTTCGACTGCATCTCCTACGCCGCCGTCGACTCTGCCTGTGAGAGAGCTGTCGCCAGTCCTCGAAGACCGTCTCGTCTGCCTCCCCTTTCTACGCCCCTTCCATCTGGCAGCGCGCTCCTGCCTCGGTGCTTTGTTCGTCCAAGTCCCACGGTCGCGCACTTTGTTCGCAAAATCCCCCGCCACACTTCGCTGTGCGATTGTTTTGTAGCGCAGAGTGCAACCAGCACCCACGCCCCGAGTCACCGCCACCATGTCTGACAAGCTCACTCGGTATGCCCATCAACGACTCCGTCAGTCTATGCCAGTGATCCATGACTAACTTTTGTCGTCCAGTATTGCCATTGTCAACTCGGACAAGGTACCCCCCACTACCCCTCCCACGCACAAATTTTGGCCAACCCACTAACATGAGCATGTTCGCCATAACAGTGCAAACCCAAGGTATGTCCGACCTTACTACTAGTACAATTCCCAGTCGTAGACCATCTAACCGTGACAAGAAATGTCGCCAGGAGTGCAAAAAGTCCTGCCCTGTCGTGCGCACCGGCAAACTGTGCATCGAAGTCGAGCCCTCTTCTAAAATCGCCTTCATCTCGGAGCGCCTGTGTATTGGTTGCGGTATCTGCCCCAAGAAATGCCCCTTCGATGCCATCAACATTATCAACTTGCCCACGAACCTCGAGACCCAAGTCACACATCGATACTCGGCCAACAGTTTCAAGTTGCATAGACTGCCTATGCCCCGTCCGGGACAGGTACTGGGTCTGGTCGGAACAAACGGTATTGGAAAGAGTACCGCATTGAAGATTCTCAGTGGCAAGTTAAAGCCCAACTTGGGGCGCTTTGACAACCCGCCAGATTGGGAGGAGATCCTCAAGTACTTCCGTGGATCTGAGCTTCAGAGTAAGGGCGATTGACACTAGGACACCAAACAACAGATAGCATGGCTAACACCGTCAGACTATTTCACCAAGGTCCTCGAAGACAACCTGAAGGCTGTCGTGAAGCCTCAGTATGTCGACCAGATCCCCAAGGCCATCAAGGCAACCGATCGCGCCGTAGGAAAGCTCATCGAAGCCCGCTCACAAATGGACAACCTCGACGCCATGATCGATGAGCTCGAGTTGCGCCACATTTTCGATCGTGATGTCGGTCTCCTTTCTGGTGGAGAACTGCAGCGTTTTGCCATCGCCCTCGTCTGTGTCCAGCAAGCCGATGTCTACATGTTCGACGAGCCGTCATCCTTCCTTGATGTCAAGCAGCGTCTCGCTGCCGCCCGTAAGATTCGCAGTCTGCTCCGACCTGACGACTACGTCATCGTCGTCGAGCACGATCTGTCTGTGTTGGACTATTTGTCGGATTTCATCTGTGTCCTCTACGGGAAAGCAGCTGTCTATGGTGTCGTGACATTGCCAGCCTCTGTCCGTGAGGGTATCAACATCTTCCTGGACGGAAACATCCCTACCGAGAACTTGCGTTTCCGTGAGGAGTCTCTCCAGTTCCGTATTGCTGAAGCGGGCGAGGAGTATATGGTTGATCATAACCGAGGCTACACCTACCCAAGCATGCAGAAGACTCTTGGAGGTTTCCAACTCAATGTCGAGTCCGGCTCATTCACTGACTCCGAGATCATCGTCATGATGGGTGAGAACGGTACTGGAAAGACGACCTTCTGTAAGATGCTGGCGGGCGCCCTGCAGCCGGATGGCGACACCAAGGTTCCCAAGATGAGCATTAGCATGAAGCCTCAGACGATCACACCCAAGTTCCAGGGTACGGTCCGACAGCTCTTCTTCAAGAAGATCAAGGCTGCTTTCCTGAGCCCGCAGTTCCAGACCGACGTTTACAAGCCCTTGAAGATGGATGACTTTGTTGACCAGGAGGTTCAGAACCTGTCTGGTGGTGAATTGCAGCGTGTCGCCATTGTCCTCGCTCTTGGTCTTCCAGCCGATATCTACCTCATCGACGAGCCTAGTGCTTATCTTGACGTCGAGCAACGTATCGTCGCCTCCCGTGTCATCAAACGCTTTATCATGCATTCCAAGAAGACTGCATTCGTTGTGGAGCACGATTTTATCATGGCCACCTATCTGGCTGACCGTGTCATTGTCTTTGACGGTCAGCCTGCTGTCAAATCCCGCGCCAACAAGCCTGAGTCACTTCTCACTGGTTGCAATACCTTCTTGAAGAATTTGGACGTCACCTTCCGCCGTGATCCCAATTCGTTCCGCCCCCGCATCAACAAGGATAAGTCTCAGCTTGACCAAGAACAAAAGCTGAGCGGGAACTACTTCTTCTTGGAGGATGAAAGTTGAAGTTGTCCCTGATGAACACAATACGTCCCCATCCCAGCGTCGCCCGAACGGGCATCTCAGGTCAGGGGCGACCAAGAAGGGCAACAAGAAGCGTGGCTTGAGGGCACGCTCGACCAGTCTGATTGACGAAGAGGAGGGACTTGAAGACGATCAAGAGGAAGATGACAAGCCACTAAGCGACGATCTACCTCCTGGGCTACTTGTGTCGTGTTGTCTACATGCAATAAGGGATACAATGTGTGAACGAGATGATGACCGGGTCAAGTTAGGTGATTGTCGTAAGCCTGATTGAAGGCCTTTGGTGGTGGCACGTCAGATGTGCAAAAAGTCTAGATGAAAGCAGAAGAAAACAGCTTCTCATCGGTGATAGTACCAGAATTGAATCAAGTGTTTCATCATGATTGGATGCAGATGAGGTGGTTAGTTGGGAGTGACGATGAGAAAGAGTGGACCAAAAGGTCAAGAAGCGTGTGATGTATCTAGATGCTCGTTGATGGTGGACTCTGCCATGCGAAGATGACATAGGGGACACTCTACCAATACCTTCTTTGCCGTGTCATCCGCTGCGTCGGCACTAGCATCTGACACGGGTCGTTTCTGACCGGCTATAGAAATTGAAGAGGCGGGTGTCGTTGACACGGTCGTTCCCTTGGAGTCTTGCAAACTCTTGACTGAGGTTTCATCCTCGCCATCCACCGCAATGGGCTGAGCAAAGGCATTCTTATTACCCTCTGCGGTTGCCAATGTGGTGTGCACTGCCCCAGTGACCCAGCCATCCAGCTTGTTCTTCTGCCTGCCAGCCCTTTCCCTGGCGCTTAGGGCCTGCCATTGCTTCTTCGTCGGCGCGGGTTCCTGCACCTTGACATAGGTGCCCCCGCACTCAGCCTCGTGTTGCGCCCACCACCCGTCGCTTTTCCCCGGCGCCCGATTCATGCTCCTTTTCACGAGGCCGAAAAATGGGGGCTGGGTGTTGCAGGGACCGTTACATTGCCAGACATGTCTGCGATGGGACGCAACCTCGTCGTGGAAGGTGTGGTAGATGGTCACGTCGTAGGCGCCGTGGTGGTTGATGGCGGCGGCGAGACGTTGAAAGCCTGGGCCGTGACCCGTGCCGTCGTCGCCGCGGGCGTGGCGCCAGGATGTGGTGAGGAAGAAGTAGGCGTGGATGGCTTCGTGGAGCAGGGTGTTGATTGTGTCGGATCGGGGACGGTATTGTAGGAGTGGGGTGCTGAGTTTGAGACGGATGCGTGTGAATGTCCCGGTCGAAGGGTCCTTTGAGAGTTCGCAGATTCCGGCGCAGCTTTTGGACTGGTTGTTAGTTGGGTGTTTGAGGCTGGGTTTATGGAAGCTGGAAAGAAGCAAAATGTGGGTTTGGATTGCTTGGCGATTGCTTCAGATGCGGTGGGGGTTGAGGGTGGGGGGTTTAGATCTCTAGCAGGTGAGACTGTTGTAGGTTACGACAATGAACAACGACACGGCATGATCCAACATTCAATGTACATGAAAATACAGTGGCACTCACAGCGTCAATCGTGGCGACCACAGCACCTCGACACGTGGAAGCAAGAGCTTGCGGAAGTAGAGCACATTGTAATGAGCAAACAAGTCGTGGACGTCGACAAAGGGCTCCCCATTACAGATGATGGCATTCACGGCTTGCTGTGCGTGTTGCTGCTCCATAGACGGCGTCTCGAGGGTGGCAATGGCTGCCAGCGCAGCATCCTCATCTGTCACGGGCATGATGGCTACCAGACATTGTTCTTCGGCATGCGCGGTCACGGTCGTGTCTCGGGGGGTGGGACGGTAGAGAGTAGTACGGACTCTGGAGTGGGTTTTGACCTTTATGCGAACGTGGTCGTGGTGCTTGGGCGGATAGGGCTGGCGGGATTGGACAGGGGCAAGTCTCAAAGAGCGCAGACCATGTTAGTTACCGGTATAGTATATAGTTATAGATAGTACAAGTAGTAGTAGTACCGGTAGTAGTAGTACGTCCCCAGCAAGACAACCCAATGTGATTAGACAGCCCAATGCGAATTGAACTGCAATGATCAAGCGCGCCCAGCCCAACGTGCCTGGGCTCTGATCATGTTTGCACGCGTTTAACCCCCCCTTGCTGTCGGCTCCCATATCTAAATTGCCCTCTTGGTCGCCTTCGCCGTCGCCTTCCCTCCGAGGCTTCCCCCCCCCCCCCCCCCTGACGCCGTGACTCCTGCTGTTACTCTTGTCTGTTCCTTTTCCTGCTGTGCCCCCGTCTACTCTTCTTTTGCAATTTTGGCAGGGCATCGTCAAGCAGAAAGTGCGAGAAAGATCACAGGCGTGCCAGATATCTTGCCCTGTTACACAATAGCCGTTTACACTTCGCAAGGCCCGCACCGCTCAACATACAGCTTATGACGCAGCGCGCCCGAACCCCCATGTCCATGCCCGCACACAAACATCACCACTGCGCCGCCAACACGTCCATACTGTCTGCTGCTTCTCCATCCACTCGCCGCCATACCTGCGCCTCGCCTGCAAATCGCTCACTGCTGCTGCTGCTGCTGCTATTGCCACCGCCGCCACGCGAATGTGCTGCTCATAGTCGCCCTCCAGCCTCATGGCGGCCATGGACACTCCGCGGGCCGTTGATCTTGTGCGCACCGCCTCGCAGAACTCGACCCTGTCCAACCCCAGGAACCGCAGCATCCAGCGCGTCCGCCCCTCGAAGCGCACGTCGAATGCATCGCTGAGTCGCAGCCGTAGTAGGGCGCATTCTCCTGCCGAGGACACCAAGAGCCTCACCTCGTTCCCCTCGCTGTCGCCTAGTCCCGAGCCCTCGCCCATACAGTCGCGTGTCAATGGTTGGTTCAGGGCTGCAGTAGCCCCAGAGGAGACAGTCAGGGCTGCAGAGGCTAAGACAGTCCCATCGCTGGACACGGTCAAAACGATTTCGCCGCCAGATCTGGGCAAGACTGTCGGGCCTACCTCGACCGTGCGCAAGGTCACCAAGTCGACACAGCAGATAGTGGGCACTCTCGTGGCCGCTGCTTCGGCAAAGGATCGCTCAGCCCTCTTCGATGACACGCCGGCGGAATCAGCAGAAGTTCCGGGCAACCTCCACTTCGCCAGCGACGAGAACATCAAGGACGCCATTAAGCAGAGTGGTGCCGTTGCGCTCGTCAAGCAGTTGGCCGGCGACCTTGCCCAACGAGATGCACAAATCACCGCATTGCGAAGGCGAGCCGAGGAGCGAGAAAGGGTGTTGAAGAGGATGTTACAGGAATGCGAGGTGTCAAATATGGACATTGAAAATAGATTACGAGAGCTGGACAAGGGCAAGGATCAGTCCCACGACCTCACCAAAATTAGAACTAGGGGAGATAGCGCGGTGACTGGGTTGCATCCTGATGACCCAATGGAGGACCGGCTAGCCAGAGCTATGGAAGACGAATTGGCCGAGCATCCTGATGCCCTAGGTATGGATTCTGGGAACGCAGTACCCATGGCCGACGTCCTGTCAATCAACTCGGCCGCCTCTGATGCGCCTCGTGAGACAGGAAGAGGGAATTGGAAGACCTTCATTTGGAGTGGAACGAGTAGGAAAAGCAGTAGAGCTCCCTCTGTTGCGAGCTTGGTTGACCGAGACGCAGAGAGTGTTGCAGGGCAGAGTCGACCACGGGCATCAAGCAACGCAAATGCAAAACCCCCACGGAAAGCATTAGCCAATGATCTTTTTGTCCCTCCTACGGGCGCTGTACCCGCATTGCGCAGGCTTCATAGCCAGGACCATACTACGGAATCATCAACGCGTCGGTCATCATCGTCTTCAACATCCCTGGCCACTTGGGCGCTGAAGATGGTCGCTGGTAATAGCATGACGAACAACAACAAAGGCGGCACTGTACGAGGGCGTAAAAGCATAGCCTCGGAATCCGTGGATCGCACAACTTCCATCGACTCCACCAGGACAGCTCAATCTGCCAAGTCTACATTAACAAATACACAGAGGAGAGCACGAGCACTGGGTCCGAATGGCACTATCAAAAGCATCAACGTGGATGCGTCAAAGAGTGTTTCGAATGGCGCTGGACCGATGGCACCGACTCGCGGTGCAAGCAATCTTGGGCCGGTGGAGATGGATCGCATTCTACCCGAAGACTCTCGTCCGCCGACGTTGGTACAACACCATAACAAATTCACAACTTCGAATAACGAGTACCTGACTGATCGCTTCGGCTTCATCTACGATCAGCGAAGGAAGAAGAGACAGAGCGAAGCTGCGGCTGAACTGGTCAAGCAGAAACGAAGCAGCAATGTTGAATCGTTGGGAGATACACGCGTATTCAAAAGCCTCGGAGAAGATGGAGGAAAAGATGATGCGATTCCCTCTCCTGCTGATCCAAACGAGTCTGGGACACGGCCATCGAGCTCTGGATCAGACAACCAGCCTAGTCAGCCTACCAGTAAGACATGGGTAGACTACCTCAAATTGGCCACTCATCCAACTGAGTTGCTCTCGCACACGCCCTCTGTTGCGCCGATTACAACAGTGGAGGCCCCCGAAGTCGAGAGTTCTGCGTTGAAGATCAGTCAAGGGCAAATCACTTTAACTAAGCGCGGTTCACTACCAACGACTAGTGTCAACCCAGAACCTTCTCCTTCGCGTATCATATCTGGAAATGCTGAGCTATCTACTGTTGCTCCTTCACCTGGACCAGCTACGCCCATCAGTCCATACCCGCCGCCAATCGACCCTGTCAGATCACTCCTCGACCAGATGAGCGAGCTGCATGACAACTTGCAAAAAGAGCGTACGGTCAAGTGGAATGAATTCCTACGCAAGGTCCGCGCTCACAATAAGCGAGATGGGGATGTGGCTAGTACGGAGGGAGGGACAAAAGGCCTTGCCATGCCCGAAACATACCTTGCTGATGGCGAGATTGTTGGTATCGCAGGCCTAGGCAACAAGGGCAAGGTCGGACGCGCCAAGTGGCAAGAATTTCGACGGCTCGTCTTGGGTGGTATCCCAGTAGCCATGCGAGCGAAAGTATGGGCAGAAGCAAGTGGCGCCGCAACTTTACGTGTACCAGGCTATTACGAGGATCTTGTCAACAATGGTGAAGACGATCCCATCATTGCGACGCAGATTCAAATGGACATCACACGCACCCTCACAGACAACATCTTCTTTCGCACTGGTCCCGGCGTGCAAAAGCTCAACGAAGTGCTTCTGGCATACTCTCGTCGCAACCCCGTCGTCGGCTACTGTCAAGGCATGAACCTCATCGCCGCATGTCTTCTCCTCATCATGCCCACTACTGAAGACGCCTTCTGGGTCCTCGCCACTATGATCGAAGACATTCTTCCACAGCACTATTACGACCAACACCTCCTCACCTCCCGCGCCGATCAGACTGTGCTTCGCGCCTTCGTCAGCGAGATTCTTCCCCGCCTATCCGCTCACCTCGACCAGCTGGAGATTGAGCTCGAAGCCCTAACCTTCCAATGGTTCCTCTCCGTCTTCACAGACTGTCTATCGGCCGAGGCGCTCTTCCGCGTCTGGGACATTGTCCTCTGTATGCACGACGGGTCGACGTTCCTATTCCAAGTCGCTCTCGCCCTGCTGAAGTTGAACGAGAAGGCGCTCTTGCGATGCGACACAGCCGCCGGTGTATACCACTACATCAACCACCAGATGACCAACCACGCCATCTCCATCGACGGCCTCATCCAAGCCTCGGACGCCCTGGGCAAAGTCATCAAGCGCAAAGACGTCGAGGAGCGCCGCGCCCGCGCCGTCGCACACGAACAAGAGCTCATGAAGCAACGCGACGAGGCGCGCCAGGAACGTGCGCGCAAACGCGCGAACAAGTCTTCGGCCGATAGCGTCGTCTCTACGTCTGCGCCGGCTGGGGACAGCGAGGAGGACGGAAAGAGTCTGTCGGCTAGCCTGGATGCAGAGTTGTCGTTACAAACGAGTCCTATGCGCACGCCCAGGTCGAGCAAAAGTCAGAGGAGCGAGGATGAAGAGGAGGCTGAGTATTTGAATTCGAGCCTCGAGTCGACGGATCGGACGCCGATGCCATTGGAGGAGGAGTGTTTGTGGAGGGCGTAGGGGGGGTATGGTGGGGGAGTCTACGGGAAATGGGACAGGGGACGGGAGGTTCAAGGGGGGTTTTCTTTTGTCGAGGTGGGAAATAGCATTGTGTGGGTAGGTTTGTTTGACGTGTTTCTTCCTTGTTTTTTTTCTTTGTTGTCTTGTCTTGTCTTGGTGGGAATGGAATAAATCAAGCATATATACCCCCTCCCTTTGTTGACGTTGAGATTGGATACTTGGGTACTGATATCGTTTTTTTTATCTCAGTAGCGTTTTCTTTGTTTTCTAGAAAGACGGTGTTTGGTGTTTGGATGGAGACTCTGCTCTCTTTCTCTTTGGATGAGTAGCTTGCACGTTCGACGATAGAATTGAAATACTGTTTTACAATCATATATTTGTAGTTTCTGGACTCTGGACTCGACTGTGTTTATTTACAATGGTGATGTGCCAGATACGATAGGGTTTTCAGCTCAACCGACTTGCTCTGTCTCACTGTAAGGTTCATTTCGAGTTTCTCGTGGTGTATCGAATGGATGGGGTCATGTATACTATACAATAGATATTACACTAAATTACTACACTCTTGTCTCTCGTGTACAATTTGTCTGTACACACATTCTTCGTTTCAAACATCACCAAGGAACCAACGATAAAGCACAACCACATATCCCCCATTGTCCTACCCACGCACCCCCAACTTCTTCCCCCGTTGTCCCAGCGACTCCGTCCCATCTCGTAGCAAAAGCCCGCAGTCCCAGTCCCAGAGTCGCTCGCTCGCGTCGTTGAGTGCGCCTTTGTACTGTGCGAATGGCGGAGGAGCACCACTGTTGGCTTAGCGTGATTGTGCTCGTAGTTGTGCGTATCGAGATTGAGCCAGAAGAAGGACAGCGTGGTGTCGGAAGGGTAGATTGAGGTTGTGCTGGCTGCTTTCGAAGGTATGGGGTGGTTGGCGTGGAGTGACCTGGGCTGGAGTTGGGTGTTAGGGGTGTTGGTAAGTGCGGGATCTGCGGTGAGGTGATGCTGTTGAGGCTTGGAGCTGCTGGGGCTGGGGTGATGGGTATCTAACAGGGTGGAGCGGGCTTTGACTCGGAGAGTGAGGGTGTTGGTGAGGCGATTGGAAGGAGCGGGCGCGAGGGTGCGGTCAGTGCTGATGGCGTGGTGGGTGAGAGGCGACGGCACCGTACGGCGAAGTATTGCTGTGCTGTTAATAGGGATTGTTTGTGCTTGTAGTACTCGTTTAGCGGTATGATGGACTCGACGGTCGCGCGTTCAGGGCTTATGCGTAGTTATCGTGATGGTTTTGTACGCCACGGCGAGCGTCCGTTTGTTCCAGCAGCGATGGCCATGCTGGACGGCGCCGGATGATGAAGATTTTCTGGGCATTTACTTAAATGTAATGTTTTTTGAGCGCTCTTCCAGCTCTGTGATCAGCGTGACTATGAGCGTTCGGGGCTTGTGTGGGTGTCGCAGTGGCCTCGTGGCTCGCAACGAGCGTCCGCATGCTTGTATACAATGGCCGAACTGCAATCTGCAGTAGTCCAGGACTTGTAGAGATGGTTACAGAAGCAGTACTGGTTATTGCTATGTACAGGAGTCAATTGCCTGATCCAGGCTCGTTGTACACTGGCGTGAAGGCGCCCTGGAGTCACCAATGTCGCTGAGCTCAGTGAGCTGCTGTCGCTGTGCGCTGCGCACAGTGAACAACTGTGGCATTCCAGTTCCCGTATCATTAGTTAAAGAAGCAATAGAGGAGATAGCTTTGTGCTCAAGGCGTTCTTCTAATTCGGGTCCGCTGAACGCTTCAATGCTCTGGAGGTGACTGAGCTCACTGAGCCACCATAGCTTCTCGCAGTTAGCCATTGCGACAAGATGACAGCGACAGCTTGTCTTCTCTTGGATCCATCTGCTGAAGTCTCTGTATCTTCTTCTACGGTGTAGCTGCTGGGATTCCTCGCCATTCTTCACTTCGTACACAGCTCGCGCACTGCGGCTTCACGACTCACGTAGCCAGTCACTATGGTCACATCATCGGCTGGCTCAGTGACAATCCTCACAAATTTTGTCAATTTGTGGTGTTCTGTCTTTCCAACCTCACGGATCGCTCGTTGAAACGCAGCACTGACTGCCCACTACACCCGCCCATACCTTATGGTATACAACATAGTAGCAGCGCCATTCCCCACTCTAATCTTGATGTTCCCGCCCATCCTTGCCTCCATCTTGATCGCCACTTTTGACGATTCTGGTCCGTGCCCCATGTTGTTTTGCCCGCAAAAACGCGCTCACCTTCACCTGCGCCTCTACTACGCCACGGATCCGCCTCAAATCCACATTCACCTGCGCTCCCAACCTCCCACGCTAAACTACTATCTGCCTAGATTCGGGGTACCTCTCCGGCCTCCGGCGCTGAGTCATCAGCGTGCACGAGCCATGTTGCTTTGAACGTAAAAGCAGGCCGACCTCCCTCACTTCTACACTCCAATCCACTTCTCAACCACCAACCACCAACAAAGCATCGAGATCCACTCCAGTCTTTTCAAGTCTGGGTGATTCCGATACAGCATTGACTATTTCTTTTAGTCATTCAAGGTTTTTGAAGTACCTTCCTCTTTGGTCTTTGATACTAACATAGTTTAGGTTTATGGTGTTGTGACTTCATACAACATCACTTCAACATGGTCATCAACAACAACAACATCATCACTTCAGCATCTTGCTTTTACTTCAACATGATCATCAACAACAACTACTATCCGACATGAAGTCACATCATCAACATACATCCAACAACAACTCAATCATCAACACACACTTCAACAACAAGTCAACCATCAACCAACATCATCTCAACTTCTTTCTTTGCTGTATCGGACATCAATTCAAAACACCACCCGGCTTCTGGATTCCTGGATTTTCGACAATCACTTTCGAACAGCTGTCCTAGAAGTAGGCGCTGGGCACCGGACAGGAGGGACTCTTCGACAGATCTCCTGGGCGTTTCCATCTACGGATGGTCAAACGCTTTGCTCGAAACCCGCAAATATCATGGATGGCACAGGGTGTAGACAAGGCTGCAGGGTCCCTACGAGTTGGAAACTTGGGTTCGGGTCGACAATCACAGCTGGATGCTCGGAACATTTTGGGTTTGGATTCGGAGGATCGCTTTAGGCAGTTGAGTCCACCGATCGGTGTTGGAGGATAGAGGGTCAATGGCTTTTGCTAAACCTGGCCTACCAATCGGTTTGCTGAATGGTGCGGGAGGACAGACGGTCAATGGTGCTTGCACTAAACCAGGCCTACCATTCCAGCTTGGATTTCCTCCCTGATTGCATGTCACCGGCGCCCTCATGGGTCAGGTCAAAGTGGCATGTCTTTAGTGCGCTGGTAAAGGGTTGGTTGGATTTTCTTCCGGGCATCCAGTCATTGTTCGACTTTGGGGGTAACAGGTTCTGGGAAGGATGGGGTTGGAACATTCATCAAAGGTTCGACTTGAGGTTGGAACAGGTTATTGGTTCAAGGAATGGTTGGCATTAAAAGAAATGCATTATCACATTAAATAAACAATGAACAAACATCAAACAATCAAACAAAAATTCAAACTTTTCATCATCACTTCTCTTCTTCTTGATTGACTTTGACATTATAACTTGACTCTCTTCTTACTTCTCTTCTTACATCTCTTCTTACCCTTCCTACTTCCCATCCTTTTTACTTACCTAGGCCATGACTTCCTACGTGACTAACATACCTTCTTCTTACCTACCCTTAACATCTATCCCACCTTATCTCTCCATGTATGTCTACAATAATGTCTTTGCTTTAGTGTCGTCGCATACATAAATGTTCCAAGTCACATGTACTATCACCAAGACGTTAATCTATCCTCCACATGTGCTTTATTCATTCTCTTTTATTACGCGAAAGCTTCCTTATTAACATTAAGTGTTAATTAATGTAAAAAAAATTGCCACAACCGCAGCAGGGTATCACAAGCACAGATCTCTAAACGCCTCCCAAGCCTATCTAAAGTATGAAAGAAGCTCTTAAACCTCATCATCTATAGCATCCATCCCCAGGAAATTTAAACGCAGACCCCGCGGCTCCACCTCAAACTCCCCTTCATCGTCACTCTCCATCTCTTCCTCAAAGGCCGCATCCCCCGAGCTTTCCGTCACAAATTGGCAATGGTTAACCCTGTACCCGACATCAGCATCAGCCTCCTCCGGCGACATCCCCAGGAGGATGCGCTCTGATCGCAGCATCCTCTTCACGTAATCCATCCTACTTGCGCGCGTTTGCATGGAAGCCGGTAACCTGGAGAGCGGAGGGTTCGGCCGGGTTGTCTGGCACCAGCGCCTGCGCACAGGGCAGAAGACGATGCAGAGGTGCGCTTGGATGCGGCTGTGCATAGCGGCGCGTCCGTGCAGTTTGGCAACATTGTTACCTGTTTGGCTGACGAGGGCGTAGATGTGGTCGCGACGGGCGAGGACGTCTGGTTCGGAAATCTGTTGGTGAGAGAGTTAGCGGGTTGGTGGGGTTGTCTGTGGTCGTTGGCAACACTGCGCTGGGGGCTTAGCGTGGTGATGGAGAGGAGATGTACCATGATAGCTTGACCACCCATTACAGATGCTGTACCGACTGTTAATGCTTCCAGGTACGGATGCAGCTCATTAGGCGTGAAGAGGTCAAGTTTCGAGAGATTATAGGTCGACATTGCTGCCGTCATTGTCTGTCGCGCACCCGCTTCATTAGCATCATCTCCTCTCCTCACAATAACAATCAACCAAAAAAAAATCTCATACAATCTTTGGAAACACCGTCCTGTCACAGTCCTTGCAGCAGACAACGTCGCTGTAGAAGCACGCGCGTCTTTTGCTTGCTCTCTTGCAGAACTGGCATATGTCGCCGAGCCACTTGCGGCGCAGGGTCGTGAGCTTGCCTGCTCGCTTGGGTAGAGGGAGACCATGCTTCTTCAGCGCATTATTGGCGTGCTCTTCGACGACCGCGTTGAAATGCTTAGAGGTTGCGGAAAGAGCGAGGAGGGTGAGAGGTTCAGTGAGTGTGTGGACGGGCTCGAGGAGAGCAAGGATTTTGTAGAGGATCTCTGGGGGGATGGACTCGAGGCCCGACATGGTGGTGGTGGTGGTGCTTGTGTAAGTGGAGTAGTGGAAATGCGGTCGAGATAAGAAAGGTTGATGTGGGGAGGATGCGACGAGGTCAAGGCGGATGTGGGGAGAGCTACCGGTAATGTATGAGGCGGGAGAGAGAAAATCTCCGATTGGATGGACCCAGGATCGCCGGTCTGGCCTCCTCCCCAGTGAGGTCAATAATAAGCTTCAAGTCTAAGAAAACTTAATTCTCGTTCAGAAGCATGATACTGATTCATCATGATTCATGTTGCAATTTCACATGTCCCGCCATCGACGTCCGAAAATCCTTGCGCCTCACCATTCCTCAACCCTCACTCATTCCCTCCTTCAATTGCTCGAGAAATCCAACCAGTCTCTTTTTGATAATAACACCCACTAAAGCTCCCGTCCCCTCCTCTGTAACACACAAATACCGCAATCCTAGCTTTGAAAACATCTCCACCGCGTATTCCAACGGCGCCTTCGCGCATATACTTAGCGGCGTCCTGTCTACAAAGGGCGTGAGGTCGAGTTCTACACCTTCGGGCGATGCCAGGTTATGTGTCTCATGGCTCAGAAGGCGGACCTGGAAATACGGTTCGCTGGGAATGGCGCTAGGGACAAGTTTGGTGAGACCAAAGTCGAGCTCGGATTGCGAAATGTAGCCTTGCAAGATGGGGATGCCAGATGAGCCATGACTCTGCACGAGGACGAGACCAGCATCCATCAAGCCTCTGTTCCTTAGATACCCCAATTTCTCCTTCATCAAAGCGTACGGAACCGTGCCCGTCTCGGGAACATGTACAGTGATTTCCTCCATTGTTCGCTTCGGCGGGATGAGCACATCAACAGACATTTTCCTCTTTCTCACAATCTCAATCGCCACGTCGGGATCGAGAAAAGGATGACCCAGAACGTTCTGCGCGAGGTCGTAAACTCCTTCTGATGAAATGGCATCGGCGACCCACTTTGCAACCAGGATGGCGAGCATATGCGGGACCACGTAGGAGAGTTGGCCGGTGAGTTCGAACATGATGACTGCGAGCGATATGGTCATACGCGACACACCTGCGAGGAAAGCTGCAGCGCCGACCATGGCGAAGATGCCCGGGCTAATAGAAGGAATCAGTTGACCTATCAAACGACCGAAGAAGGCGCCGGCGTCAAGAGCGGGGATAATGACACCAGAAGGTACCTTTATACCAAACGTGATAATGGTCAGGACAAGTTTGGCCAAAGTGCCATAGATGAGCCATCCAGTGTAAGGCCAATTTGTCACTGTGGATCCCTCCTTTCGACAGACCCACGACTCCTGCGAAATACCATCGCAATCCACTAGCAAGTTCTTGATAATGACATCCCCTGGCTCCCGTGTCAATGGATTCGGAAACTGAACAAGTGCCGTCGAAAGCACCACCAGTGCCACCTCGAGAACTGGATTCCGCTTGATAACCTCAAACGAGCGAAACCACTTTGACCACAAAAAGTTCAACTTGCAAAACAGTCCCCCAAACACACCTCCCGCGACTCCGAGAAGAACAAACACCAAATAGTGCACAGCACTATACTCGGTTCCGTAGTTTGTTTCAAAGAGCACCAATTTCCCCGTGCCCATGGGATTCAACTCCTTTAGCACCATGGCTGCCACCAAACTGCACAAAAACGCCCTCCACAGCACTTTACGCGGGAAATAGGTACTGATCTCCTCATAACTGAAGAGGACACCGCCAATCGGGGCGCCAAAGGCTACGGATAGACCGCTCGAACATGCAGCGCTGAGCAGCTCACGCATTTTGCGGCCGTTGTTGCGGTATTTGGGGAACAGTGAGCCGACGAGGTAGCCGACGCAGGTGGAGATGTGGACGAAGGGACCTTCTTTGCCGAGACACATGCCAGTGCTGACGGCAAATATTGCGCCAAAGGCTTTGATGAGAAGGACGGGGAGGGAGAGGAAGGAGGGGATTGTAAAGCCAGAAAGGATAGTCTTGATTTCGGGGATGCCGGAGCCTGTGGCTGTTAGCTTTGATGCTCCCCTATGATGGGGGATGAACTTGTAGTAAAGTGATGGGTTAGTTTACCGGCGGCCATGTACATGGCCTTTCCCCCACGGTTGATCTCATGGCTGGTCTGCCCGTTCAACTTCTTCATCGACGCAGAAGAGCCCCCCGATCCCGATCCAACAGAGGGCATTACACTCCTCGTCAACATAGTCACGCTCGAACTCACAATACCAAACACCAACGCCATAGCCACATAAATCGCAAAACTCGCCTTAGGATCCTCCGTCCAGACACGCCACCCTCTACACTTCCACTGCCCCATCTCACCACCATCCACACCTCGCCCCAATACCCCATCTATACGCCCACCCCTTCTCCACCACGCAAAAGGCTCGACCTCATGCGCACAACACGCTTCACGATTGCGCAACGGATGTCCAATACAATACCCACCCTTCCAATCCGACACCGTCGCAACTGCCACATCCACTACAAACGCTACGCACGCCGTCAACGCACCAATCAGCACAACCGCAAGCCAGCCCGAACATGCGTCGAAGAGGGCGACGAGTGTAAAGCGGATGCCACGCCGGGCCTGAATGGCACGGAAGCGGTAGGAATCCTTGACCTTGGGCGGTGTGTCAGTGGATAGGACTGCACTTCATTGTACTGTATATACAGTGGGGAGTTCAGATGGGGCAGAGTGCGTGTAGTACCGTACCAAGTCGTGCAGCCAGTCGATGGTAGTGTAGTCGTTGTAGCGAAGACGTTCACCGATTGTGCTGCCAGAGAGATGTTGTTCGTCTTTTGTGAGGGTGGAGGAGAGGATTGAATGTGCTTCTTCGTCTTGGGCGTGTTGGGGATGTGGTGAGCGCCGTGGGTGCAGGAGGGGCGTGCTTTCATTGCTGGAGTCACTGCTGGAAGCCATTGTAGAGAAAGTCTTGCACAGGTCTGGGTTCGTGTGTTTTCATCGATTGTGGGAATGGCTATGGTATGGTTCAGTCAGGGGGGGTCATTTTGCACAACGACTCTTGTTCAATGACGCGCAGACTGGCTTTTATGAGATGCGTGCTTATCAGCCGTGGGGTAGGGTCATCGCTTGATCTGGACTAACCTTGCACATGTGTGCTGGAGGCGGTGGCATTGGTGTAGCGATAAGGAATTGAGGCGCCGCGCATAACACCGTGTGATAGGCTAGCTCACATTGAGCATCATGGTGTTTGATAGGATGTACTAACGTGACAGGCCCGACAAAATTGATGGCTCTTTAGACGCGATCATGAGGAAGAGACAAACAGCTAAATTCATAATCTGATCCGTCCCTAGACACTATAAGATACAGGTACATCAGGAGCACGTAAAAAGAGGCACCGACCAAGCATTGCCCAAGTCCAGGAGCCTATGCCTACCATTACTCTATACCCACAGACCAGCCAGCACCAAATTGAAGCACGAATTGACAGGAGACACACGGCCTGATCGAGTCAGACGCCAGAAAATGTCAAAGCAAGGTGGCGTAGAGGCAGAGAGGAGTGAGACGAGATGTTGCGGCTTAGCCAGCTCAGGCCGCAGCCGTGGCTTCCATGGCCGAGCGATATCTCTCGCTTTCAGCCTTGCTCTTGTCTATGTATTTCTGTGGGAATATTTAGTCACAAACTCATCGTTTGCAGAAAGAGTGATCTCACCTGTTTCTCGCCCGCGCTCAAGGCCTTCCACTCGTTTGCCGCCAGTTTGGCTGCTTCGGTGACGGGGATGCCCTTGAAGTCGCCCGAGGTAAATCTCTCTGTGACGAAGTGGATGTATGCAGACGCGGGAGACTTGGGGACACGTTCGTCGATGAGCTTCTCGGTGCGAGCAGGATGTCCAGACTTCCGCTTGTTGACCAGTTTCTTTCTCAGTAGTCGGCGTGCATTGTTGGCCAACCTGATCTGATCGGGCGTGTGGGACTCGACCCAGGCCTTGTACTCGGCTCGCTTGGCAGCGGTTCTCTCGGCGGCCAAATGGTTGTAATGCTTTGAGGGCAGCGTGTTAGTGGGCGTGCGCAGACAGCAATTCATACATGACCCCACTCACCTCGAGTTCGGCGGGAGAAAGGTCTTTGAAGGACTTTGCAACCGCAGTGAGTCGCTCCTGAGCCGTGGGCAGATCCTGTGCCTTGTGGCTGTTCTGGGCCACGTAGAGGTTGAATGCGCTCAAAGAGCTGGGTGTGACAGGCTCCCTGAGCGCAACCTTGCGCAGGTGTGCAACCTCCACCTTGAGCTTCTGCTCCGGGGTAAGCTCCTTCTTGACACGCTTCTTTGCGGCAGGCTTCTTCGCTGCGACCTTCTTCTTCTTCTTAGCCGCAGGCTTCTTAGCTGCGGCCTTTCTCGTCTTCGTCGTCGTCGTCTTCTTCTTCTTCGCAGCCGCTGCAGACTTTGCCTTGGTCGTAGAGCCTGCCTTCTTGGTGGCCGTCTTGGGCGCTGGGCTGGCCGCAGCCTTGGCCTTGACTGCTTTCTTCACCGTTTCTGTGGGCTTGACTGCGGTCGCCGTCGTGGCCATGGAGCGACGGGCATTGAGAGAAATTGCGCGGGCACGCCACAGGTTGCGGGCAGTAGACGAGCCATTGGCGGCATTGCGCATCGGCAGGGCGCTCTGAAGGTGGCGGGTGAGGTGAGGAAAGTGGTGTGGGGATGTTTTGGAGCCATCAGCCGTCAAGCGACAGAGGGCGCTGCCGCGGACCAACATGGCGGCGAGTCGAGATGGAACTGGAAAGATGGCGGGACGAGGGAGGCAGACAGCGACGTCGATTGAGCAGATGTTCTGCGCGGAGCTGCTGTTGGGCGTGCAATGGCGAGAAGCGGGTGTGGCGAGGCGAAGTGTCTCTGCTGGGTCTGTCCAAGCAAGGTGGGTGGGAGCGAAACGAGAGCTCAAGCGATGGGCGGGGGCCGTCAGGAAAAGCTTCGAAGGGGGGGCCCGTGTCAACGCAGCACACACACACACACACACGCACACACACACGCACACAATTGCACGTCGCTTGCTTTGGCTTGACAGTCTGAGTGGCTGGGAGCTACGGCCCAATGCGTCCCAACTAACCCAGGCACGCCCGGCACGCCTTGCATCTGCCCCACGATCGACGCGCCTCGGAGTGGCAACCATCACAACAGGCACATACATAGTAGATGGATGGATGTGGATAAATAGAGTCTATGCAAACTATCGCAGCCGTGGTTTCGGCACACGCAAAATGCCATCCTTCTGCCTTTCAATGCTGGCTGGCTGGCGTTGCAGTCATGGCGACACAGTCTACTTCAGAACCAGCCATTACCACCGGTGTCCAGAACCACCATCCATGTGTCGCGCCCCCTTCTCTTCCCGTGTGTCCCTCGACGCGTAGCCCACACGTCCCCCACTGCTCTTTGTACAACCAAGTGCCGGCCTTGAGGGCCAGGAGAGTGTCTGCGGAGTCGGTCCGTCTCGTTGGCAGACATTCCTTACACGACCTCGTAACTGTGGTGTAACATGTTAGCCGCTGTCCTGCACTCGTAGTTTGTTGCATGCGGCCCAGCCTTACCTCCATGGATGTTGCTCTTCGTCGCCGTACTGGATAGCTTCTAGCCAGTCCTTCATCTGCTGCGTGATCGGGCCAGCTTCGCTGTGGTCTTCAAGTCCACAGTCGACCAGTCGACCCTTCCAGCTAATCTTCCGTACGGGACTGACAATGGCAGCAGTACCAGCTCCGAAAACTTCCATCATGCGGCCTTCATCCGCAGCGTCTGCAACCTCCTTCATGGTAAACTTGCGCTCGAGCACCTTCCAGCCCTTGGGCTCCAATCGTTCGCGTGCCAGACTCAGGATAGAGTCCCGCGTAACACCCTCGAGGATGGTGCCGTCGAGAGGCGCAGTGAGCAGCTCCGGCTGTCCCGTCTCCTTATTCTTGATCGCCGCGAACAGGTTCATTGTACCGACCTCTGTGATGTATTCCTCTTCTCCAAACAGCCACAGGTTCTGATGGAATCCACGGCTGGCAGCCTGCATCTGTGGCAGAATGCATGGCGCATAGTTGGCTCCCAGCTTCTTGTCTCCAACACCTCCAGGCCATGCGCGAACGGCGTAGTCTGTGGCCTCGAGCGAGATGGCCTTGAAACCAGTAGGGTAGTATGGGCCGACGGGGGAGGCGATCACGTAGAGGAGAGCGGAAGCGGGAGGGCCCACGCCGAGAGTCCGCTGTGTCCCAATCATAGTGGGACGAAGGTAGAGCGAGTATCCACGAGCACTGTCACAATCAGCCAGCTCCACAGCTCTGCCGAGCCAGGCCACTCACTCAGGGATGAAGCGCTTGTCCAGTTTGACAAACTCGCCAATGAGTTGGATCATGGCATCCGGGTCAAAGTTTGGCAGTGCAATGCGGGCCGAGGACTTGTTCAACCGAGCCATGTTCTTGTCCGGCCTGAACAGCCTGATGTTGCCATTCTTGTCCTTGTACGCCTTCATACCCTCGAAGCACTCGAACGCATAGTGGAAGACGCAGGTCGCAGGATCGAGGCTGAGGTTCTGGTAGGGTGTGATGCGCGCTGGGAGCCATCCTTCTGTTGCCGTCCACTCGAGCGCCAGCATATGATCTTGGGGCACTCTGTCAGCGTGGGAGTCAGACAGGTCACGAGATGGGTACCTGAGAAATTGCGGCCAAAGACGAGATCCTCTGGAGGCAGCAAGTCCTTGGGCGACTTTGTTTTCGTAATCGTCAGCTTGGTTGGGTCTATGTTTTTGATCTTTTCGCCCACAGAGGCCTCGGCGTGAATGCTGTATGCTCTCTGGGTCCGACATCGCAACGACGCGCTGAGCGGTGCTGCAGTCGGACGGAAGGCGCAATGGCGCAAGGAAGACAGCAGACGTATTGACCGTGGCTGCAACATGGTGTTTGAATATCACAATCAGTCACAAAGGGTTGTGATGTAGAAGTGAGGATGGTGCAAAGTGCGTGATTCTGAGCATATTATTATCGATTCTTAGCTGCAAAACTGACAATGTTCCGCAATCGTGCAATTGTCGGACCTAGACTCTGACACGCTGCCGTGGCCTGGTCGCGACCAATCGCCGGTCTACCATGGCCGCCCTCACCGCCAAATAGGGCGCAGTTGTCGTCCGAATAATATCTTGAGCGGATATTTGAGGGTATCCACGATTGTATTTCTTCGACAGCCGCTTCAATGATGACGGTGTAGCTGGGTGTGTCACATTTGTCGTGTGCACGGCAAGTCACCGTATGCGCCTCGGAACAGTGCCTGAGTGCCTGACTATCATGCGCCGCAACACGTGTGTGGGTCGCAACATTGCTGGGCGCCTACCACAATATACCTAGGCAGGTATCCTATCCTATCCCTTGCTAACAAAAACCGCGTGTCGACTGTTCAAGGCGAGTAACTGCAATCCTTATAATCTAGGACTTTGCCTTGATTTCCACTGCGGAAGGCACGCTCATGTCTACGATGCCCTGAGCCCCCCCCCCTCCCCCTCGGCGCAGTTCCAGGTGGCCGCATCAGAACGAACAAAAACTCTAGACACGACCAACCCACTCAACACCCACCCATTCCACGACGACAATCTGTGTACGACCCCCTCCCCCCACACTGCATTCTCGCGTCCCAGTCCATGACGCGACCGCTTTACGCCGAACAAGTCGCCGACCGGGTGACCAGACCGCCATGTTCTCCAACGCCCTGAAGTCGTTCACGTCGAACATCTCGAGCAACTACTCTCTCAGTCCTCAGCCCACATCGTACTCGGGGCCATGGAAGATATACGATGCCAAAAAAAAGTCCACTGGAAAGCCGGCGTCCGTCTTTGTTTTCGACAAGAAGTCGCTGGAACCACCAGCAGGCGCTGGCTTCGGCGGACGATCGGCTGCCTCGGGGCTGAAGCGCGCCCATGAGGAGGTCATAGAGAGGCTGAAGAAGGAGGCCAGCTCGCTGGCGCGCCTGCGACACCCGAGTGTCCTTGAGTTAGTCGAGCCGGTAGAAGAGACACGCGGCGGTGGGCTCATGTTTGCGACCGAGCCTGTTACTGCATCCTTGGCTGGACTCTTGGAGGATAAGGATGAACAGGAGAAGGCTGGTGGAGTCGGTGGCCGCCGCAGTCGATACGTAGTCGAAGATGCCGAAGGGCAGAAGCGGCGGCGTGAGCTGGAGATTGACGAATTGGAGATACAAAAGGGACTGTTACAGATTGCCAAAGGTTTGGAGTTTCTGCATGAGAGTGCTGGGCTAGTACATGCCAATTTGACTCCAGAAGCTATCTTTATCAATTCCAAGGTAGGCTATGCAATAGTATTCTCCTTTACGAACGAGCTGCTGATCATTGTGACAGTCAGATTGGAAGATCTCAGGATTGGGCTTTTCAACTCCACCTGAAAACTCCACAAAACCTACTTCAGTCACTCCCATTTCCCTTTCCGAGGTCCTCAATCACGATGCACGACTGCCACGCCACGTTCAACTGAACATCGACTATACATCTCCCGACTTTGTCATGGACGGTAACATTACACCAGCCGCTGACATGTTCAGTCTGGGCATGCTCATCATTGCACTTTACAATTCGCCTCACAAAAGTCCAATGGAGTTTCATGGAAGCACTTCATCGTACAAGCGCGCCTTCTCTTCATCTGCATCCATTCCGAATAAGAGTAACAATTTCATGTCATCGCAACCGCTACCAAGGGACGTTATGAACGGTGTATTGGATCGTCTCATCACCAGGCGTCCTGCACAACGCATAGATGCACGAGAATTCCAGCAAGCACAGTATTTTGACAATATCCTGGTTTCAACCATTCGCTTCTTGGATTCACTGCCCGCAAAGACCCCCAATGAGAAGTCACAATTCATGCGGGGCTTGCCACGAATACTAAATCAATTCCCAAAGTCTGTGCTGGATAAAAAGATCTTGCCGGCTTTATTGGAGGAGATGAAAGATCGCGAGTTGCTCACTCTAGTCCTGCAGAACGTCTTCAAAATCATTGTAATGCTTCCCGCAGGCAAGCGAGCGTTCACGGAAAGGGTTATACCAAAGCTGAGGGAGACATTCTTGACGGCCGCAACAATAATCGCCAAAGGAACACCTCCGGAAAGGGACAGCTTGAAAGAAGCTGGTCTTATGGTCGTACTCGAGAATATACAGGTTGCTGCTGATAACTCTAGCGGCAAGGAATTCAAGGACGACATATTGCCCCTTATCAACTACGCACTCGAATCGCCAATACATTCACTGGTCGATGCTGCCCTTCGAACGCTGCCCGTCGTCCTTCCTATTCTGGACTTTTCGACCGTCAAGAATGAACTGTTCCCCGTCATAGGCTTCATTTTCGCAAAAACAAGTAGCATGGGAATCAAGATTCGAGGCTTGGAAGCGTTCAAAACCCTATGCGGTGGAGGTGGCAACGAACAGGAGGATGATCAAGGGGATGGTCTAACTGGGATGGTGGCTGCGCCAAAGCCCAAAACCTCGAATGTCTCCATACTGGATAAATATACAATCCAGGAGAAGGTTGTTCCACTACTGCGAGGGATCAAAACCAAAGAGCCCGCTGTCATGGTATGTTGTTTCAGCTCACCGCCTCTGTTCCAGCTACTAACAAAAGCTAGATGGCTGCTCTAGATGTCTTCAAGGCGATTAGCAACCAAATTGATAGCGACTTCTTAGCGATGGACGTCCTTCCCATACTGTGGCAATTCAGTTTGGGGCCGTTGCTCAACCTCCAGCAGTTTCAAGCATACATGGCTCTCATCAAGTCCACGTCGGCACGCATCGAGAATGAACAGACACGAAAGCTTCAGGAGCTGGGTGCAAGCAGTACAAGCGCAACGTCACGCAACGAGTTCATGAGCTTCAGTGGCCCATCGACTGCAAACGGGTTCGAAACTGAGAACGAGAACGGCGACAATAACTTTGAGGCGCTTGTACGAGGCGGACCACAAGGCTCCTCTGGAGGAATAGACATGCTGGGTGGTAGCTCTTGGCCGAATGCAAACTCATCCAAGTCGACGTCCACAGTTTTACCATCGCATCCACTGAGCTCTACCAGATCGGACAACGCGTCGCCAGCTGCGACATTCTCATGGTCCAGTCCACCTGTCTCACCTCCCCCGAATACCAACCTTGTAGCTCCAAAAGCGCAAAGTGGAGCAATCACGCCCGATAACACACTCAGCAGTCTCAATTCATCTTTCCCTGCACTGAGTGCTAGCAACCCAGGTATCGGAGGCTCTTCTTATGTGCAGCCGCAACAGCAGTCGAGACCCGCTATGAGCATGAATGGGATGATTTCACCTTCCACCACAACATCATACACTGCCTCGAATGGCTCTGGTGTTGATTGGAGCAAAGCCGCGTCGTCCATGGCGTCAAATAACTGGGGAAGTTCCTCGACCACAGCCAACACGACAAATGGTCTCTCCCACTTCACCTCAATGGCGCCCGCGCCGCAGCAAACCAGCACGCAGGCCAACCCTTACTCTTCTTTTAGTATAGCACCTCCACCTCTCAAATCAGCCGGAAATAGCTCGTTCAGTATACCGCCGCCCCCTAGTACGGGTATGGCAAATAGGATGCCAAGTTCTAGTAGTGGGATGGGAATGAATAGTATGGCTTCGTTGAGGGCGCAGACACAGAACCAACCGCAACAAAAGCAGCAAAAGCAGCAGCCGGCGAATTGGGGGAGCGGAGGTGATAGCTTGATTTGAGCATGAGCATGAGCATGAGTTTCTGCTCTGAAGTGGATTTGATATTTAGCGCGGCGTCCCTGTTAGGAACTGGGACATATAGAGAGCAGATCAATCTAACCTGTTACCATCCATCTCCAACACGACATCTCATGCATCTATTATGCCACTTTGAATGCGTGCTCTGAGACGTCAGCGACCACCGTATCGTGCCAAGTACTCTTGCAGGTGTCTTACGCCAAGTTCAGCGGTAACCACGACCCCGTTCAATAGCCCCATCAATACCTACAGCATCTCCACAAGCACCGAAATCATAAGATTATATTCAAATGGGCGTAGCAAACCTCTCCCACGCATCGTTCCCTTGAACCATAAATAAGCTTTGCCGAAGGTCGTAAGAAATATCCATCTCTCTACCCCACCACCAGCACTAGTGTAGGTACTGGTAGGTACCGGTACATAGATAACTACCCGTGAACCGGGTAAGCCGCTCCCTTGGCATGCCCAACTTTCACAAAGATCTCACGTCACAGTCCCAGGTACATATAGCTGAGTGTTCACTCTCCTCATCACCGTTGTGTCATTCATCAATCTAGCATACCCAGGAGCCCACGAACCAGCCAGAAAGAAATGTCTCCGATCCCGACCCTCTACTCCGCCCCGGAATCCGGTAATAGCTACAAAGCGCGCCTCCTGATTGCACTTTTGAAACTTGATGTTAGGATTGTGGATGTGGATTTGGAGGTGAGCAGTGATTTGCGAGTACATGTATTATAGTTTGCATGGAGACGAAAATATCAAGGAAAGCGTAGTGGGAACTGATGGTGTGAAATATAGAACGATGAACAGCATACCGAGTGGTTCCTGAAGATCAACCCAAGAGGCGAAGTCCCGGTTCTGGTAGATGGCGAGGTGACGCTCGGGGATTCGAGTGCGGTGTTGGTGTGGTTGGCGGGGAAAGCGGGGTCTAGGTTTTGGTCGGGGGATGTGGGGGAGCAGGCGGGGATTGTGCAGTGGGTGAGTTGAATTATTTTTTTTTGGTATTTTTTTATGTATTTTTCGCGGGTGAGTTGGGGCCAAAGAATAGGGTGAATGGAGGGCTAATGTGCTGGGTGGATGAATGGTAATAGCTTGCTTTTGCAAACAGTTGGATTCAATTCGGTATGTGGTTCATCATCCTCACCATACATTTGTAAACCAATCCAGCCACTGAACCCAACAAGGCGTCTTCACCAACCGTGCCATTCTCTCCTACAACGGCCCGTACAACGGTCTCGGGACAAACGCGTCATGGACGGCCGAGCAGATTCAAACGTTCCTCCAAGAAGGCGCGGTGCGCGGGAACAAGTCGCTCGCCATCTTACAGCAGCATTTGGAGGGGGAGGACTGGTTGGTGCTGGGTAGGCCGACGATTGCAGATGTGAGTGTGTTTGTGTATGTGGCGTTGGCGCCGATGGGGGATATTAGTCTCGAGCCGTATCCGGCGGTGGGGAGGTGGATTGGGAGGATCAAGGGGTTGGAGGGGTTTGTGGGGATTGTGGGGTTGGAGGATCCGATGGTGAGGAGGTAGGATGGTTGTTGTTTGTTTTACTGGGGAGGGGGATTCGATGGTGAGGAGGAGGTGGGTTAAAATGGTAGTTGTTTGTGTTAAATTGGGGAGGGGTTGGGTAGGGGTATTTTATTCGTAGTGAAAAGTATCATGGTGAAGATGTGAGGTTTCGTTGATGAATCAACAGAGAGGGAGAGTGTAACAGAGAAGACGATTGTGCAAAAGTGAAGACTTGCCCACACCCTCTGTTATGGTGTGCAGTATGTACTTAGCTCGGTAATCTGTTGGATGATCATGTTCTCATAAAATATCTTGTGAAGCTGGGAAAACCACAAAGATATAGCTATTGAGATGAACCTGGCCATCTTGCCCCTGTGTGACTAACAAGCACGTTTTCAAACCTACAAATTGCATTCAGATCATGTAAGCACCTTGACGTGGTTATCCACTGTCCCCATACAATATGAATGTGAATGATGATGAGCTGCAAGGGCCCGAACATCCTCTCACTGATAGGTATCACCACTTTACTTTATCCCATTCTTCCGCGCGCGCAAAAAAAAAGGCCGCAACGTACCCATCAGTCGGCCAAGGAGAATTCCAGTGGAGCATGATGTCCCTAAGACAGTGCGAACAAGCGAGTGGGCGAAAGGCAAGATGATACAAGAAGCATGGACAGAGGCTTGACGGCGGTTTTTGCGGCAGAACTGGCGTTAGCTTTCCAAGATCCAAGGCTTCGCTAAAGGGCAAAGGATGAGCTTCTTGCTGCTTGATACGGGCTTGACCCCACTCCACCCGGCCTTGGCTGATGCTTATTGGGAAGCTGGTGGGCAACCAAACGTCATGGCTGCTGGCGCAACGGTCGCTGGTAGGTATTTGGTGGTGAGACTGGGAGATTTGGGTGATCTGCAGAGGAGAAGATCTGAGATGGACCCTAGAGTACGGTAGGCTCTCTTTTTTTTGGGGGGGGGATGCAAGAGTCTTTTTTCTCTCGTCTAGATCCGGTCGATAGCTAGGTACTTTTTCCAAGTTCTCCATGGTAGGGTCTGAATGTCCGCCAGCGTAGTATGTCGCGTTCCAGAGTCCAGCGTCCAGCCTAGCCCATGGGTCTTGCATGGAAGAAAGTCGCCTGGACGGGAGCACCAAGGACAAAATCTCGTTAGCTATCCAAGCGGGGGGCCCGTTGAGCCTACCGGAAAAGTCGAGTCCACAAGGATAACGTCACCCTAACCAACAGCCTGTCCACCAGGGCGGCACAAACGCCACTGAGACCGAGCCTGGGACGGGCACGTCAGCCATGCAGTATTCAGTGCACATGCAAAAGACTCTACATTACATGATTTGATGTTGGTCTAGCTGTCCGCGGAAGGGAACAATGCGACGAAGAGCAGGAAAAAAGTGGCCGTCATAGCGCACAAAAGGCAGAAGGCGCCGGTGAAAGACGAGCCGCTGCTTGCTCTCTCTCCCTCACCTTTGACCCGGCCTCACCGAACCTCCAAGGGCTCCCGACCGTCATCCCCGCCAAGCCCACAAGTCCACACACACACACACACACACACACACACACACTACTTCCTTTTGCAGCAAGCCTTGCAACCAACTACTTCTCACCTACACTCCATCCCATCAGTTTTATTATTGCCCCCCTCCCCAGACTGAGCCAGTCATACTTAACAGCCCCCAATCGCCCACTCATTCTCAAGCTTTGTTCCCCATCCTCCCATCTCGCAGTCTGGTCAGCACCCCCGACTGTTTCCACTTGACAAAAACACCACCCAGGCCATAGCACATTCAAGTGGTTAATGCTACCGGAACCGACTTCACGCAGTCGTATCTCTTACACACCGAACGTTCGGTGCATCCGTAACGTCAAATGGCGCTAGGTCTAGTTGGCGAGAAGGAGGCTGCTTTGGCCGACTCTCACAGCCAGTCCAGCGACTATCGCAAGGCCACGGGTATCGAGAAGAGCTATGATGCCGAGGCAGGCCTCCAAGGCCAGCCTGGCAGCCGCGACAGCAGCGATGTGAGCTTCTCGATTGAAAAGCAGATTGAGATGGAAGCAGGGAATGACATCAAGTACCGCACATGTAGTTGGCCTAGAGTATGTTCCTTGCCCCATGCGCACAAGGCGTGAAAATTCACATGATCGCGGCCATCGAGACTGATTTGGTTCAAGACTGCCGCTCTGTTGTTTGCCGAGTACATTTGTTTGGCCATCATGTCCTTCCCATGGTCATACTCGGTCCTTGGCCTTGTCCCAGGTCTACTCTTGACCGTTGCCATTGCAGGACTTGTCCTCTACACTTCCTTGATAACCTGGGAATTCTGCCTGCGCCATCCTGAGATCCGCGATGTGTGCGATTTGGGCCAGATGATCTTCTGGAACAAGTCGTGGGCGTTCTACTTTACTGCCGTCATGTTCATTCTGAACAGTAAGTCTTGTCTCCCATGTCGATTGAACATGCAATCTGATTAGGGAAACTAGACACCTTCATTATGGGACTGCACTGTCTTGTAGGAGCCAAGTGGTGGAACACCATCACTGGACATGGGGCTTGTACCATTGTCTTCTCTGCCATCACAGCCCTGATTTCTTTCGCTGCTTCATTACCTCGTACATTCTCCACGCTTGCCCAGCTCGCAACGTTCTCCGCACTCTTCACGTTCGTCTCGGTCGTCCTTGCAGCCATTTTTTCTGGAATCGAGCGCAAGCCTGCTGGCTATCCTAGCTTGGGCGAGCCTCTCGTAACTGCATTTCCAGAGGCTACTGTCACTTTTGTGACTGGTATGAGTGCGTTCATGAACATTAGCTATACTTTCATTGGACAGATTACGCTGCCTAGCTTCATTGCTGAAATGAAGAACCCCAAGGACTTCCCCAAGGCGCTCTGGACCGTCACCATATGCGAGATTATCGTATTCAGCCTGGTTGGTGGTGTTGTGTACGGCTACACTGGAAACCAATACATGACTTCGCCAGCTTTTGGCAGTCTTGAGAACGAAGTCTACAAGAAGGTTGCGTTTACGTTCATGGTTCCCACCATAGTCTTCCTGGGTGTCCTTTACGCCTCCGTTTCCGCACGGTTCGTCTTCTTCCGTGTCTTCGCCGGCACCGAGCACGTATCCTCTCACACTGTTGTCGGATGGCTAGGCTGGGCTGGAATTCTCGCAATCCTGTGGATATTCGCTTTCATCATTGCGGAAGTCATTCCCTTCTTTTCGGACTTGCTTTCGCTTATGAGCTCGCTGTTTGATTCGTTCTTCGGCTTCATCTTTTGGGGCGTCGCGTACTATCGCATGCGCCGAGAGACCTACGGCCCTGATTTCTACAAGACGCGCGGGTTCCGTGGATACTTTGGGTTTGGATTCAACATCGTGCTCTGCTTGATTGGCTTGCTGTTTTTAACGGCAGGCACGTATGCTACCGTGCAGTCCATTATCAATGGGTATAGGATGGCATCCTTCGGCGGACCGTTCTCTTGTCAAGACAATGGTTTGTAGATGGGCCCAGTTTTGGTTAGTTGGCGATACTGCGCGTCTTGACTTCTCCACCTGGATGGGTCAGTCTACCCCGCAGCCAGACATCGTATGATATGGATAGAGGATTGCGAAAAGCAACACAGGCGTTCATGGTACATGTAAATGGAATAGGCTAGAAATGCAATCACTTTCCTTTAGCACCATGTTCATACTGGGAAAATCATGGTATATAGGCCTCAATGGTGTTAGTGATGTGGAACATCTCCAAGTGGTTACCCACAAGCTATGACGTTTCGCTAACGGCTGTAACTGCCGGGCAGAACACATGCGAACCAAGCGAGCTATCAACCAACCCCACGTGTTTCTCCCACTGTCGTTCTCTTCTCGCTCACAACCTCAAATCCAAACATCAATCTTCTTACTGATCTCGTACTTTCAGCGATCATGAGCTCTTACATAGACTTTAGCCAGCCCAGTTTGTGGAGTAAGCCGACATGATGCGGGAGGAAGAGCTTCGTCAGATCCAGGCTAATATGTTGCAACAGTATCTGCGGCGAGCATCTTGTTTAATCCGACGTTTTGGAAGTAGGTCTACCCGACACTGAAATGCTTTTTTCGTCTGGGAGCTAAATGGAATCTAGCATTGCTGCGCAGCAAGGTACGATACCTCGGCTTCATTGTGGACGTTCCACCTTCGAGCTTGGCCAACACCTTGGTCATCGGGTAGTCGGGTGGGTGGAAAGGATATACGGGATGAAAAGACTGACGAGAACTACACAGAATATCATAACAAGTTCCTCACTAAGCTTGCGGGTGGGAACCCTCGACTGGGGTGCTATGTGCTCGCCGTAACCATCTTCTCTCTCGGCATCTTCAGAGACTACCTGTACGTCCACGTCCCCCTGCATTCTCTCAAATGATTCCACCTGTTCACAAATTCAGACGAACAGTACCATCATCTCATTGGCATCCAGCATCCTGCTAACCAAAATCCCCAGCTACAACGAAGCTCTCGCCGCCCAACCCACGCACCCAACCCTCCTCTCCCCACTCGTCAAATACTCTGCAATCCCCCTCTTCCTCACAGGCAACACCCTCGTCCTAACATCCATGTACGCCCTCGGCGTAACCGGCACATACCTCGGCGACTACTTTGGCATCCTCATGGACGCACCCGTCACATCCTTTCCCTTCAACGTCTCCAACGCGCCCATGTACCACGGCTCGACAATGAGCTTTCTCGCCACAGCCCTCTGGTTCGGAAAGCCGGCGGGCCTTTTGCTGACCGCCTTGGTGGCCGTGGCGTACAGCGTGGCGCGCAGGTGGGAGGACCCGTTCACGAACATGATTTACCAGAAGAGAGACGAGGAGAGGCAGAAGGGCAAGAAGGCCTTGTAGACCGTTGCTCTCGAACCACTCGGGAACGTCGACTCGGGCAAATGTCCCCCCGGCTCCTGAGACCTTGGGGTTTCGTAAATCTTTGTGCGAGGTATATGTATGCTCTCTGCACATGAAGATGTCGTACCCCACGGCCGGAGTCACGAAAAAGGTGCGGTGAGACAAGTGGCGGTATAATTTGGATTCAACATAGCACCGTTAGATTGCACAGCTGAGAGCATGATACAAAGAGAGAGAGAGAGAGAGAGAGAGAGAGTACAGCACAGCGACACGGGCGCATATGAGGTTTGTTGGAACTGTGTGCGGGTATTCAATTGCCACCACCGTAAAACGATGAGTCTTAGTATATAGTTGGTATGAACAAAAGCACTTTTGCATGAACTTGACACAGCCCAAAGCGACAACCACCCAGAGCGACAGAAAAAATAGGTTGCACGTCTCATGCGAGTCGGCCTTTGACTTTGCGAAATGCAGGACGATACCCTTTACTGGACCGTAGGCCAGGTAAGACGGAGACAAACAGCATCATCTCACGCTCATTGGATCAAACATTCAGGACGACTACAATACATCACGTACACGATACGATAGACTGGCCTTTGTTGATAGTGAGAAGCATGCAATATAATCTTTTCGCTAACAAGATTTGCTTCTACACTCAAGAGACGTCGCTTGACCCAACCCATTGTGCCGAAACAAGTTGAACTTGCCTCATTACAATCACTTGGATGCAGACAACTTGCTCAAAGGACGAATCGAAACATTATAGTAGACCACCAATACCAATACTCAAGCCCAGCGAGGTATTACAGTTGGCAAGCTTACTCTTCAGCCTCAAGAGGAGCCTCCTCGTCGTACTCCTCCTCAGCGTCGGAGACGGAAGCCTCCTGGTATTGCTGGTACTCGGACACCAGATCGTTCATGTTGGACTCGGCCTCGGTGAACTCCATCTCGTCCATACCCTCACCAGTGTACCAATGCAAGAAAGCCTTGCGCCTGAACATGGCAGTGAACTGGTCACCAACACGCTTGAATAGCTCCTGAATGGAGGTCGAGTTACCGACAAAGGTGGAGGACATCTTGAGGCCACGGGGAGGCACGGAACAGAGAGCGGTCTGGACGTTGTTGGGGATCCACTCAACGAAGTAGGATGAGTTCTTGTTCTGGACGTTGCGCATCTGGTCCTCGACCTCCTTCATGGAGACCTTACCACGGAAGTAGGCAGAGCAGGTCAGGTAGCGACCGTTACGGAAGTCGGACGCAGCCATCATGTTCTTGGGGTCGAACATCTGCTGGGTGAGCTCGGGAACGGTGACGGCGCGGAAGGAGTGGGCACCGCGGCTGGTAAGGGGAGCGAATCCGACCATGAAGAAGTGGAGACGGGGGAAGGGCACCATGTTGACAGCCAACTTCCTGAGATCGGAGTTGAGCTGACCAGGGAAACGCAGGCAGGTGGTGACACCCGACATGACGGCGGAGACGAGGTGGTTCAGGTCACCGTATGAAGGGTTGTTCAGCTTGAGGGTCCTCATGCAGATATCGTAGAGAGCCTAGGTCGAGTTAGTTCGGCGCCGTCCGTATGAGTAGTGGAGATCAAGACATACCTCGTTGTCAATGCAGAAGGTCTCGTCGGAGTTCTCGACAAGCTGGTGCACGGATAGGGTGGCGTTGTAGGGCTCGACAACGGTGTCGGAGACCTTGGGGGAGGGCACGACCGAGAAGGTGGCCATCATACGGTCAGGGAACTCCTCACGGATCTTGGAGATCAATAGGGTACCCATACCAGCACCGGTACCACCACCGAGGGAGTGAGTGATCTGGAAACCCTGGAGGCAGTCACAGCCCTCAGCCTCGCGACGGACGACATCGAGGACCTGGTCAACCAGCTCGGCACCCTCAGTGTAGTGACCCTTCGCCCAGTTGTTACCAGCACCAGACTGGCCGAAGACGAAGTTGTCGGGACGGAAGAGCTGTCCGAAAGGTCCAGCGCGGACGGCATCCATGGTACCAGGCTCGAGATCGACGAGGACCGCACGGGGAACGAACTTGTTGCCGGAAGCCTGCAAATGGTCAGCATCTACAGCGGCCTCGTAGCGTGGACAAGGAGATCAATCGCGTACCTCATTGAAGTAGACATTCATGCGCTCGAGCTGGAGATCTGAAGTGCCATTGTAGACACCGGAGCCGTCGAGGCCGTGCTCGCCGGAGATGGTTTGCCAAAAGGCGGCACCGATTTGGTTACCCTTAGGACATGTTAGCTTTCCAAAGCTAACTCAGCGCATCGTGGACAGGATAGACTTACGCATTGACCGGTCTGGAGGTGGACCTGTAGCGCAGAAGACTGTTAGCTGTTGCTCTATCTCTGTTTCTCTGTTTCTCTCGCTTTCTTGGCTGTGTTGTGTGTTGACCCTGAATCAAACGCGGGGCAGGAACGCGCCACTGCAGGTGCCCAACAAAACATGCAAAACCAAGGTGATACGTACAATCTCACGCATGATGGCGGTGGGCGATGTGGTGCTGAGGTAAAGGTGTTGGGTGGGAGCTGAGAATGCGCAAGAAGTTGGTAGAGGGTGGTGTTGGTGCTGGTGCGGAGAGAGGTTGAAGGAGAGCAGAAGCGGTGAGGGCCATGGGAAAGATTGTGGGCCTGGTCCGTGTCCGCGCTATTGACCGCTAGCTGTAAACAACGCGCGACAGGAACACCGTCAAGGGGATCGTCGTGGCAATTTTGGCGGGCAATGAGATGGACTATCTGTGTCCACGGGAGATGATGCACTATATCTATTGTACATTGTGCATTCTACTTACTCGTAGACGAACATGAAACAACTACTTTCCTGGAGTACAGAGGCGCTATGAGCTATACCGATACGCTTCTTACCTACACCTCGACCATTTCATCTCTATACCATTTCTGTCCCTGCCCCTGCCCCCGTCCACTTTCGAGCCGAAGGATCTGAACAACAGCATACCCTATCTAGGAGAGGATCAAGTATCATCCATAGCATACAATCTAATGTCTATAACACCACTGCTACTCTAGGCTATAGCTCCTTCTTCGTGGTACCACCAACACGCCCCTTAGCTGCCGAACTTCGCGCCTTAACAACTGAAGGCACCGTCCAAATGTTTGGCCACACCAGCTCATACTCATCCTGTCTATAGTTCAAACAATGTCTCAACCAGATACCCCAGACAATATAGAAGTAGGCCCCCGTGCCTGTCATGAGATGCCACATCCCATGTCCTTCCAACATGAACCCCCAGGGCATACCAATCTCCCGGCGCCATTTGATCAAGGTCGAACAGTGCACATTGTCCAAGTGCCAAACTGCAAAACCACCTAGAAATATACTCAGACCAAAGGTAATCATCTTCCACATCGTGCGAAGAATCTGCTCATCTCGGAGGTCCTTTTGCTTCTGGCCCGTCTTTCCACCGCTACGGACATTGGGATTCGCTGCCTCCCTTTCCTTGGAGCGGAATCTAGGTCGAATGTTGACTTCCATGACATACATGGCTCGAAACAGCACGATTGCAGTTAGGAGTGCGTATGCGTTTTGATGAAAAGTCGGGTCTTGCAGATAGTGATAGTAGAGCGTGATGAATAATGCGATCGCCGTCAATCCAATGGCCAGTATCGTCGAATAGAGTCTTGATTTTCCATATGAAAATGTTGCAAAGTTCATCAGACATGTCGTGTATATCATCGATAGTTCGTCCACGAGCTGCATGGGGTCTTTGTTATATCAGCAAAAGTACGACAAAATATTCAGCGATGACGTACACTTCAGCGTCGCGTGAAAAAAGAAGCTTCCGGTCCCTACGAGGAGGTAGCCAATGAAGGCTACAAGGAAGACCGTATCGTGTCCATGCTTGATGCAATTGCGAATACCCTTGATGGCCAGGTACATGAACAGTAGATTGGTCAGGGTGTTGATAATCTCGGCAGAATACTGTGTGACAACGTAGTTCTTCATCCATGTCAGAATATATCAGTACATTGCTTCCCACTGGACTAACCTCTTCGCACCAGTCTATAGTCGACGTGACAGGCGACCAGAAACCATCCTGCTCTGGTGGATAAGGTATCGACGGAAGTCGAGAAAGCAGGCCTGTCATGATTGACAGTCAGGGGAATGTGCAAAGAAAGCTTAAAAAAAAGCACCAGGTGTTTGAGACAATCAGGCCCAGAGAAGATTTCAAAACAAGCTGGTACTTAGGCCCGGACTGCGCGGATGCAAGTGGTAGATTAAGCGTCACTCAGCGTATGCATTTCAGGGCAGGTTCGTCATGCTGAAAAGATCGTTGGTGGGACAATATGAAATGAGTGAATGCGCATCAGGATCACAGCGAGAAATCCCGTAGGCCAACAAACATTCACGTGTTGAATGTCGAACACGCCCAAGGGTGGGTGTCGATGCAACTAGGAAAAGAATCACAGCTGGCAGACGGGTGGAGCTTCTAGCCAATCAGAAAGCTGGCAGCGGTGGCAGGGGTCTAGCCGAGAGAGGCAGAAGGCGTGGCCCTTGCCTTTCCCTAACAAAGATGGAGAGCCCACCAAGCAACTGTTGCGACTGTCGACTGTAGTATTCACAATGTCCATGTCAAATGAAGCACTGCAGAAGGTCAGTATAATTTTTTGGATGATCCAGTGATTCCAATGTTGACAGTATAGGTCCTGCAAGAGATCAGTCAGAAGAAGCAGTTTGCAGAGCAACAACTAGCCATTGTCAAACAACAAAAGGCGGCGCGAGCAAGGGAAAGCCGAATGCTGCAACTTACATCATCGGAAGTGAGCTCGTTACCTGTTGAGACAAAGGTGTACGAAGGTGTGGGGAAAATGTATGTGACAACGCTGTACCATACCTTTTGTCAAGTGAGGGGTCGGTTTTGTTTGAACAAGTCGTACTAAGAAGCAAATAGGTTTGTGTGCACGCCTATTCCAGATGTACAGAAGAGGTTGAAGGATGAGAGCGAGGCTCTGGTCAAGGAGATGGCTAATCTCGACAAGAAGGAGGACTACCTTGAGAAGACCTACACGAACAGCAAGAACAGCCTGGAGCAAGTATTGAAGGGTGCAAACTGAGCAGTGATCGGAAGAAAAACTACAACATTCTGGATCAGAAGCGTACACTATGGTGCTAAGTCATGAATTTTGCCATCAATAGTGATGAATGGCTGATATCGACTGTCAAAAGGCATACACGGATCAGTAGAAGCTATGATGTACCATTGACCTACACTCTATCTCCGAGAAACAATCTAATGCATGATCATTCGGTTGTATCAAAGTCAACAGGGCATTCATGGACAAGCAATCAATTCATCGAGGTTTACTACATCGTCATTAAGTATAATGCTGTGTTATCATTTTTATATCGTCTAGCCGACTATCGCATTCGCACAAGCATGCTCTCGACACTTTCTATACACTTCCTAACCTCATCAGCCGCTCTAGCTACATACGCTCCATCTACTACCCGGTGGTCTGCACTCCAGCTAAACACACATTCTTCCCTCTTCACCAGCTCACCATTTTTGCCAAACGCCGGGATGACCTTTGCTCTGCCGATTCCGAGAATACCTACCTGCGGTCCCACAATCACCGGCGCGACAGCTGTACCACCAATGCTGCCAATGTTGCTGACTGTAAACGTTGCACCCGTCATGTCGGCGGAGGTGAGCTTGCCCTCACGTGCAAGGCTGCTAAGACGCTGGATCTCAGCTGCGAGTGATGCGATGCTGTGGTCCTGGACGTTCTTGATTACGGGGACGAGTAAACCCGAGGGCGAGTCGACTGCTATACCGATGTTATGACTGCCCTTGAGAATAATCTGTGGCTTGTTGGGATTGGTGGTATCGAGATGCGAGTTGATTAGTGGGTATTGGTGAAGGGTGAGAGATACGGCCTTGATGATTATAGGCAAGGGCGTTATGCGATCGGCCTTTTCACGCCCGGCATTGTACTTCTGCCGAAGTGAGGTAAGAGAGCTGAAGTCGACTGAATCTGTGTAGAGGAAATGTGGAATAGACAAAGATTTAGTCATCTGGTTGAACATGCCAGCTTGAATTGGCGACAAGGGCTTGGTCTGGTCTTCAACCTGCTGAGTTGGCTTAGGCCCAGGCGTTGGTGTGGACGAGACAAGTGGCGCTGCTGCAGATTGCCTGCTTGCCTCAATGTATCTTTGAACATTTTCTTTGGTGACCCTTCCTTCTTTCCCTGTGCCTTCAATGTCTTCAATATTCAACTTGTTCTCCTTGATTATGTGTCGCACAGCGGGCGTGGCCAACGACGCGTGTTTGCCTAGCTGACGCGGTGGTTTAGAGTGCTCTTGAACGGGCTCTGATGGCAGTGATTGGGCCGGCGTAGAAAAATTACCGCTGGCTGCCTTCGTATCGTTCCGATCCAGCTCAATACCCTGCTCCTGTGTTTGTGATTGCTCAGGTGCTTGCTTGTTTGCCGGTGCGCCGGATCCGTCATTGAGCAGCGCCTCATCGGCTGGAGATATTTCGCTTTGTATATCGATATCTACCAGAGGCTTCGTAAATTAGTGAATGCTTCTGTAAGATTTGATAAGAGCCGTTGTTACCTTTCCGACCTTGGCCATGTCATCCGGCTCATAATATAGCTTCTTGATTACGCCGTCGAATCGTGAAGTGATCTACCCTAGAGTTGGTAATCATTCGCTTCCTGGAGATACTTGGTCGTACCTCGACAGATGCCTTGTCTGATTGGACTTCACAAATAGGATCGAATTGCTCGACACGCGCTCCTGGTTTGACGAACCACTGTATAACCTGACATTCGGTAATCCCTACTCATGACATTAGTCTTAGTCTAGCAATGTGGTGCAGTCTATGTACCTTCTCCAATGTCTGCTAATAGATATGGTTTGACCACCAGTAGCCGTCTCGTCGAACCAAATCCTCTTCGTTGTTCTTGTCTCCATGTGTTTGCATTCCTGTGGGCTGCGACTGGTGCTCTCTGTGCTAGATTTGATCGTGACAACAGCCGAGGGGCTTCTCTGCATGTAAAAGACTTCATGGCGAATTTGATGTGTATGCAATCACAGCACAGAAAAAGAATATATTCAAAACTGCGCAGCTCCGAGACGTTTGTAAGTACGACTTCGCGGTACAAAGCCGACAAGAACCGGCCTCGGTCAGTCACAATGACACAACCGAAGCTGGGGTAGCACACTGCTAAGCTGTATTCAGTAAGGCGCATTGCGGGTTAAGAACAACACGTGCAGGGCGTGCTTATACGGCCCCAGGGTGTGAGAGATAACGTTCTGGACTGCTCTTATTCCTCTTATTCAATCCCGAAGGTCCCACGAGTAGAAGAGAGAGTATCGTGTTCTCAAAATGCTCTTCGTGATGAATCTATCATGGGGAAGGAGATATCCATTGTCGCAGGTTCACACTCGCAAGTCTGGTCGACCTCCAACAGCAGTATAGACTTGGAGATATGAGGGAAGACAGTGAGCCCATTGTCATGATATACCTAGGCATTTACACATTGCATGTAGCACAGGGTAGAAAGGGCTAACTCACAACAAGCCATACCACAGCCTGGAAGAGGGCTCAATGGCTGGCTACTGCATGACTCAGCTTGGCTGGACAGGGTCAATGCACCCGGAGCGGAGAAACCCTACCCTTTGAAGGTGGGATGCAACAGCCCGGCCAGCATCCCACCAGCGCGTGCAATTCACTCCGGTACCGCGTTCCGAGCCACGTTTCATCGCACCACCTCACCACGTTGGCACTTGCAGGCTATACAGATTATACATTATACACAGTACAAGAAACCTACGAGCAACAGGCAAGCACACCATGGACGACTTCAACAGCGACACCGACAGCGACTACACAAGCTACTGGCGCGACTGGGTAGGTACTTCGGCTCCACATGTCGCAGCACCAGTTGTTCCATACCAATGCTATGGATATCGTTGGCCCGACATGGCGTAGGCTGGATACGGCTAATTTCCCACCAGTTCATATCCTCACGAGGAAACGAGTACTTCTGCGAGATCGACGAGGAATACCTGACGGACCGGTTCAACCTTACTGGCCTCAACACAGAAGTACAGTACTACCAATATGCGCTCGATCTCGTCACAGATGTGTTCGACTTTGACTGCGACGACGACATGCGAGAACAAATCGAGAAGTCTGCGCGGCATCTCTACGGCCTCGTCCACGCACGATACATTGTCACTACCAGAGGCTTAGCAAAGATGGTATGTCCGACACTATCCGAGATGCCAGACAAGGAAGAGAACTAACATTTTCTGAACAGCTCGAGAAATTCAAGAAATCAGACTTTGGCAAATGCCCCCGCGTCATGTGCGAATCACAACCCCTCCTACCCATGGGCCCCTCGGACGTGCCCAACACCTCGCCCGTCAAACTCTACTGCGCCCGCTGCGAAGATCTCTACAATCCCAAATCCTCACGCCACGCCGTCATCGACGGTGCCTACTTTGGCACCTCGTTCCACAACATCCTCTTTCAAGTATATCCCGCCATGCTCCCGCCCAAGTCACAACGCCGCTACGAACCTCGCGTCTTCGGTTTCAAAGTACATGCCGCAGCCGCGCTGTCAAGGTGGCAGGCCGAGCAGCGCGAACAAATGAAGGAGCGGCTGAGGATGTTGAATATGGAAACGGGGTTCGAGCAAGAGGATGTCGTAGTAGAAGAGGAAGAGGACGACGAAGAAATGGAATTGCAACAAGGAATCGAGGGCACAGCTGTGCACGTTTAAAACACACAAATGTGTGAAAGTAGGAAGGACTATTAAGATACTAATTTCTGTTGTAAACGGGCAGTTGTAAAGCCGGTCATTTATGTTCCCTCTCTTTCTTTTCCCTTCCCTTGTCTTCTTTTTTCACATCCATCCCCCTTTTTTTTTGCCAGGAAAGATAGGGTTCCAAATAACACCAAAATCTTCCCACATATCCTTATCCCCCACCTAACCCCTCAAACCCCCATCAAAAACATACCCCACCAAGCTTCATACCCCCATACTATACACACTCGCAACAAGTACCTTGACTCTCTGTACTCCCACACCCACCCACCCACCCAACAGAAACGCGACACGATTCGACACGACATTTATCCCATCCCATCGCATCCAATCCTCATCAGGCACCCGCATACACCCCGCCAAACCCGCCGCACGAGAGTGAAAATAAGAAGGCAAACTCCTGGTGGAGGGGATGGGCAAGAAGGAATGACAGGCTCACACATCGTGTCATTCATGTTTGTACTCGTGCAAGCAGGTGTTTGCAGGGATGAGGTGTCTGCGGTTGCAACAACTTATCAGCGCGCTATACGTATATATATAAGTATATGAGTATGTGTGTATCTACAGCCAATCAAACACATAAATGCCACCACCAATGCAAACGCGCTGAACAGCAAAAAAAAACGAACAAAAAAACGCAGCAATACAAGTTAACAGACGTATCAAAAGCCCAGCGACAAGACCAACCAGGCATGAATGAAAGCGGGCCCGAGATTTTCAAACACCGCGCCATGCAAAAGCCACGCTGTATCCCAGAAAATAAAAAAGCATGGCGGGGAATAAAAAGAATACTATAATGTGGGTTGCGAAGGGTTCGTTAGTGAAGTAAGTATCATCAATCCGTCAGTCCGTCAGTCAATCAGTCAGTCAATCAATTCCCATCATCATGTCCTGTTCCTTCTAACCCCCCCCCCTTCTTCCCCCTAAAACATCTTCTTAAACCAACTCCCCCTCTTCGTCCCGCCACTCGCAGGATGATCGAGTGCCGGCCTGCCATCCCACGTCCGAACAGGCGGCTCCTCGTACGCAACAGGCGGCGCATAACTCGTGCGACGACTTGTGCGTTTGCGCTCGCGGTCATCCTCGACAGGGGCGCGACGACGGCTCTTGCGGTCCTTGTCAGCGCGGTCGCGCTCGCCTAGGGCGCGAGCACGCTCTGCACGCTCCTTGTCGCGTTTGGGGCCGCGGCGGCCGGCGATGCGCAGGCGAATGTCTTCGTCTTGTGACGGCGTTTCCTCGTCCTCCGGGGGCGTCTCTCGTGTCCCGGGGGCGGGATCGAGGACGGTTTCGGAGATGGGTGGCGGGAGGGGCGGTTCGTCTGAGAGGCTTTGGACCCACGAGGAGGTTTTATCGGCACCTTTGCTAATGTAGGGCGAGTTCTTCTCCTCTTGTGCGGCGCGGGAGCTACGGTGCTTCTTGGGTGCTATGGCCCCGCCGTTGCGTTCGTCGAAGTAGTCAGTAATGGGCTCGCCGTTGGCGGCCGTGGGGTATTCGGATTGGCGACGAGCAGCACGACGCTCTTCGTGGCGACGGCGACGTTCTGCATCATCGTCGGCATGCGATCGGCGGCGCTCAGTCCCACTGGCTTTGTCCTTGCGGCGCGACGAACGATGCTCACGATCCTTCTCTCGGTCTTCGGCCGACTTGCGCTCCATGCGAGCCTTCTTGCGCTCCTCCTTCTCAGCCATCCGACGTAGTTGCTCTTCAGCCTCCTTGTTGCGACGTTCTAATTCCGCCATCTGCCGTGCCTTCTTTTCCGCAAGAGTAGTGCGCTCGATTTCGCGCTCACGCTCACGGCGCCGTTCAGCCTTGGCCTCGGCTTCCTCCAACTCGGCGCGACGTGAGTCTTTGTCTAATCCTCTCTCCCGTTTCGCTCTTCGCTCTGCACGTCGTGCTTCACGTTCTGGATCGTGTTCGGCACTGCCGTTTGCGCCTCCATTTCCACCAGACATCATCATGTCAGCCTCGACCTCAGGCATGCGTGAGCTGCGCTTGACACTACGGCGTTCATGTCGTAATCGCTTCTCTTCTTCCTCCGTCATACCGCCGCGGGCAGTGGATCGCTTGCGATGTCTACGCTCATCCTCGTTTTCATAAGTGCTCTTGCGACGGTCACGACGGTCGTCTTCTACTGGTGGCGCAGTCTTCTTGCGCCCGAGTCCAAACATGCCCTTGAAGCCACTGACAGCGGCGGCGGTGCCCGCAACTCCTGCAAGTGTGCGCATGGCATCGGAATTGCCGCGCTCGCGACGTGGGCGATCTCTTTCGCGATCTCTTTCGCGCTCACGGCGGGGTCTTTCAGCCTCAGCTGGAGCAGGCTCCAGGTCCATGGGATCCACATAGACAGGGTCATCCGAACTGGGCGGCGCACTCACGGGCTCCACGGGCTGTGCTGAATCGCGCTTCGATTTACGACGCGACATCTCTGGTCTCTGAGTTGGCGTAGGATAGTCATCGTCAACGACGTCCAAATCATCATCAATGGGGTACGGGTCTGGAACAGCTGATGTGCGGTTAGTTCCGTGCCGTCTTTTGCGGCCAATAGTTCGCCGGCACAGCGTAGCGGGGAATGCTTACCTCTAGTTTTGCCCCTGTCTCTGGTACTTGATCTACGAGAGCTCTTCATGCCCATGACCCTTGCTGCTTTTGATGAGTATTTGGCGTCGGTATCGGTCTGCGGTGGCGACATCATCACATCGTGGTCGACAGAGGGGCGGCGTGAACGAGCCATTGGCGTTGCGGATGTGCGATACGACTTGGAACGTGATGGCGGGGGCGGCGCAACGCCAAAGAGTGCACCAAAGCCTGTGGAAGCCCGTGCAGGCTTAGAGCGGGACATATTCGGTTCCTTCGACACCTTATCGGATCCAGATGAGCGTGACTTGGCATCATTGTCTCTAGTCGATGCGGTGCGCACCGACTTTGTACGAGCCGCGCTGCTTCCACCATCTTCAGCACCTGACGACTTTGTGCGAGTCTTATTTTTAGCACCAGGCGCAAAGATTCCCCATGAGCCCGAGGGCCCGTTTCGATGCACCTTGGTACGAACCTTTTTCGGGGAAACTGATTTGGGTTCAGGAACAGGCTCTGGAGGCGGTGTAGGCAGTTTGTCTTCCGCATCTTCTTCTACGGGATCTTCAACGTCTGTCGGCTCACGCTCTGCGGATGCATTTTCAAACTCATCCTCAGCCGGCTCCTCAGCTTCAAACTCTGGCGGTGGCGGTGGAGGAGGTGGAGGAGCTTCAACAACGTGCTTGGATCGTGACTTGCTGCTCTTCTTTGACTTTTTATGCCTCTTCTCAGAAACAACAACCACAGGCTCAGGTTCAGGTTCAGGTTCAGGCTCAGCTTCTGGCTCTGGTTCTGGTTCTGGTTCTGGCTCTGGTTCAGCTTCTGGCTCTGGTTCGGGCTCAGCTTCTGGTTCTGGCTCAGCATCAGCCTCTGCCTCAGGTTCTGGCTCAGCCTCTGGTTCAGCCTCCGGCTCCGGACCAGCATCAGGGTGATCAAGGTCAATCAAGTCAGCATCAGGATGGTCATTCATCATATCCATATCCTCGTCTGCCGGAAAGCCACCCGGCACCACATCTTCAGCCGGCTCAGGTTCGGGCTCTGGTACGACGACGAATGGTTCCGGCTCTGGCTCTGGTTCGGGTTCGGGTTCGTGTCTCGACTTTCTAGATTTCTTCTTGTCCTTGTCCTTGGAAGACTTGTCCTTTGAAGATTTGTCCCTCGACGACTTGTCCTTGGAGGACTTTTCTCTGGAGGACTTCTTGGGCGCAGGTTCTGGTTCTGGTTCAGCTTCTACCTCTGGTGCAGGTTCAACCTCAGGCTCTTCTGTGATAGGTTCTGGAACTGGTTCCGGTTCTGGTGAGGCGTATCTGTCCCGTTTGCTTTTGCTTTTGCTCTTGCTTGAACGTTCAGTGCCTGACTTGGATTTCCTAGAGGATTTCTTAAGCGGAGGTTCCTCTGCTGGTGGTTCTTCAACAACCAGAGGCTCTTCAGGGACCTCTGGTTCGGGTTCGGGTTCAGGCTCAGCTTCAGGCTCAGCTTCAGGCTCAGCTTCAGGCTCAGCTTCAGGCTCAGCTTCAGGCTCAGCTTCAGGCTCAGCTTCAGGCTCAGCTTCAGGCTCAGCTTCAGGCTCAGCTTCAGGCTCAGCTTCAGGCTCAGGCTCCTCGGGATCTTCTTCAGGAGCAGGCTCTTCAGGTTCAGGTTCAGATTCAGGTTCAGGTTCAGGTTCAGGCTCCTCGATCTTCGGCTCGACCTTCTTCGTCTTGCGAAGTGAGATACCCCAAGCGCTTCCCCAACCACTACCTCCAAACTCTTCTTTCTTGGCCTCTGCAATCGGCGGCGAAGCAGATTTTGGAGCAGCGGGAGCAGCGACCTCGCCGAGTTCAGCGAGAAGTTCATCTTCTGGTACATCCTTGACTAGATCGAACAGATCGTCGTCGTTCATAGGCTCCGCTGGCGCGGGTGGAGGTGGAGGTGGAGGAGGGGCTTCCTCGACAACGCCCCTCTTCTTTTTCTTCTTCTTCTCTTTTGAGGTCAAGACGACTGGTTCGGGCTCAGGCTCTGGTTCGGCAGCGGCGGCAGCGGCTGCTGCCGCTTCTTCTTCAGCGATGCGGGCGAGCTCAGCCTCCTCTGCCTCCTTCTCGGCTTGCTCAGCAGCTTCCTTCTCCGCGGCCTCTGCCGCTTCAGCCGCTTCTTTGGCCTCCTGCTCCTCACGTTCTTTCTTCTCCCTGGCTTCGCGTTCGCGTCTCTGCTTTGCACTTTCCTTCTTCTTACCCCCTCCAAACAGACCCCACCCAGAGCTCGCCTCTTTCTCTTCTTTGGCCTTGGCGGCCGCCTCTTCAGCCTCAATCCTAGCCTTTTCGGCAGCCTCTTCAGCTTCGATCCTAGCCTTCTCTGCAGCTTCAGCCTCTGCTGCTTCCGCAGCCTCGCGATCGAGTCGTTCTTGTTCCTCGGCAGCAGCACGCTCGGCTTCTTCTGCTGCGAGACGTTCCTCTTCCTCGCGGGCAAGGCGTTCCTGTTCTTCGCGCTCAAGACGTTCCTTTTCTTCCCGTGCCGCCTTTTCCTCTGCTTCCTTCTTTTCCCGAGCTCTTTTCTCTTTCGTGGACTCTTTCTTTTTGGAAAAGCCTAAGAGGGAGCCCCATCCGGAGCTCTTGGGTGCAGCTTCTTCCTCTTCCTTCCTCTTCCTCTCTGCTTCCTCAGCCGCAAGACGAGCGGCTTCTGCTTCTTCGGCTACAATACGAGCCGCCTCTGCTTCTGCCTCTTCGGCAGCAATTCGCGCTGCCTCTGCCTCTGCCTCTTCGGCCGCCACTCGAGCTGCTTCTTCCTCTGCTGCAATGCGAGCTGCTTCGGCCTCGGCCTCCTCAGCTTCTATGCGAGCTTGTTCAGCAGCGGCTTCTTCCGCTTCACGGGCGAGGCGCTCCTCCTCTTCTTTCTCCGCAGCTTCTCTTTCCAGTCTTTCAGCCTCTTCCCTCTCCTTCTTCTCACGCTTCTCACGAGCCCTTTTCTCTGCCGACGTCTCCTTCTTGCCTGGTTTTGTGCTGCCGAGCGAGCTCCAGATGCCGCCGGATTTTGATTCCTTTTCTTTCTTGTCTTTCTTCTTCTCTTCCACTGGAGCTGGTGCTTCCTCTTCTGGTGGCGGGGGCTCGTCCAGATTAATGAGATCTTCAAAGGTGTCATTGGCAGATTTGGCACCCGATTCTTTGCTTATCGTCTTCGTCAAGGCTTCTTCTGCTACTTCGTCCTTCTTCTTCATCTTTTTCTTTGTCGAAGTCGCAGCCGTTCCCCAAATGTCTTCGTCTTCTGCTTGCGGAGCGGCCTCAATCTCCTTCATAGGCGGCAGTTCAGGCTCCGGCTCGAAAGCGCCGGACAATTGCGCAATTATGCCGCTCTTCTTGATCTTCTTTGCCTTTTTACCAATGTTGAACGCTGCACTACCCCATGGATCGTCCTCGTCGGGCTTCTGCACAGGTATCGTGGTTTCTTCACCAACCTCCACAGGAGCGTCCTTTTTCGGGTCTTTCTGCCTTTTACCCCACGATGGCGTCATGCCCCAGTCCTCTTCCTCGTCTTGATTGGGTTCTTCAACGTCGACGGGCTCTTGGACCTCTTCCCCTGCTAGCTCAGGTTCCGGTTCCGGCTCGATGAGTTTGCCCTTCTTTTTCTTCTTGCCACCTCCCCATATCGCACTTAGGCCCCAATCAGTCTTTGCGGCTTCAGGTTCAGGTTCAGGCTCAGGTTCAGGCTCTACAACAGGTTCGGGTTCCGGCTCAGGTTCCGGGTCAGCTTCAGGCTCGGGAGGAGGTGGAGGTGGTTCTTCTTTTGCAGCCTTTTTGCTCTTCTTTTTCTTTCCTGTAATCGTTGTTGCCGCCCACCCGCCGTCCCAAGAATCTTCCTCTTTGACGGGTGAGGGCGCAGGTAAGACTTCTGGTTCAGGAGCAGCTTCGACTACGACCGGCTCAGGCTCTGGAACAGCAGCCGCTGCTGCATTCTTCTTACTCTTCTTACCCTTCTTGACCACGGGTGCAGCCGAGCCCCAGTCATCCCACCCTTCAGCAGTCTTATCTTCCACAGGGGCTGGATCAGGCTCCGGGACAACCTCAGGTTCTGGAGGAGGCGGCGGTGGCGGCGGGGGTTCTTCCTCTACTACACCCTTCTTCTTCTTTTTCTTCTTGGCAGTGCCTGTCGTTTGAGCGGCCCAGTCGTTGTATTCCGCGTCTTCCTTCTTTTTCCGTGCTGCCTCTTCCTCGGCAGCAGCAGCAGCAGCAGCTTCTTCTTCTTCTTTCCTCTTGTTCTCAGCTTCCTCTTCCTCCAAACGGATGCGCTCCGCTTCTTCCTCTTCCTGTCGCTTCGCCGCAGCTGCTTCCTCTTCTTCCTTCAGCTGTGCGTCCTCGATTTCCTTTGCCTTGGCCTCATCTTTCATCTTCTTCTCGAGTTTCTTCCTTTCCTTCTTACTGAGGCCCGCAAATGGATCGACAGCTGGTTTTTCTGGCTCTGGCTCTGGCTCTGGCACGGGCTCGGGTTCGGGTTCGACGATGGTCTCGGGTTCTGGCGGTGGTTCCACTTCCACTGCGCCCTTCTTCTTTTTTTTCTTGTCCTTTGCATCGCCAAAACTGAAAGCCGATGGGTCGTCTTCCTCTTTCTTCGCAGCCCCTGGCTCAAGAGTATCAAATTCAAAGTCAAATCCAGAAGAATTTTTCTTTTTCTTGTCCGAGTCTGATCGGTTGTCACCGGCGTCGTTTGCATCATTAGCGCCGTCAAACCCCCACACTGCCTTGGTCGTAGACCCTATCGCAGATCCTATCCCTGAGCCGCCCCACCCGGCAGACCATTTGCCCAAGCCTGGAAGTCCAAACCCGGCCTTCTTTGTTCCAGTATCACTGAAGTTCATATCAATCTTCGGTGGGCCTATGTCGTCCAGGTCGATGTCGTCGTATGCGGGATCAGCCGATGGTTCCGGAGGAGGTGGGGGAGGTGGAGGTACGGCCTCAGCCGCCTATTGTCACATTAGCGTCCTACTATCATTAGATCGTGCATACGGGAATACCAACTTTCCCCTTTTTACCCTTCTTCTTCTTTCCAGTCGTTGCCCCTATTGCCGCCCAGTCGTCATTATTCTGCGCGGATTCTGCGGCGGCGGCGGCAGCATCTTCCTTTTCCTTCTTCACGCGCTCTGCCTCTTCTTCTGCCTCCTTAGCCAAGCGTTCCTCTTCTTCCTTGGCCGCACGCTCCTCCTCTTCCTTGGCCGCACGCTCCTCCTCTTCCTTTTTCAACCGCTCTTCTTCCTCCTTCTTTAACCGGTCTTCCTCTTCCTTCTCCTTCTTCGTCTTCTTCTTACCTTTATCTCCGTCTCCACCATCCCCGCTTCCGGCCCCACCATCAGCTGGAGGGTCGCCACCGCCACCGCCATCTCCACCGCCTGCAGTTTCCTCCTCTTTCTTCTCCTCTGGTGGATTTGCTGCACCCGCTTTTTTGGCAGCTTGCTTTGGCTTTTTCTTTGCGTGTGACCTGATTCCGCTGTCACTATATCCAAAATCTATGTCGACGTACAATGATTTCTCGTCCAAGAAAAGCGAAGAGGATGGAGACGTATTATGACTGATTCGTAAACAGTTTGGGGTATTAGAGCATATCGGAGCGCTGAAAGATGAAAAAGGTGTATAATCAGGTGTTTGCGCTAGTGCGAGCGCATCTGTGGACGTGTAGTCTGGGGGTAAATCTGCGACTGAATCATTGTATGATGGTGGTGGAGGAATCGGGTTGCATCGTGGAGCTGGAGTCCATAGTTCTGACGAGGGCGTAGAGATTACATGGTCAAACTGGTATGGGTTAGTCGATTTGCATTTGAACATGTGCAGCATTCGCAATGTGACTTGCACTGATGCGTCAATACTATGTGGGAGGGGTTCCGCAACCAAAAAAAACGAGAAGAGTCCGTCTAACAAAGGAGCGTCGTCATACCGAAAGTGCGCCCGTGCGTGCCATGGTCTGCCTTATCTTGTAGTTTTCGTGACAATCCAGCGCTTGAATTATCTCTTCTATTGACTCGGCAAATGGCTGGTCGTTTTCAGACTCCCATGCCATCATGTCCCTTGCGATGCGACTCTTCGCCTCCCAGAAGTTGCCCACACACGAAGTCAGACTCCTTCTACTCGGCAAACCCTCAGCCGATCCAGTCCTCGAAGGCGGCCGGGTCCTTCGTCTCACAGATGGTGTGGCGGCGGCGGCGACGTGACAAGAGCTGGCGGCGAACATTATGCGTGTACTTTGAGACGCGCAAACGGGGGGAGCTGGGCGGCGGTGGGCACATGGGCGCTCGTGCAAAACCGCAATGAGTGAGCGGCAAGAGGGCGACTGCGAGGGCGGGCAAAACCAAGGTGGTAGAGGGATGTACTTTGTGGGTATCGGGTACGCAGTGTCGTTGGCGTGCGTGACTGACTGACTACCCAATGTACGTCCCGGGGTCTGCTGCAGGTCTCGATGGGTGCAGCGCTAGTGATAGACCAGGGCAACACAGTAGGGATGAGTTCAAAGGGCGCATCTGGCGATGCGATGCAATGCGGCGCGGCGCGTATTAGACCAGACGAAAGTGATTACTCTCTTCCCTCAGTTCCCTCTCTTTTCGGCAGGTACGCGAATCAAGAGAGAGGTCGCGAGCGGCTGTCCTGGCGACGAGGACCGATCAATGCAGGAGGATGCAGGCGTTGAGGCGAACGAAGGGAAGCAGACGTCGCAAGTGGTCACAAGGCCGTGGCAGAAGAGTGTGGCCGCTCTTGGAGGGATGGGACGTGGTTCGGCGACGCCAATCGGTATCGCCGTCAAAAAGGGCCAGTCAGTCTTCCTTGCGCGCACCAAGCCTGTTGGAGCCTATGATTCGTTTCATCCACCTCGTCACACACAACACGCGCCCGGACCAGCTGGGCGGAATATTTCCAGATAAGAGGAGGGGGAGGGGGAGGAAAAATGAGGGGTGGCTATGTAGGTCCTAGGGTGGGCGATGGGCGATCAGCCGGGGGAGGGAGGGAGGGAGGCGATGGGATGGTACGGGAGAGCGGCGAGGTGGGTGTGGGTGTGGGTGTGTGTAGAGGTACAGTACAATGGTGCAACAACAAAAAAGCAGTTGCAAGATGTCAGAGAGCGATTCGATGCAGGGAAAAGGAAGATTCGCGAAGCGGGGGACGGCAGCGATAGTTTATCCGCTGGGGAAATATTTTAGGGTTAGGCCGCGAGGTGCATTGCATGAGCAACTGGTGACAATGTGTTTGTTGTTGGTGGTTGTGCAGCGAGAACCAGAAACAGGAGGAGCTTCTTGTTGTGTTTTTGGTGGCTAGTAGTGGGGCGCAAGAGAAGCAGGGGGTGTAGAGTAAGAGAGAGAGAGAGAGAGAGAGAGAGAGAGGGGGGGGGAATTCGGACAAGCAAGCCTGGCAACTCGATGGGAAGAGAAAAGAAAGCCTTTCTCTTCTCTTGCCGCGACCCACAGCAGCAAGGACAAGCAAGTACAGTATGACGCCTTGCCACGATTGGGTACTGTATGTACCCTCCGTAGTATGTGCCTACTCGTCAAAAGGTGGGCCAGAGGGGGCTGTCGCTATCCGATGTCGAGTGTCTAGTGTAGTAGTACTGCCTACTATCATCATACATACGTACATACATACATACATACATACATACATACCGATACTACTCCTGCGTATCTACTAGTCCCGTTGGCCGCAGCAATCTGGGAGCAACGCTGCGACTGGAGGCTGGGAAGTGGTGGTGTGCACATGCGATGACCGACCGACTGCACTTCTTCACCGCCAGTCTCTCCGTTCGACCAAGTACGGTAGCCGGGGTCCAATGGCAGAGCGCGGCAACCAGCGGCGAGACATGCACCGTGAGGGACTTGGAGAAGACGTGCGTTGGAGCTACCCGCTTTGGCGCCCTTGTCGAGGGCCATGGCACAGTACATGGACAACGCACACCAGTCCGAGTTGTCCAGATCTCTTCTCCCCCAAGGCGGGCCGCTGTCAGCTTGTCGCCAGCCATGGGAAATGCGCGGCTTTGTGGGGTCGGGGGGTGGGGGCTGCTCAACAGCATGTCGACCCGACTTGGAGACACATACTATACTACATCTTTGTGGTATGTAGTCTGTCGGACTAACCTATCCCATGGGATCAGGGCCCCCATCATCATCAGCCTTGAGAGGGGGGCGGGGCGTCTGAGGGATCTACCAGCTGTTCCCGAACATGTTCAGTGGCATTCTTTGGAGTCGATCGTCCAAGAACTACGGTGTGGGTAAATCAAGATCACTCTTCTTTCCTCGCTACATACGTACATCTCCAGGTCCAACAACAACAACATGCGACCTGACCCGGCTAGACGCTAGATTACGACTATCGACGCTGTCAGATGCATATACACACACGTGAGCCACAGCTATGACTAGAGGTCTAGAGCTAGGCACAGAGCATCAAATGACAGCAAAGACCACGCACACCAGTTCGCGACTCCACTCCACCTCCACTCCCTCTCCACCCCCTTCTCCACCCCCGGGTATCAATACATAAAAACGATATATGATCGTGACATCCCACATACATCCTACAAAACGTCTGCCAAAGCAAAAGAAATTCTATAAGAAGAAGAAGAAGAAGAATGTTAATGGAAGAGAAAAAAGGTAGGTGGTGCAGACATTAACTACTAGGAAAGGGGGAATGATACGTCGTAGAATTAATACAATTGTCTGCCACATCGCAGCAGGACAACATGAACATTACAAGGAAAGAATCAAGCGAATGGGAGTTTTGGCTCAAAAGGATTGGTCGTCCCCAATCTCCTCGCCGTTGAGCACTCGGCGAGCTTCATCCAGGCGTCGTCGCCACGCTTTTCGGTCGTACGCTTCTCCATGGGTATTCTGCAGGCTGGCGCATACGCTCGTCATGCTAGCAGCAAGACCATAGATCAATTGCGTTTCTTCCTCGCTCAACGCAAGACGCGGCTCATCTCGTGACCGCTCCGTCAGGATGGAGAAGATCTTGGAAGTTTGCAGTCCGTGAGCAAGCTCGGTAGGCGTAGACGAGCCGCGGGACACGCTGGTCAGGGTTGGCGACGAGCCCATGCCGCGCCTCATATTGATTGCCGAATCTGTACGAAGGGTACCTAGTCCACTTTGCGCTTCCGGACGCATCGCAAATGGGGTTTGGGTCGAGAGAAGTTGTTGAGAAAATTGATCCATCTGCTCATTGGCATCGTCATCATCTTGCTCTTCGGCGGCGGTGGCGAACGAAGCCACAGTGGAAATAGATGAAACGCTTGGGTTACGGCCATGCAATGAGCTCCTCTTCTCATGGCCACTCACATCCTCTGCCGTCTGTAGAGCTGTTACAGGCCGGGTGGTAGCGTTTGAGCTGCCAGAACTTGTGCTCGACCGACGACCTTGCACGCTGTAGGTTCCCATGGCGCTGTGCAAGAAGAAGTGCTCGTAGTCAAAAGCATCAACGCGATCCTCATGCCTCTCAGTGGGTTGCAGCTCGTATACAGCATCCTCGTACACGCTATCGCCCCCTGGTACGGCATCTGCTTCTTCCTCTTCATCCTCCTCCTCTGCAGCAGACATGAAGTCCTCGTCTGTCTCATCTGCAACCACATTGTCCTCGAAATCCTCAGATCGATGGGAAGACCTTGCATGGTCTTGGGTGTACTGCTCAGAATACACGTGGCTGTTGGTTGGCTCGTATTGCTCTTTGACTTCGTAATTGACAAGCTCCTCGCCTTCCCGCTGAGAGGAAGTCGTGGTGGCAGTTCGCGGCCGGCTATAGTTGTCGTTTGCATACGACGTTGTTCGGGCAGGGAAGTCTGTCTTGATACCCAGGCCTGCATCCGCAGTGAAAGGGGACGGGCCTAGTGACTGCGAATATACTCCAGATTGCCAAGTTTTTGCAGCGGTAAAAGGGCTCGAGGCACGGAGATTCTGCAAGCTGCACCGTCTGAGATGGTCCTCCTGTGCTTTCAGTTTCAAGCTAGAGATTCTGCCTTTTAGATCGTTGACTTGATCGCGCAGACCACTTGCAGCCGACGCAGATCGGTGCAGTCTGGCGCCATCCTCATCTTCCGGCAATGTCTCCAGAGCACTTGGGGACCTCGAAGTTCGCGAGTGCGATCTCACGACAGGTTCTCGTTCTGCAGTGGTGGTCCAAGTGGAGCGAGGATCACGAAGCACTTCGTGACTACGCGACTCCTTGATGGGAAAGCGACCCTGTTTGTATCCCTCTTGTGCCCACGGACCGCTCGTGTGGCCTATGGCACTTGATGCTCTCTTATTGGAAAGACTCCTGGACATGAACGAGGACTTGAAGGGAAGCGGGACAGAAGTTTCACTCAAACCTCGCGAGTGTGTCGTAATGCTGTTGGCAGCTAGCTGAGAGCTTCGATAGGAATGGATGCGTGGGGGAATGGGGCCCATGCCAGAGTAAAGTCGTCTGTCACGCTCTCTGGTGGCAGAGACGTGCTGTGACACATCCATCGAGTGGCTGTGAGCACTAAACGTGGGCGAGACAACCAGGGACTCTCGTGCACCGCGAAGATTACCTTCCATGACCTGCCCTTGTTAGTGTCGTGGTCCATGGGACCGCGGTCGGCGGGGTCAGAGGTCACACATACGTTGAGTCGCTTCTTTGCATTGGCCAGGATGATCTCAGCCCGCCGACTGAGGGCGGCAGACGAGTATGGGTCGTCGTCATCGTCACTGCCGCTGTTGTGTTCATGCAGCCAGCGTTCGTCGCCCATCATGTCTGTCTCGGGGCTGGAGTGGTCGCGCTTCTCCACCAGGTCTATGCCGCTGTCATCATAACCGTCGGGCTTGTCGAATTGGCTGTCGAATCCGGGCCAATTGTCGAGGTCCGCACTGAGCACTGAACTCGACGCAGTGCTGAGTCGGCGCCGGTCATGCCCTTGCCAGTCGCCATTGGGCGGGTGGCTGCCCAGGGCATTTTCCACGGTGGGCGACGAGGCAAAAGCACCATTGCGGATCATAGCAGGCTGATGCGAGGCTCCTGAGTCGGTCATGGTGCGCAGCGTGGAGCGCGAGGACTGTGCGGATAGGGATGGAGACGACTTTGTCTGAGGCGAGGCGCGGCGCCGGCATTGAGGGGCGGAAGTCAATTTAACGTGACTCGAATGTGTCTGTGGGTACAGCGCTGGCGGTGAAGGCGGTCTTTCCATGTAGGGTGCTGGCGATTCTGGGCGTGTGGAGTCGACCTCGAAGACGACGGGCAGGATCATGCCCGCATCGCTGAGCGTGGGCGACCTGGGGCCATAGGAGGGCGTCCGGCGTGGTGCAGAGACAGCAGCCATGAGGGGGGGGTGAAGGGGGGAGGGCGCGCGGTTGGGTGTGGGTGCTGTCTTTGCAGGTGGGCAAGGTAGGGTAGGGCTACGGTACTCTACTCTACTCTACCGTACGTGTGCTAGTTTCGCCAATCTGACAGCAACAACAGCACATGTTCGGATTGGGTCCAGAGTTGAGACAGCGTCGTTTCCGTGCGACGACGAAGTTGAGATGAAAGTTGCAGAGGAGGGTAGGTTGGGTGCTGTGGTCACAGTGTAGTAAGACTAAAAGACTACGACAGGACTCGACCCGCCAGAGTCAAGCGGCGCACATGTCTCATTTCCATAATCTCAGCCTTGACTGGGGGGGGGGGCTTTCTGGGTGAATGACTGTGCGGATCATCCTTCTGTTGATGGCGTTGTGAATTGTTGGTTAGGCTTGTTATGTGTAGGCTTGTTAGGGGGGGGGGGGAAGAAACTAAAGCTGGGACACGGAGCCGTCTATGGCAGATTACACTGCGCCTTAACCGCATCCACGCCTGCGATTCGCCGTCCCCTGAGGCCCGTCCACCCCCCCCCATCACTCCCCGAGTCTCCTCCCACCACCCCAAACTGCTGCAAGGGACACCGGGCCTATAACGCACATCCCCTGCCCCCTCACACGCGCATGTCCTAGGACTAGGTAGGTACCATAGTATGTACTCTTATTGTACTATAGGCTCCTGTCGCAGGTCCTCCATGCTACAGTGGTAAAGGTATGTACAACACAACGGACAAAGTTTGCACGTCTTGGTCAGCAACTCATCAGCACTACCCTCACGGCTCTGTCTGTGCCTTTACCTACATTTGTACAGCCTACCATACATATACATGTAGGTACATACAGAGTACTTGCGTATTACCGCCGGCCTGCCTGCCACGCGACGACTCGGCGTCGAATTCATAGCTCGATTCGGTGCAGTTGTTGGCCATGGCCTGGTCGAGTTGGGACTTGCCCCCCCCCCCCCCCCATGCATCATTCAACAACGCCAGCTCAATGCGGACCCTAATCCCAACAGCCTGGAGCGAGCCTGGTCCATGTAATACACAAGTATACCTACTAACATAGATACTTATTGTCTACTGTGGGCCACAAGGCATTCCATCCCAATAGGGACCAGAGTGTTCTGGCTGGTCACACAATTCACCCTTCCCACTGGTATAGGTAACAATGCTGTCACTTCATCATGCATTTCTACCTACTGTGCCTCAGGTCCATCTGATCCATCTCCATCATGGAATCACACATCACACCCTCCTCCACCAGGCTCATGGTCCATTTCCCTAACTCTATTTGCGCCCATCCAATGCCTCATTAAATGCAAAAAAAAATCTAGATTCACGCTCGCTAATGCAACAAAATGCAAGACAAAACTTACCCTGACCAAACTCATTCAACATCATCATCATCATCATCATTCCAGCCAAAGGCATCGTATATGCATGTCTCGGGGGTGCTCTTCTTGGGTGGTGAGAATGCAATAGGACCAGCTATGCTTGGAGAAGTAGGTACGGCTTTGGTGGGCGTAGCGACATCCGCTGAGACTGTGGCGGTGGCGGTGGCACATGCCGGAGGTGAGCTATCCACCGCCTTCACAGGTGTCTCAAACACATGCGGTGGCGCGGGGTGTCCAGTACCCGACAAACACACACTGGACTTGGATGGTGTTGCGAAGATCATCCTGCGTGCCGCCCCTGAAGAGAAAGACCTGGTGTTCGGAGCTTTCGAAGGTGTCTCGGCAATACTAGAGTGCGCTAGACCCCGGCGGCCCGATGCGCTACGGTGTCCCGTTGCCGGCATCATGGAATGTGGTTGATGGGTGGCTGAAGACGGGATGCAGAAATCGCTCAGTGGTGGCGCTCCATCTGTACTGTTTCTGACGAATGGGTTGTGAGGATGAGGCTGAAGTTGAGGCTGAGGTTGGGTGGGTGTCTGCTCTACCATGTTCTTCGTCCTGCGGCCAACACGAGGCGTCGCAGTAACTTGAACATCTTTGATAATCTTTCGTACCGGATTTGCCTGCTTCCTCGACTTATTCGCCAGCCCTAGTCCGCGTTGTTCTTTATCAGCAACATAAGACCCAGCGGCCAGTCCTCGATTTGGCCTCTTCAAGGCCAATATGGCTTCCTGTAGATCTTCCTCTACGCGTTGTTTGTGTTTCATCTTGGCTTCGGCAGCAGCAGAGGGTCGGTTGAAGTCGATTTGGCGCCCCTGTAGGTGTCTGATCTGCGACATCGACTGTCTAGCACTTTTAGACGGACTGCGTTGGAAGGGGATAGCTGATAGCGGAACTTCGCTTCCTTCTCGCTTGATATTGTTCAGAAGTGCAGTGTCAGTAGTCGATCGGTTGAGGGCTGGAGTAACTCGTTCAATGGTCCTTCCAGTGTTGTCAGTCGCCACTCTGGCAAGTGAGCGTCGTGACTTTTTCACATCCGGCTCATTCAACGTTTCCAAGGTTCGTGACGTGATAGGGGCCTTCATCGCTTTGCGCTTGGATGGTGCAGTGTGGACCGGTCCGCCCAACTTTTTGTTTGCCGTGAGAGCTTGTTCAGGTAGGCGATTCATGTAGAAAGGTACGATGACTTCAACGCAGAAGCTGTGCAATCGATCATTTGCCCCCAGTTTGTTAGCGCCGTCGAGTCCTTCATGCTGCGTTGTTGGTTTTGAGTCAAAATCCAGAATACCCAATTCCTCTGTCGCATGCCAAATACACAATTTGTCCAGCAGCAGATCAAGTTGGAGGTTGATATCGTCGACCTTTTTCGTTCGTTTCTTCGGCTTTTTGTTTGTCTGCGTCTCCTGAAGTTTCGCTATATCTGCATCGGCTTCGTTGTCGTCGAGAGGAGGTCTGTACGTGTGCAGAGACTCTAGAGCAATTATCTCGAGCATAATAATCAACTGGGCAAGCGTCTCGCGGACTCGCAAGTCTCCAACCCTCCTTTTGATGCGCTGATCAATTGTCTCCGCGCCCATGCTGTCACTACTTGGCAACTCGGAGAGCCACCACTTCCTAATCATCAAGTCCTCGTTGGGATAAACACCATTGCGGCTAAGTTTTATCTTCTTCTTCGACTTTTTGACCTTATTAGCCCCATGCATATGTTCGTCTTCTGACAAGGTTCCTGGCGGAAGTGCTTTGATCACCGCTGGAAGTTTCTCATAATATTTCTTTTCGCTAGATTTGGGGCTGAGGATCATGGCCCTGAGAAATGACACGAGTTCGTGGGTTGCTGGAGCGCCTTCCACGGGCGCCGTGAATGTATTGCGTAAGCGAGTCATCGGACCTTTGGCAAAGTATGCTAACGACGTCTTGGACAAATATACTGCGTCCAGATACTGCTGCACGAGCGATTCGAGCTGGTCCTGTGGGCTTGGACTCTCAATCATGCCTTCCAGGAAAGGATCCATAGGAGCCGTGTCCACCCTAACAGGGGTTTGTTTGGGTGCCAGATATGATATACCTGCCACTTCCACATCTGAAGACTGTTTTCTTCGCATCATCCTCATTCTAGTACGCTGCGTTGGCTGGTTGTGAGACTGCGTTACCACAGCATGTTGCCACCATTGTTCCACCGTACTAGTAGGTTGCGTCAACATGGGCAATGTAACGCAGGTATGTAGATTATTGGGATCCCATAGTTCTGTGACATCCTTCTCTTTCAGCCAAGAAGCCAGGCGGCAGATGCTATAAATGCGGGCTTGTACTCGTTCAATGGCATATAGTGTCCGCTTCGTGCCCAGATGGGCGATGAGCACCTTTGGGACATCTCTGGCATAGTTTTCCAGGGTTCCCTCCTCCAATATCTCAATGTGTGCTGCAAACAGGCTGTTCGAGGCAAAGGTCTCGTCGGGTGTGATGTCAAGGAACGTGAGAGGCAGCTGCGATCGTGCAATTATCCGAACAGGGTTGACAACTATAGGTTTGGTGAAAGTTGATTCAGGAAAGGGCTTGATCGTGAAGGGGTGGTTCGAAGTCCCCAGACCGCAGGTGGTATCTCGACTCTGCTTTGAAGGTAGTTGTGACCTGGGTTCATCGCATGGGAGAGCCTGTCCAAGGAGTTGTATGGGTGCATTGGAGACGGAATGAAGCATTGTTTTCGTTTGCAATGCGTAGGTGGACATTGGACCAGCGCATGGTGGTAGGATAGGAGTGCTCGTGTGCGTTATGCGAAGTTGTTGCTGCGAGTTGATGGTGCTTTCCACAGTCGACGCGTTTCGGTAATCGCGAAGGCTCGTGCGTTCATCTTCTCGCGCTAACCACGACGTCATTACCCGGTAACATCATCTCCAAATCAGCGGCAATATCGCGGATCTATCCTCTCTCATCAACCCTCCAACACTGAAACAAAGATGCGGAAGCAGCCTTCACACGTAAATCAAATCGTATTTGGTTAAATTAGATGTCCATTTGTAACCCTCTAGGAGTACCACTAAGGTAGAGTGTGAGGCTCAAGTGTCAACGAGTTCTTTGGTAAGAACACATCATCAGGTCCAAGGGCTACGAACTATCGTCCATGGGCCAAGATCAACATGGCCAATAAATGACGCTCTGTCCGACATCCTAGACGGCTGATGGCCTTACTTGATCGCGTACCTTGCAGATGGTAACAGTCTTGCACTAAAGCTACCATGGTTTACAGTCTCAGTGGCGCTGGCGCCCGCCTGAACTCAAATTTAAAAATCTACACACATCCCTCGACCCAGAATCTTTCACATCGACTCTTTCTCGGTTGCACTACTATCCTCATTCACAATGTGGTTGTCGATCATCTGCCTAACCTTGTACATCTCTGTCTCGTCTGCAGGCGATGACTTCGATCCTCCACCTGGAGGCTTCCGTCCCTTTGGCCCAGGCTATACTAACGGCGCATACCCTCAAGATTTTGCCCTTATCGGTCCACCATTGGAGGCGGTACACGATAGCCAGAAGCCCCCCACTGGTCTAGCTGTTGATAGTGCTCAGAAGCTATATCTTACCTATCCTCGCAACGCCGGTCAGACTCCAAACAACGTTGTTGTATGCACGTCGTACAATGAGGAGCAGCCTTGGCCGAATTCTGCCATGCAAAACTGTGCCTCTGGTCAGGATCCGAGCACCTGTTTCATCAATGTGCAGAACATAGTTCACGACGATCGCGGCCGACTATGGGTAGTCGATAGCGGTATCCCTTACAATGCGACCCCAACTACAGATGCCATCTATGGAGGAGCGAAGATTATAAGCTTCAATGAGACCACAGCGGAGCCACTACGGACTTATATAATACCTCGGGATTTGTTATCGCACAGGATGAATATGAATGACATGCGCGTAAATACTTCCTTGGGAGGTAGAGAAGGATATGTATTCATCACAGACGCCAGTAGAAACAGCTCTCTATTGACAGTGGACCTTGAGAACGGCAACACACTGCGCAGATTATTCAACACGAGTGTTGTGCGAGCTGATGAGCATTACGTCGGAACATATAACGGCAAGCTCATATACAGTTGGAATGGCACGCGAAAGGGGCACTTGACAACTGCTGCAGACGGTATAGCACTGGGTAATTCATCTCTTCCCTCACAACATTCGTGTCATTGATCTTTTGCGTAGCATCGGGTAACTTTTACTGGGGTGTTCTTGCGTCACGTCGCTTCTACTACGTCTCTCAGGGAATGTTGGTAGACAAGAATAAGTCGGACGACGAAGTCCTGGCCGCTGTGCAGGATCCAGGGCAATGCGGCTCCGAGCAAGCTGGCTTCTCAGCCGATAATCAAGGCCGTGTCTATATCGCAGCGAGCGAGCAGAACGCCATCTATTATGTCGATACTCTCGAGTCGCAGGTCAACATGGCTGTCAACGGCAAGGAACCCGGTGTCGCTGGCTCGTTACCTGCAGAAGAACACGTCGTGAAGACATTAGTCAGAAATGCTATGATCCAGCATGCTGATTCGATGGCGATCATGGATGGTTGGCTCTACTTCAACACGAATCAGCTGGCACTGGGTCCGAGTCTTCAGTACAACAACACTGACAAAAGGCGAGGTCCGTTTCGCAGCTTCAGAGTATGGATTGGAAGAGGACCAGCAGTATGATGTCAAAAAGATGTAGGCTTCATGTTCAATCGAGTGTGCTCCATCAAACCCCCTTTTATCAATATGGAGATCGCACAAAATAAAGCCTTGTATTTGTATATACCTCGAATCTTTCACCATTCCAGCACCACATCAACACTGCCTAGCCAATCATCTAGTCGTCAGACCCAGATCCAATACTCGCACACCAATAATTCGCCGTACATTTTGTACTACCCAGATCTAGCAACCCCCCTTCGAACCTAAATGTCGTCGCCCCATCCACGAAACATACCAAATTCTCGCTCCCCAGCTTGGCCGTCCCGGCAATCTGACTTTTATCCAATGTATTTGCACCACTATCAATCTTGCTCTCCAAGAATCCTGCCTTCAGCGAAGCGCGGCGTGCAGCGCCTTCCCATGTCCGCGCGCCACCGTTGAGCGTGGCGATGTCGTTGGGACGGCTGGAGGAAGAGGCGGGCTTGTTGAAGTAGAGTGCAGCGAGAAAGGTGTCGGAGTCGAGTATGTTGCGTTCGACGCAGGTCGAGAGGTAGACGTTCTTTTTGGAAGCTGCAGCTGCAGAGGCGAGGGCGGCGGCGTCCTGAGCGGGGAATGACAGGGCCGCGACGGTGAGCGGGAGAAGGAGAGTGATGGAGTGATGCATGGTGATGGACCTCTTTCTTTCTTCGTTTTTTTGTGAGAAGTATACCAAATGGTTTTCAGATTCGATGCTTTCAAGGTGCAAAATCTTGCATCGCAGCAACGACTGTGTTTGCCCACTTACTTCTACCTTCCTGCCACGTGTTCCCGACCTCTTGATCTTTTTGGTACGCATCAATTACTGTTTATCAAAAGTACTCTATCGGACATGAAGATTGATGAGTCTGCCGTCAGCTTTCTCTGACCGGACTCGGCAGTTTATGGGGTGGGATGTGACACCGGCTGCTCGGATGAAGTACATCATAAAGTGCCCAATATCGCGTCAACGCGAAACCGGCGATACTTTCGTTCCCCGGGATGGATTTGCGGCTCCAGCAATGGGTGCCCTCTAGTCTGTGTGCGAATGAGAGGGGGGAAACGACGGCATTTCCTTGTGATGGTGGATTGGTGGGAAAAAGACTTGCTTTGCAGTGCAGATGGTACTGGTTGCTTTTACGCGCGAGCTCTATGGAAAGCGAAAGCCTGCAAATGTTCTTTTATGGGGAAGATGACTCTACCGGAATTCTCATCTAAAAGAGTTTACAGAAGCATTTGAGAAATGAGAATGTTTTTGGTGGTTCTTGGACGGCGAGGGAAACATCATGGTCGCTCCAGATGCTAGCTATTCATCATCGGAAAGACAATGTCCATGTAATCGGTTCTGAGATTGAGTAGCTGCGCTTGCAAGATTGTAGATATCCATGGTAGAGTGACTGGGACAGAGATGGATGGAAGGACAGATCAGCCGTAGAAGGGAGGATTCATAACTGCCCTCTACTCGAAATGCAGACAGTAGTTGACCCAGAAGCTACTTCGTCTTGGGGTGGCATATGTAATGAAGACTGCGTCAGAAGCCACATCAACTGTCACCTGGGCATCAGCTTAGCATCCGGGCAAACCGAAAAGGAATTGCGATGGACGGCAACAATTCTCGCCTTCCCCGCTGTATCTCGACGGCTTTTATCCGCATGAGCGAGTCGTTCTCCGGGCCGGGTACAAGAAACCGGTTGATCAATCCTTCTGGACTCTTTGCGACTCTTCCCTTTTCGGGCACCATCACTGGCAGATCTTACCAGCACGGCCTGAGGTTTGGCGGACGAGGCTGCACAGTCAACGGTCCTAGGCTGTCTGGATTCGGGTTGGTTCCGGGGTGGACTTTGGCTGCCCTGGAGACGGATGGATTAGCATTTAGGGGGCGCCCCACGCGATGCCAGGGCCATGTTTTGAAAAGTGGAAATGAGCGTTTGTATTAGCGAATGGGCGAGGCTGGGTGTGATTGGTGTGATGGATGCCGATTTCCGCACTCTGGTCAAATGAGATTGGCATCCGAGCGCGGGTCATGAGGGCGTTTGGAGAATTGGGGGGGCATTTGGACAAGCTCTCGAGGCTTCATCGTCGTTGTCGTCGCGTCTGGGGAGCGAAGGAGAAGTCGAGGTCTGGTGTAGCGGGTGTAGCTGTGTGTGCGTGTTGATGTAAAGGAGAAAGGGGGAAGCCAGCGCTCTCTAGAAAGGTTGCACACCACACACCCACACGCGCAAACATGGTCGTGAAGGAGGTGAATTCGGCAACGAGATACTCATCACGTATCATCACACTTTAGCCGGTCATGTTCGCTTGTGTCCGTCCAAACATGTGTGCCTCAGCCTTGTCGCAACCAAGATGCAATCTTAATTTTTTATTTTTTTTCCGCCAACTTGTCTAGCCGCCCGCCCACCCACCCGCCGTATCGTGAGGTCTGCTACTCTTACGTACCGCCTCCTCTCGTTTCATATACAGTTCTCCCCAGGATCCTCAGGCACTGCCTCTCTCTCTCTCTCTCTCATCTCTCCCCTAACCTCAACGCTCCTTTTTTTTTTCTTTTTTTTTTCAAACCGGTACCGGTAGGGTTCCCCACACTCATTCCGTCGTGCATCCTTGCCGTTGCGTCAGCCTTGGAATATCCACGTCAGCGAAAACCCGGGCAAGACATGCGCGGTAAGACATTTGCTGCTGCGCTTTTTGCGCTGGCAGCTCGCGCATCGGCCCAGGCGCCCGTCGCAGTCGCGTAAGTTGGATTTCCCCGTCTTACCATGGTTCGCGTTGTGCGCACGCGTCCAAGACATGCCAATGGTCATCTATGCGACATGTCTTGAACACTTGGTCTGGCAAAGCACTGACCAGTGACGCGCGCAGTCCTGATGTTCAACAATCGGTCCTGCTCGTCCTCGCGACTGCGATCCCATCCGAAGTCGCATCCTACGCCCTCGCCTCGTCGTCTGCGTTTGCAGAGGAAATGGCCTCGTCTCTCGCCGCGGGCAAGACACCTGCCTGGTACCAGGCGCTCCCGACGGACGTACTGAGCCTTCTGCCTCAAATCTATCCGTTCGAAGCTGAAGCCACTCCTACTCCCTCATCAGCTTCAATGTACGCGACACCCGCCCCCAGTTCTGCCGCCGTTACTTCGTCTGCTTCGATGTCTGCCTCTGCGCCCGTCGCCTCTGCTTCGTCGGCCATGACACATGTCATTAGCGTCAATAGCACTTCGCGCGCAGTCCAGAGCCCGACTTTGAGCGCATCTACCACCGCTGCTACCTTCACTGGCGCCGCCTCCTTCCCAACTGCCGCTGTTGGCGCCAGTCTCGGCGCTGTCCTCGGATTCTTTGGAATGCTCGCCTTGTAACAGCCAAGCGGGCGGATCCTCGACCACTTTTTTTATTATTATGGGGATATGATGAAAGTCAATCCGACACGGGGAATGTTTAGCGGGTGGCGCTCCCGGTTCCAAATTTTTCTTCACGATGCAACGTTGACATTCTTTTTGGGCTTGGGCCGCATTATACCTTTGCCTTTTTTTTTATTCGGAGGATGGATTCAACGGTGACGACGAGCTTGATGTCTCTGGCTGTAATGTCTTTTGAAGTACGCCGGTCGGTGGGTTTCGGATTGGTGCCATGTCTTGACGATGTTGTAGTATGTAGTATTGTTAATTGTTAATCAATCAGAATGCGTGCAGCGCCTGCAGTTCCAGCGTACTTGTAAAAGCAAAGGCGAGGAAGCATGTTTAAATAAGAACATGCTGACCGGTTATAATTAGACCTGGTCGCTCACTTGTTGAGATCATACGCGCCACGCGCCTTCGCATTTGGTATCATGGTGGTGGCTGCTCTCGTATTCGGGCCCACATCAAACCCACACCCAGCAATCAGGTGTCGATATACCTAGTAGTACTGTGTACACAACACAAAGTGCACTGAATGTGGTTCATTCAATCGTCAGTCGAATCCACCATAGGATTGGAAAACGCGCTGACGATAATGGCACCATGTTCCCGAGCTGAGTGGAAGCACACGAGCAGACAGATGAAGCCCGTGGCAATCGTGATCGTGTAGTATTGTGCTTTGGCGAGCTTCTTTTCACTCTTCTTCTACACTGCCTTCACTGTCTACCATGTCTAAACTAGATGAACCCACCCCTTTGCGTCTCTTGGTCTACCTGGAAAGCGAACAGATCCCCGTGGCTCCTTGCATGCTGCATTCTCAAAGCGAGCAGTCGTGCTTCTGCCCTTCTCTTCATCTTTGAGCCTCGCCGCTTCTGCTTCTGCTTCTGCTGCTTTTCGAGCTGTCAACCCCTGTTTACTGACACGTGATGAATGCTCAGGAAACACCTCAAAGTCTCTACAGAGGTTGTAGCCTTTGCAGTTGTTCTTACACATATTTCCACATGTCTTCTTGGATCGGTCATATGGCACGAGACCAATGTTCCTAATGTTATGCCCTGTTCGTTGCGAAGTGTGATAGCCGGTGAAATGAAGACGCGCTTTGGTTGACAGCTGAGTATCGGTGTGCACACCCTCAAGCTTGTAATCGGACGACATGTCAACAATATATTACGCCAACTCGCTCCAAACACCTGAAGAATTGATAGCTCAATTTGAGGGTTCGACCTGATGTGTATGGGCATGTGACAGTTTCAGATAGGCCATCCAAATAACTTAAATCAAATCCGTCCACACAAAATCTGTACACGAGCGGGTGTATTTCGGCGATATCCCAAGGGGTAATTTTCCTGAAGCCGTCGAACGAGGCTCTGCCCAAAGTCTTCCAGGGGTTATCCAAATGGATCGAGGCGGTAGTTGTGAAGTTTACAGGAGTGAGACGAATCTCTTTCGCATCTATACCTCCACGCGATAAAGGGAGGAAGATCATTTTACGAAGCTGATTCCAACCGTAGACGAAGGAACGCCACTCTGTGCTGACGGACGCAAGCCGAAGAAGGTCACGGTAGTCTGGGTGCATTTTTGTGACTATCATGAGGAGGAGCTCCGGTAGCAGATAAGCATTATCAAGGCCGAACATGACGATTTGAACCTGACTGGTGATCTTCTGTAGAGTGGTACTTTGGCGTGTTTAAATACAAGTATTTGGAGAAAGTCCTGGAGGCAAATAAAGGAGTAGATAGCAAGCTTTGCCTAGGCCAGAAGCGTCGGAGGCATATCCCAGTCTATTCAAATGACCATATTCTTCACAGAGTTCGTGGCCATCTGTTCACTCATTTTTTACCACTAGACCTCGCCGTCCTATTCGCTTCTTTCGCAGTGCTGGTGCCTTCGCTCTTTTCCTTCTCCTTCTTTTCCATGGCCCTCCTCTTCGCACTTTCCTTCTCTAGCAGCTCAATCGTCTTCTCGCTGCTCTCCCATAGTTTCTTTTGTAGATCTTCATCGTCAATCTCAGGCCTCGACCATTTGACTTGCCTACACTCCTTCAGGAAGTATTTGCCGTCCCCTCGCCCCCAGCGTGCTTCCATGGCAGCGTACAAGAAGGTTTGCGCACCCGCGTCCCCGCTCTTCAGTACTAGCCACCAGATTGGCCACATTATTAGATACACGGCCAAACCCCATAAAGATCCAAAGGTGAGATACCGGCGCATGCCAGGTGTACGAGTCCAACCCGGATCAACCATGATTACACGGGCATTCATTGGCTTCTTATCAGGGCGCGCATAGTTGGAGAGATGCTTTTGGAAAGCAACAGCGAAAGTCATGAGCGCCAGCTTGGAGGTAGCATATATCGCAGACGGCGCAAGGTCGAGCTGCCCGGGTTCAGTCTTTGCGCTTTTCTTCGTGTTTGGTTTGCCAGAATTGTTAAAGGATTCTGGTATCTTTCCAGCCATGTATGAAGCGCAGGTACCGAATATGATTCGCACGTCTCTATCCGGCGGCTGAGCGCGCAACGCAGGACTGAGTATGCTCAGTAGATGAAAATTGGCCATGTAGTTTACACCCCACGTCGACTCTAGGCCATCTTCAGTAGCCGTGGCCTTGACTCCAGGCGGTGTCATAGTGCTCGCGCAAAGCACGATCATGTCCAATCGGCGCGGCGGCGCGTTATCAACCCATTTCGTAGCAAATTGGCGAATGCTATGCAAAGACTCGAGGTCAACATATTCCGCAGTAATGAGCTCGTTGTTCGTCTGGGTCCGTAGGTCTTCAATGTAGTCCACCAAGAAGGGGTCGGAGAGCGGCTGCCGTACGAGGAGGACGATTTGTGCACCACGATCCGCAAGTCCTCTGACTACCTCGGCACCAATTCCGGCTGTCCCTCCCTGTTAAACTAATGAGTACATGATTTGTGTGCTTTTCGAATTTCAAAAGTCTTACAGTAACTAGGATCACCTTCGAGTGCATATTCCGTTCTGATCCATTCTTTGCGCCATTGAAGAACCATTTTAGCGCGTAAAGCACAGCGAAGACAGAGGCGATTTTTGTGACGGTCCAGCCATAGGGAATAGAGTCCAAGCCCTCTGAGAAGACTTGGGCGAGAATGTTGACGGGCATCGTTAACTGATGATGGGACGGAATGGGCTAAACAACGCGGAACTATAGTTGAAGCCAAGCGACTGACACACGTGGCGTCATTGACATGTGACTACGCGAGATTCCCATCTTCCACCACCGACGTTGTACGGCGCCGCTTGGTATCATCTTTGTCGTCAATTCAAGAAATACCACTATTGGAGTGATGGTGCCTCCCTCAACCGAAACAGACGCATCGGGTAATCGTGGCCATGACTGCACCAAGTCGATCACCTCCACCAGAGGAAGAAATACACGAAGACGACCCATGCTATGACGACGCCGACATCTCTACCGTTCCCTTTGTTCAGCAATATCCATTCGGTCGCGGACTCTGGAAAAACCACATAAACTTCGTGCCAGCAGCAGGAGACGATGCCGAATCGACCACTGCACCTTCTACACAGGGGAAGACTATGGCCGAAAAATATCTCGCCATCATGTTCCCCAACGGCCAACCGCAGCCGAAGCCCGAAGCATACCCTGTTTGCGGCATTTGCGGTGAGCCGGTCAAAGAAACCGATCAACGAAGCCATTATCTCAGTCCTGCGCATCAAGCTGCGCTTCCACGAGCACCCATACCTTCAGCAATCGATCGATCACGAATGGGCCTCAGATACATGCAGAAACATGGCTACGATGTGGATGCGCGTGTGGGCTTGGGCGCCGCTGGGCAAGGCATGCTGTTTCCGTTGGTACCAAAAGAGAAGCGAGACAAGTTTGGTCTAGGCATCGATAAAAAGGAGCATACCAGGCGGCGAGCTCTCGGTGGTGCGAGTGCCTTTGAAGTCAAGCAAGGGACACTCGATGCGGGTAAGATCCAAAAGTTGGCGAAGATTGAAAAGAAGAGGCATGAAAAACTACAGAAGTTATTCTACGGCAATGATGAGGTCGAAAAGTATCTTGGTCAACTTGATGGCTAGGTTTGTGCCGGTATCAACAATCTTGATACACTAATAACTTACTCCCGGGAAAATGAGCAAAGTTGTCATTCATTTTACCCGTCTTGGCCGCTTCCATCGGCCGTGGGACATGCCTTCCATACAATCAGTACGCGGTCTGAACTAGGAGCATCGACATCTCGATGGGATTCGCTTTCCATATTTCATACGTCTTCTACAGCATTGGCGCATTCATTTTGTTTTTCAAGATACCCATAGCTCAACAATTGAGCCACGCTCTTACCAACAGCAGAATATAAAAATCTTTTACATGTTCCAAACGGACACATCCTCAAACTACATTGATGCGTATCACAGCATCGATCCCGTAGATGCTATGGCTAGCTGACAGGGGTTGGTATGGTCTAATGCTTCCACGCCACTCACAGCTCTAGCCGATATCCAGCCCATCCCACCACCCACTTTCGCCCCAGGACAGAAATTCGTAGACTGGTGACGAAACACTGCCCATGCTATCCACACCTACATGTCCAGGGCTATGACTATAAGAACGTGCTAACGCTGGCTCGTGTCGTTCTCCTAGCGGCTTTATAGGGCGATTTTCTTTTTGGCAAGTATCCCAGGTTGGAACAACAACACCCATCTCGTCGAATAGCTTAGTTGCTTAGAGCGTATTCCTCCAGAAGATTTAAAAGGTTCGCTTGGAAGGGCTCGCTCGACTAATACTACTGTTAGGTCGTGTTCCAGAGTTCGTCCGGTGTGACGTTCAGGATCTTCCATTTCCACTTTGAGACGTGATGATGCGGTCGAAAAGTACATCGCGTGATGCATTAGGCATGTCGTTCAAAAAAGGACGCAATTCACTCGTGTGTACATGTGGTGTATGAACATCGACAGCCGATAAACCACCGTTTTCAGAGACGATATCAACATCGATTGAACGATTCCTAGACAGCAATATTGTATACAAGAAGCCTGAAAAACCAAACGCTATGCGATACTCATGTCTAAATCACGATCCTCCTACTCGACAATCCACCGCTATACATACCGCTTACAGACTTGCCGTCTCACCTCCCAATCTCTTACCAGTAACGACCTGGAAGTATTGGTTCAAGGCATCACAGGTACCAGTTCCCTCCTCAAGCTTAACGACCACACCGACATAGCCATCCGGCCTCACAATCACGATACCGCCCTTCTCCTCGTCCAATCCCATCTTGGCGTGCGCTGCCGCCTTCGCATCCGGCACCCGCTGATCCCAGACATCATCTGCGTAAACGTGATCTGCATACCGTGCCAGTAGATTGGGCAGCTGCTCATCGATATGGATCTTGTTCCGTGGTGCGGAGAAGACGATGGCGAGGGAGAGGAAGGAGGTATGTGGGTTATGGCGCTCATGGTAGCGGTCTACGGGAGCAAGATCCTTGTAGAGGAAGTTTGAGAAAAAGGATTTGGGTGTGGACATTTGGATGGCGAGGTCCTTGAGTGCCGAGGATGTCTTTTCAGGGGCACCGCCGAAGACGAACATGCGGTAGGAGCCGTTGAAGGGAATCTCTTGTTCAAGATGTACGACGTTGGCATCGACAACGCGGGTTACGGTGGCTGCGGTAAGGATGCGACCTGTGCGTTGAGTTGTGCCCTTTTCGTACTGGAGGATCAAGGGGTGTTGGGCGGGATGTTCGGGGCCCCAGTTGACTTCGTTGGGCTTGTAGGCAACGCCGTAGCCGGAGGTGAATTCGCAGGATGCTTTGAAGGTCTTGATGAACTCGTTATCCTCAACTGCGTCGGACGATGCGCCTGCCACTTCACCTGCTGAAGGTATGCGTGTCGAGAAGAGTTTAGCGTATTTTGCGTCGAAGTCGAGGAGAGTCTCAGCAATCAGTTTGCGCTCCTTCTCATAGGTGGAGAGGAGAGTTCGTGGCGCCCATCCAGATTCGACGTGATGGATCTTCCATGCCAAATTCACAGCGTCTAGGAAAGCGGTGTTCATGCCTTGTCCAGCCTTGGGGGAATGTGTGTGACATGCATCGCCGCCCATGAAGACACGCTCGTCGAGGGTGTACCGTTCCGCGATACCTTGGCCGATTGGGTAGACAGAATACCACTCCACGCGATCCCAGGAGATCTCGTATGGCTTCAAAATGTTCTTGGCCTTTACTTGAACTTCTTCTGCTGACATGGTTTTGCGAGGATCCCAATCCTCGTCTGTTGAGCTGGCGACTTGGATGTATAGACGGACCATGTTGTTTTCGCGGGGAATGATCATGATGGAGCCTGCGTCTGAGTGAATTGTGCACTTCATCTATACAATTTGTCAGATGTTGGCGGATTGCAAATCGTGGTGAGATCAGCATACCTTGATATCAGGGAAGTTTGTGCGAACGACACCGTCCATAACACCCCAGACGTGAGCAATTGGGTCTTTGTAGATCATGTTGACGCCTAGTTTCTCGCGAATGAAACTCCTCGCGCCCTCTCCGCTGAATAGGTACTTCGCTCGTACAGTTTCAGTCTTAGTGCTGTCGTCGACATGTGCAAGATCGACCTTGACCGGGTAGGTGGGATCTGCTCCGTCGTTCTCGAATCCAGTGATGGTCCATGGTCTCTGTATTGAGCCGCCGTTCTTCTCAATATCTTCAATGAACACGCGCTCGATCATGCCTTGGTGCAAAAGAGTTGTGAATGGGTATCGCGCATCGATGAACTTTGGACAACTGGCCCATGTGCCAGTTCGATGAATGCCCTTGGCGGAGGGATCCCAAAAGGCAACTTCATACACTTTCGCAGGCTCGTACTCCATGATCTTGCGTTTGAGACCCATGTTTCGGAGGAGATCGAGAGAGCGCGGTTGTATGCCATCTGCCCGACCCGTGGCCGTAGGCTCTGGCCTGTTGTCAATGTGCTTGATTTTGTAACCCCATTTTGCGAGACTTGTCGACAGACAAAGGCCAACCGGTCCGGCGCCAACAATAACGATGTCGTAGTTTTCCACGGCCATGGTGTCCAGCCAGGACCTCAGTCTGCTGGTACAGTGAAGAAGTAAAATAAGATGAAGTAGACCAGGAAGAATAACTGTCAACTGAACAGGAGGTATATTAGATGAATGTTCGAATGGGATGGGGAATAGATCAGCCGCAAGAGCGTTTTGGATCTCTCCATCTATCAGCAGACAAGGACTTTAAGAGCAGCAGAGCAGCTCCACGGCCACCTGCCGGATCGAAGCCGGATCGAAGCTAGTGTGGGCCTCCATGGCCCATGGCAAGCAAGTCGGGACTGGTTGTCAAGCCGGCAATGAAATCGGATGTAGATGGCCCCAGACACTCACGTCTTTAGAGGCGCCGGTGGACATGCCGTCATGTTGCGGGGGAACCCCAGCGGGAGTGTACCGCGGCATTTGGCGCTGAGGTGGGAGACGCCCTTTCCATCTTTGGACTAGGGCCAGCTCGAAACGGACAAGCAGCAAGGCACGCCAACTCCGCAAGCACAGCCGGCCATCTTGACGGTCTGAACGGTGTCTAGGAGAGGAGGGCGCAGTTCATATAACCATAGAATTAGCGCTGCGTAAACTCGTATTTAGTATAGGGTTAGGCTGTGCCAAGCTCTACTAGCTAGCTAAGTAAGGTTAACTAAATATTATACTATAAGATTTTGCAACACGTTCTAAACCTATTCTAAATATATTCTATACTAGTAATACTATAAGCTACTACTACTATACCTATTACTAACGCATCCCTCTTATCCTATATAAGCAGATTAAAATATATTTAGAATATATTCTTAATAGGTTATAGAAGCACTATTAATAGTACCTTGCCCTTAGCCGCGTCCTAGATAATATTAGGGTATAGCCTATAGTTAGCCTTAATAGGGTAGTTAAGATAGAGAGTAGAGAGCGCTACTACTATACTAAAATTAATAATAAGGGCACCTTATATAGAGTAAGAACAGGTTCTAAATATATTCTAAATAGGTTCTAATATTCTTAGGCTATTCTAGGTACTAGGGGCACTCTATATACCTATACTAAAAAAGATTATAGGCTTAATATAGCCTACTATAAGGTTAGTAGGGTTAAGAAGACTAGCTAGCCCTCTATAATAGAGGTCTATAAGGCAAAGAGTAAATATATTATTAACCTATTCTTAACTTATTATACTAATATATATAGACTTCTATATAAAGGTTATATATAATTACTAGAATACTCCTTACTATAAGTTATTTAGAATATATTTAAAACTTGTTACTAATATATTTTATAGAAGTTCTCTAAGCCTAGCTAGTAGCTACTATAGGCCCCCCTATAAATACTAATACCCTCCTAAATATAATTTAGAAGAAGACTTATAGTAGCTATAATAGTAATAAGGTATAGCCTATAAGAACCTATTAAAAATATATTACTAACTTATTATAGCTTAACTTTATTACTATATCTACCCTACTAAGGATTTAAGGTTATTAGGTTCCTTATACTATCTACGCTTATAATTATCCTAGCTATAGTAAGTTATTTATAATATATTATTAACCTATTCCTAATATATTTTAAGACTATTACTTTAATACTAGTATAGACCTTACTAATTCCTGCTAGAATACCGCCTAGTTCCACTTGCGGTATGCTTTTATAGAGCCTAGGGAGGATAGGGAGGATAGAGAAGATACTAGAGAGGGGGAGGGAGATAATAATAGTAATAAGTAGGAATATATTAAGAATATATTAAGAATAGGTTCTAATAAATAATATATAATAGTATATAACCTAAAGGGGTAGTAGTAATTACTAAAATAAACTCTCTACTCTTCTCTTTTTTTTTCTATCTACTAAAAGTAAAGTACTATTTACTTTTATAGGGTCCTTTAATAGTATATAACTTTTTCTTTTAACTTTTATAGGTATTATAAAGCTTTAGTAGTCCCTTAGATTAAAGAAGAATCTAGTATTTATAGGTGTCTAGCTATAACATATTATTAATATATTCTAAATATATTTTAAGAGACTAGACTTATATCTCCTTTTTACTACTTTTACTAAATATTATTTATAGTGTAAAGGGGAGTAACTATTTGCTCCTCTTCTTTACTCTCTACTTCCTCTTTAGCCTCTACTCTAGCTACTACTTCTTATTATAGACTAGCTATCTTAGAGGGTTCTTAAACCTTAGAGGAGGCACTTAGTGTAGTCTACTCTACTAGTAGAGAATATATTATTAACGTGTTTAGAACACGTTCTTAAGCATTTACTATTAAGCTCCTATAGAAGATCCTTACTTCCGCAATGCCTTATATTGTGGTTCTACTATAGTTTACTAGGGCTATTTAAACCTTAGGATAACACCTCTTAAGGTAGTAGATAAGATTACCTCTATTAGAGAAGTAATACTAAAATAGTTATTAATATATTATAAACATGTTCTAACTTGCATGTATATATACTCTATAAAGTTCCTATACCCCTAATCTAGTCTAAATAGCCTAGTAGAAAAGCTTGCTAGGAAATACTATACACCTATTATTTAGGTAGGATATTATAGGAGAGAATACCCTAGTATTAGATAGAAGTAACTTAAGCTTAATATATTACTAGTATAAATCCTACTTAGTATTAGAATAAGTTTATAACGTGTTCCTAACGCGTTCTATTATATACTAACTTTAAAAGATCTTTATAGACTATATTAACTAGTTATATCTAATAATATTAGGAAAGATAGATAGTAAAATAGTATTAAACTCTTAAATATAAAAAGTTCTTATAGAGTGTAAGAAGAAAGAAGAAGAAAGAGAAGAAGAAAGAATATATATTTATCTACTTATATATACTTACGTAATAGACTAGAATATATTAAGAACTAGTTAGGAACTAGTTACTATATTTATAGACTAACCCTACCTTGCATAAAAAGTAGCTATCTCTTTCTTAAGTTTAAACTATGCCTTTTATAATTTAAATAGTGCCTTTTTCTATATAAGTTCTTCCTTATCTACCTCTAGCTTTTCTTTTCTCTCCTTTAGAGCCTAATTACTAAGAAGAGCCTTTTATTATAAAGTTTATAGTTATAGACTAATAATAAGTTAGGAACGTGTTATAAACGTGTTTTGTAAAGCATACCTTTAGGTTACTATTAGTAGAGGAGAAGAGCCTAGTAGTAAAGAAGATAGAAAAGGGGCTAGTAAACTTCTTTCTAATACCGCTCTACTACTTGCCCTCTAGCTTTAGGCTTTTAAGTGTGCTCTTTTATTTCTTATTAGGACTAAGATATATCTAGTTAAGTTAGATATAGCAAGACTTGCTTTATTATTATCTAGAGTATTATTATTATTATAGGACACGTTCTAAACACATTCTAAACATGTTTTAATTAGCAAATATATATAACACTAGCGTAAGACTTACTTTCTCCCCTCTAAAGCTTTTTAAGGTACCTTTGCTTAAGCCTATTAGGAGTTCTATAGTTATAGCGTATTCTAAACTTGCTCTAGGCTTTAAACTCTTTTATATCCTACAGATCTATCTAGTGTGCACTACACAATATTACTTATACAATTCTAACAGGTTAAGAATAGGTTATAAACTTACTTCTAAGTGGCCTTAAGAATACTTACATGCTTACTAGTTTTATATCCTTTCTAGCCTGCTTGCTTAGCTATATTTAAATAAGATTCTAGTTTTTCCTATACCTCTTTTAATATTTTACTATAGTATTATATAATCCTAGTAGTAATTACTAGGTTTTTCTTATAGATTACCTAGTTTTAGGTATCTTTAGAGGGTTCATGTTCTAATTATATAAGAACAAGTTAGGAACACATTTAGAATAGGTTTAGAATATATTTACTTACGTAAGAGGAGGTTAGCAAGCTAAAAGTATTCCTCTACTATTAATACCTATAGTAATTCACTTAGACGTAAAGAGGTAGTATTATCTAGCTCTCTTTTATATACTTTATAAATACTTCTTTGTAGATATACTTAACAAAATCTTATGCAAGATTAAAGTTGCTAGCGCTAGTTACGCTTATAGGGATTAATTAACTAGAGATAGCGCCTAAGTCCTAGAAACAAGTTAGAAACATGTTATAAACATGTTATAGTGCGCTATAAAACTTGCCTGTTATCTACTTGTTATATATATTAATAGTAGTCCTATAGAATCCCTATAAGTAAATATGCCTCTATAATACTTGTCTTTTTATAAGTGCTTTACACTTCTAAAAGAAGTTAGTAATAGCAACTTAATATATCTTAGTTATATCCTTATCTATAATAATTTAGCTAAGTGTAATAACTATAATATATTAGAAACGTGTTACAAACCTATTCTTAATGCGTACGCTTCTTTTCCTACAGGTAGAAGATTACTATTAGAATCTCTACCTATGCCCTATATAACCTCTTATATAATATATCTATCTAGAATATATCTTAATCTAATAGAATTAATACCTACTCTTTAAAAAGGTAAATAATTAAGTTACCTAAGCTTAATATAAAGATTTGCTATATATACGCCTGTAGTAATATATTAGTAATGTGTTCTAAACCTATTCTCTTATACTACGTATAGTTTTAGGATCCTAATACTTTATCCTCTACTTATAGTGTACTCCTCTAAGGCTACTCTTAAATAGGAACTATAGAAGCTTTTCACACTTTATAATACGCAAGATTTTATCTTTATTTACAAAGCTAATATACATTTCTTTAATAGAATAGAAACCTTTAAGTTAGAGATAGGTTTAAAGCTAGGTTAAGTTTAGGAACTAGGCTATAATAAGTTAGGAATATATTTATAACAGGTTGCAAATAACTTATATTACGTAAGCTGCAGAGTAAGCATAGGCTATAATACCTTTACTACTTCCTTAATATTACTATTAGATAGTGTTAAGGGAGGAGGAGGTATATATATATGTATACTAAAAGAAATAATAGTAAAAAAAGGTATTACTACTATATCTATTAGTATAATTACTTAGAAGGTAACTTTACACAGGATTTTAAATAGAGATCCTTGCCCTTATAGATAATTAACGCCTAGAATATATTAGGAATATATTAGGAATAGGTTGCAATATGCCTACCACACTTCTTTATCTAGCTTAACTGTGGCTTAACTACAGAATATAAAGCAGGACTACTAGAAAGATTTAATATCTCCCTAGTTAGAAGACCTTGTAGATATATAGAGTCTACCTCTAGTAGTACCTAACTAAAATAATATTTTTTCCTAGTAGTAGATATTAGGCTATAGTTCTAACAGCTAATATATAGTTAAGCCTGTTCTACAATTTACTAACTTATTATTAATATGTTTTAAACATGTTTAAGTTTTGCTCCCTACCTAATTTACTATAGTCCTTATTATAGGATAATAAGACACCTAGTAGTCCTTATAAATCCTTAAAGAGAAGCGCTTAATAAGGCTATAATAATAGCTTCTTATTTATAGTTCTCTTTATAGAATTTTCTTAGGTACTATACTTTTTAAGGTTTAGATCTAATTATATAATGCGTTATTAATAACGTAATAAGAACACGTTTATAATATATTCTTAAGATACTTATACACTTTTACCCTAGAGTATTAGTATTTATACTAGCTTGCTAGCTAGCTATTAAAGAATAGTAAAGTTATAGGCCTGTTAAGATAGACAGACTAGCAGGAGTATTATACCTGCTAGAATTAGAATAATTTAAGAACGTGTTCTTAACGTGTTACCTATATAGCCTGTATAAGCACCTCTTCTCTTATTAGGTAAGAGCTATCTTTATATTGCTAAACTAGTATTATATACCTATACCCTTAGCTATATAATTAAGGGTATGCTAGGAGAATAGCTATATACTTAATAATTACTAGTATAAGTAGTAGTCCTTAACTATTACTATAAGTAAGGTATATATTGTGCCCCTATAATATATTACTAACCTATTCTAAACTTGTTCTATTTACTTTTACTTACTTCCTTAATACTACTACTACTATCCTCCTCTAGCACTTTATATAGTTACCTAAATTTATCTCTAATATTACTATCTAGTTTAGATATATTATCTAGTACTACTATACTAAACTCTAGTATAGTATTTAGGAACGCCTATATATTATTAAGAATAGGTTTAGAATATATTTAAAAAAGATAGTAACAAAAACTGCGTTTACTTGCTTAAATTACCCTAATTTATACTTAACTATAGGCTAGTTTATATAACTATAAAAATTTGCCGCTGTGACGTGGACTTGAACCTACAGGGATATTCTAACCACTTGGAGTAAAGCCCAAGTCGCCCGACGCTAAACCCATGGTCATATGACATGCCACCACCTGGGAGAGGGAGTGAGAGACTCCACATTCTGAGCCAAGGCCGCTGAAGATTTACCGTAAACATCTTCCATGATGGTTCAGCATCAGACTTTGACTTCCTGTCTCAGCCTGCCTCGTACGAGATGGTCCCACCAAGCCAATGACAGACTGGATGATGAACGAACAGACTCCCGCCAACCCCAGCCATCCTCTACTACTCAAGGGCCGGACGCAAGGACGAGCCAAGCTTGATTATGTCATCGCTGTAGTTGTGTGTATATCTACCAAGAATCTCACGAGTCACAACCATCCAGGCTCGCTCTGGCACAGGACCTTGCTCGTCAAGGCATGCCGAGGAACACAGATGCACCTAGTACTCATCATGCCCATCACAGGAGCGAGTGTGTAGAAACAGATGCCATTACCCCTGATCTTCATCTTCGGAGACGGCGGCATCGTGAATCGTAATGTACAAAAAAAATCGTACAGCGAGTCTGAAGATCAAGACGTACTCAGAACTCTGGCAGAATAGCACTAGAGTGATTGCAAGTTGCTATCGTTATATTTCGTAGATGACATACATATAGTAATGCCTTGATTGTATCGACACCCCAACCCCAACGCCAGGTACAGAAAGCTCGTCGAGCACGAGTTTGTGTTATGCAAACCTTGCCTCTTAGATTCACCCCCTGTCGGATACGCGTTCCATGACATCGCAATCTTGCCATCCTTTGACACTTTCCCGATCATGCCCTACAAGCTTTTGCAGCATTGTGACTCACTCCTAACCCCTCCGAAATCGGTTGCTTTCTCAACAACATGCGTGTTCAAGATACCGTAGCATTGCCCAAAGAGGCTGCCAACCGCTCTTCCTCCTTTCTTGCTCTCGCTGCTTCCGTTTCCTTGCGCATAGTCTCCAGGTTCCACGAGTCATCCTCTTCATCGCTATCCGCGTCACTGTCTTGTTGCCAGTCACCCTTCTCGAACATGGCACGACCAGTTGCCTCCTTCATCTTCTTGGCCTCTTCTTCGGCTTGCTTCTTGTCGAGGCGCTCCTTCTTCCACTTGGCAAATGTTTCTTCTGTGACAGGCGTAAGGGTACCGGTCAGTTTATGTCGTTCAGACTCGAGGAAGTCTTCGAGTGTGAGTGTGGCTAGAGGCGAATTGGCCATGAGGGCCTTCTCGGCAGCACGCTGCTCCTTTGTTTTGATGACATATCTGTGTCCGGCAATCAGCACGTAATGCAACCGCGCAATCCATATGTGGACAACAGGAACGGTAACTAACCCAGGTGGCAAGGAATGCTTGTACATGCATTTATCTCCGCCATTCGGACAGACCCAGAACCAGCCATATTTCTGGTCCTCGATGGCTTGGATGAAATATTTGCATACTTTGTCCGTGGTCGTCTTTGGGTTGCCGTGCTTGCTGAGCACGACCTGCCGCAGCTTTTCCTCGTCCCAGTCGTCCATGTTGTCCTTTTTCTTCTTCTCTTCCTCTGCCTCTTTTTCTTGGTCTCTGCTGTCGGTATATAAACTCCTCTTTTCTGTCTTGCGTTCGACGGCCGGGTCATGGCTAAACTTGCACTTCTTGCCCTTCTCGCAGTTCCCCTTCTTGAAAAATTGACAGAGTACAGTCTTGGGATCGACGCCGAATGGCACTTTCTGGATCTGAACGGGTTTGAAGAGGTCTGCGACTTCTTTGCGGGCTTGCTCAGCCGCCAGCTTCTCCTTCTCACGCTGTGCCTTCTCTGCTGCCTTTCGCTTCTCTTCAGGTGAGCCACCAGACGCAGCCGTAGCTTTGATTTGAGCGATTTGCTTCTGCGCGGCACCACCCTTTTTATTCTTCATACCGAAGGTCTTGTCCACGGCAATCTTCTTCACCTTGGGCTGCTCGCCCTTGCCTTTGGGTGGCATCTTGGCAGATTGTATGAGTTGAAATGACTGTGGGGGGTGCGTAATCTGGTACTCGGGAAACTGGTCGTCTGCGGTCTTGCGACGTTGGCGGTAATTTGCGCGCGTGTGTGTCGCTGTCAACGTGAGAATGACGATGCGTGGGGTGGAATTTCCGTAGTGGCGGCGGCACGGAGGTCCTTGCACCTTACAACAGCGTTTATGGCCGAAGCGCGCCGAAGCTCAAGGTGGCCTTCACCCTCAACCCTCGACAACCCTCATCTCACTTAACGCATCGTCACCACGTCCGGCTTTCCCGTAACCGGATCACTATTGTAAAAGGCCAATCAAAGTATGGCTAATTACTCTTCGATTATATCAATTGTGCGCTGACAACGCCGCAGCGTATCCAGGGCTTCCTACCAATCTAATACATATACAACAGCAACAACCCGCGACCACTGTTAAGATGATTACCGACAACCAGCTTTATTCCCTCGCCATTTTCTTAGGAAGCGCTGCCATGTTCCTGATCGTCCTATACCATTTCCTCGAAGTCAACTCCGAGGATCACAAGGCAGAAGAGCAGCCAAAAGTCGCAGCACGGAAAGTGAAGGCATAAGACATGGCGCATCGTGCCATGTAGGAGAAACTTATAGCTATGCAAGAAAGTTACTACTTGCGCTGCAGACAGATGGTGCGCGGATTCTGGGGTTCCAAAGAAGAGACTCCAAAGGACTGATGAATTGCAAGAATGCATGCATTGAATTCTTTACGGAGTTCAGGCGCAGGTCAGATACATGCGGACAAGGGTATCTCGGGGTTCGCGTCTCTGCTATTAGGCGCCTCATTATACAGAGCCCAATAGCAATAGCATAAGGGATTGTTGTGGTTATTCAATGTTTGTTGTGTCCTGCGCCATTAAATATGCGTGAGACTAGGAGCCGAGCCCTTCCCAGTGCCCAAAATGTTTCAAATTATATGCAAGATTAGAGTACATGATGTAAAACGGATCTGGGTATGCCACACCGTTAGTCATCGGCATCCACAAGTTCCCCTTCAACATCAGAGTTATCCAGAAACCCTCTTCTTCGCTTGTCATTCACGAGTGTCGCACCTCCACGATCCATTCCCGGTCCGCCTATGCGCCTTATCCGTGAGACAAGCCGCGCGTGTGTATCGAGAGCTTCCTGCTCCGGTGAGATTTTGGGAGGACGTCCCCTACCTCGCGGCCCAGGCGATTGGACGCATGCTAACGATAAATCTGGCATATCATCGAGTTTGACTGTAATACGTGGAGTTACTTGACGGCCTTGAGCATCGCTGAGATACGCATCAGAATCATGTGCGTCTAGTTAGTCTGTCAGAATACACGCAGACCATGTTTCGCTCCATTAAACGTTGCTAATTGTCTTCCTTACCAGAGAGACCGCTGGCTGGCCCATCCCCGAGCTCCCATGAAAGCGGATCGAAGTGGCTCTCTTGTATGTGTTGCCGCCACTCGCTCTCTCGGTCAAAGGAATGAGGAGTAATTTCATCGATGATCATATTTGTCATTGTATCGTGATTTGCGACTTCTTTACCGCAATCTCCCCACGAGCATTCCAACGTGTTTTGAGGGGTTGCTATGCGATGCACCTTGAAGACATGTTTCTTCAGTGTTTCCAAGTTGTGTAGCTCGGCTTCACACTTTTTCCAAAGACATTTGTACGATTGTAATTGCGGCACACGTCTCGCAACAGTGGGAGATCTGGAATCGATGCGGATAGGCTCGTTTGCGTCTGTCTTGACGTTACGTAGGCTGCTGGAATGTGGAGGCTGGTGACTGTTGAAGGGGCCGGTATGGCCATTCAACGGTGGCCGAATCCGAGCTGCAGCAGAGCCGTGAATTGCCTTCCTCCATCCAATAGGACGGCCCTTTTTCTTTGGGAGTGGTTGACCATCTGGACCATATTGCGTAGCAGAGCGAAAGGCGTGATATCCTATACCAGCAGTAGCAGAACTCGGATGAGTAGCGCTTGAGCTCATGTCTGCGGTGCTTGGTACGTGATCAGGTGTGGTAGGCGCCGTGTTAGCTGGATAAGAATGTCGTGGAGGTCGACCGCGTCGCTTCTGTTTGAACGGATTCGTCGCTGCGGGTAACGCTTGGACCTTGGAAGCCCCACCTTCACCGCTAGTCGCGTGTAACGATGCGCGTGGACGCGACTCGTCTTCAGACTCGTCTTCGTCATCTGCATCTCCTGTCCAAGCCTCCACGCTATCTTTGAAATAGCCTGGTGGTGGCGTGCCTGGATCGAGTATATCCCAACGTAGCGTACTAAGATCAGACTCAAATACAATCCCCAATGTTGCCCGCAGGCCGTCCAGATGTTGGTTCAGTTGTCGTTCGGATGGGTGTCTTCCACACGCGAGCAAGACATCACGGGCGATAGTCGCAGGATTGTAGTTGTTGCGACGAAGGGCCTTTTTCTTGTCCAGAACCTTCACGATAGGCTGATTCCGGAACTCTTCATTGGGTGGTAACACTGGCTGATATACGGGCTCCTGTACAGGACGAGAAATATGAGCGATCGGGAAATTGGTAATGTTTGGCTCTGCATCGACCCTCATGACGTCTTGCACATGCGGATGTTGTGACTCAAGGGAACGTGCTACATCTGATTGATGCCTTTTCATCGGGGGCCCAAAGTCCTCGTCGTCTGAAAGTTGGGTCAAATCTATCAGGTCGCTCAAGTTTCGCTTCCTAGCCGCTTCTTCCTTGTTTGCTGGAGGCTTCAATTCGGCCTTGATAGGTATCATCTCAGCTACAGGTACAGGAGCAGCTGGAAGGGGTGTTTGTGAGTCATTGTTTGCCGGTGAGGCCACTGCCGGCGTATGCTGGGGACTTCCTGCCGTTGTCGCCGGCGTAGCAACCTCTTTCTTCATCACGGCTGGCGGTACCATTGGCCTATGTGCGGATACAGGTGTAGGCTGGGATGTGGTCTTGCGTGAACCGGAATTAACATCTGGTACTGCGGTAAGAAGACTCTTCGCGAATGCAGCTCGATCAAGCTTCAGACCCAGTTGTTCAAGTTGTTCGCACAGCTGGATGTAGGATGGATTGCTGTTCAACATGCTGAGGATTTGGTTGGAATCCAGGTTGAAAGTTGGATTTCGTGCGGCAAGAAAGGATACGGCAGCATTGGCTAACTGGGCCCTCTTCTCAGGGGGCCAGATGGTGGTGCCTCCGGGTCGATTTGATGCTGCGTGAGCATGCGGTCTTGCGACAGTGACCGGTGGTTGTGCGGGAGAAGCTGTTCTGGCCACGGGAGGGACGGTAGGCTCCCTTGGAACTGTCTTCTTTCTAGAGTTCGCAATCGGAGTGGCGCTTGCCTGTACAGACGAAACAAGGGGAACAGGTTGTGCAGTAAGAGCAGGAGGGACCTGAGGCGCTGGCTTATCCTGCATTGTCGGAGACTTCGGGGCTTTCCCTCTTCGCTCTTCTTCCCAGATACGTGCAAGCAGGGCCGGGTCTTTGCTGTTCAATTCTCTCATCTTTGCCATCATGGCACGCATCGCGGCTTCTAGAGCTTCCGGTGTGTCACTTGGAGTCTCTGCTGCTGCTACTTCAGCAGTGCTGGACTGCTCTTTAGCGGACTTCTGAGCCTTGGGCTTGGGCTGCGGTCGGCGTAATCGCTCTTCCTCTTCTTGTCGTTTACGAGCTTCTTCTGCTTTTAGCTGTTCTGCCTTGCGCGCCTGTTCCGCTATCCTCTCTTCCTTGCGCGCCTGTTCCGCTATCCTCTCTTCCTCTGCGCGCGCGGCATCCTCTAGTGCCTTTTGAGCGCGCGCAATCTCTGCTCTGCGTTGAATATCTGCGTATGGGTCATACACAGCAGAGGGATCAACCGTAGTAGCTCGTGGAGCATTACTGTAGGTTTCGGCCACAGTGGCGTTTGTTGCTTGTAAAGGGGGCGTGGAACCGCTGATATGACTACCTGTGTGATTGTAAGATGTAGAGGTTGAGGCAGGCTGGGCTGCATGGTTGTAAGGTGTGGAGTTTGAAGCGGGCTGTGATGGACGAGCTGGCTCAACACCAGGGAGCTTGCGACTATTGTAGTCGTTGTACGGTTGACTAGAGACTGCGGGCAATACAGAGAATTTCGTAGAGCTAGCCGGTGTTGCGTTGTATTGATGCTGCGCGGGGCTTGCAGAATGCTCCTGCTGCTGATTGTACACATTTTGCGCTCTTTGAGAGGGATAACCAGCTGTCGCAGCAGGTGATGGTAAACCTCGACTAGTCATCACTTGTGTTTGATTGGCATTGACACTCCGAGGATGTACTTGCGAGTGGCCGTAAGCGCTGTTCGTTCCGTGCGGGTTCTGCGCTTGAACTTGCGTTGGAGCGGACGTATTATTGGGGGCATAGCTGTCGTTGCTCATATTGTGCAATACCTCCGCAGCGCCTCGAGTTGTTTCCCGGGTATTGCCGTAGCTGTTGCCACTCCATGTATTGTCTTGAGAAGGGCAATAACCACTCGCTTGCGCACCATATGACGAGCCACTATAAGACATGTGATCGCTGCCCTGCGTCGAGTTTGGCTGCTGGTATGGTCGCGAGGACTGCGCTACATTGCTTGGGGCCGGTGTGGTATGATAAGCCGGATACTGCTGGGCCGCGCTCTGCTGATAGGGATAGTTGTAGGCATTGTAGTTATTCGACGCCATTGCGACTATTGCTCAAGAGGCACAAGCTCGTCCAAAGCCCGTGTAAGAGTTGGCAAAGGTAACAGCCTGGAGGTGATGTGTCTTCTCCGCGGTGTAAAGGCAAGGTGAGTGCGGAGGTGATAGTGGGTTCAATGTAATAGGCGGCGATGCCAGCAGCAATCTTGCTTGGGTAAGTAATCGTAACCTAGACGTGATCCCAAGTGGTCCTGCGACGCGTTGCGACGGGCAAACTCGCGGGGGCGCTTCGACGATGCGATTCGGGCCAACGCGTGCTGCCGACTAGCGCAAATGTAAATCCCATGAGCAGGCTGTCTCGTAAAATAGTTTTTCCGGCGCTAATCAAGCGAAAGAACTGGGCATGCACACTCCTCACCACTCCAATATTTGCGGACCGCGACACGACCTTCCTCTACTAACCCGACAACCCATTTCGCAGCAACAATGGCAAAGGTCCAGGCACAACTCGCGAGCTCTCGCCGCAAATCGCGAAAGGCACACTTCAGTGCGCCGAGTAGTGTGCGTCGGGTCATCATGAGCGTATGAAGAGACTTGGAACATTGCACATGGACATGTTCTAACAACCTTCAGGCGCCACTGAGTAAGGAGCTCCGCGAAAAGCACGGTGTGCGCAGCATTCCCGTCCGCAAGGATGTAAGTAACTCCCGAGAGCTTTGTTGATCCCCTTGTATGCTAAAGTTTTTTCTGTAGGACGAAATCATGGTTGTCCGCGGCAGCAACAAGGGACGTGAGGGCAAGATTCAGTCCGTCTACCGCCTCAAGTACTGCCTGCACGTTGCTGGAAGTGCGTATTACTCGAATCTACATTGGTCACAGATTCACTAATTATCCACATAGTCGTCCGCGAGAAGAGCAACGGCCAGTCGGTTCCCATCCCAATCGCCCCCTCCAAGGTCGTCATCACCAAGCTCAAGCTCGACAAGGACCGTGAGCAGATTCTGGAGCGCAAGAGCGCCGGTCGTGCCGAGAAGAAGAAGAGGAGCGAGGAGGCTTAAGCGTCTTGTCTTCTGGGATTAGCGACACTTTCTCGGCTCCAAGGGACGTCGGCATGAGCCCGTCTTCTTAAAACGAGCCAACAGCATGCATATCATGGGTTCATGGTCTGGTCATGCCATAGACGCATGGAAAAGCAGGGCGTTATACCGGCTTCTAGCTCGATCAATGGATTCGCCGTCATGTGGCCCCCGTCGAAGCTACACTTTTATTTTCTGAGATGATACCACGAAAGCCTTGGAGTAGGGCAATGAATGAAGATTTGTCACTCCAGCCTTCGCCGTGAAATTACGTGTGACGACTCATCTCACGCTAGAATATCTACTCATCAGCCTTATCTCGTGGTTGCTTGCAGTTATACGACTAGCGAAGAATAATGCCCAATGACTACTGTCATTGCTCGCCTGCAGACCGTCTTCGAGGCTTCCGATGAAGGAGATGGTTTGATGGTGAGATACATGCAATACTCCTTGTGGGTTAATTGACAGGGGTATATTTAACGGCTTGTCTCATCCGGACTGCAGCTGAAACTCACATTGCTACTCAATACATATTGTCTTGCATGGACTCGAAGTTTTTAAGCTGTCCACAGAGTCGTAGGTTTTTGATTGCCAGGTCTCGCTGACCGATGGTCATGGACCCGCTTGGCTGTTGATCAGAATTGTGAAGCTTCACGAAACATTCGGTCGATTGGACAATGCGAAAAGATTGTGTTGTTTGTTTAGTTTATTGTATGTTGTCGCATGATAATGTCGGACTCGAATGATCTTCGTCAAGTACAAGCACTACATCATACCGTACTGTGAATAATGGCAAGATAGCTTGTCCTATCATGCCCGGTGTCCTTTGGAGAGATGTGTCAGAGGGTAATATCTAGATAACTTTTCCCCCACCCAGAATACAATCAACTCCCCATTCTACCATATGTTGCTCTGTGCTCTGTCGCAAGTACACATAGTGGTGCAAGTAGAGAAAGATTTCGCCCTCGATCAGTTCGTCCCAAAGTACCATCGTGGGGCGCTGCAGTGTTGGTGGTACTGGTATGTATATATTTATATACACGTATATTGTAGGGTATTTATTGCATGGGTTGGAGGTGGGTAGGTGTGATTATTGCGGTTACATACGGGCATGTTAATTGCGTGGTGTCATGCTGGGCCACGTGGGTTGCCCCGGATTCACATGTGTATTACGGGTATACTCTATATATATATGTATGTATGTATGTTCATGTCGGCATATACGAGATCTAAGCGATGTGAGAGGGAGTTGAGGGCGCGTTTTGGGGCTCTGGGTCTTTTGCTATTGCCATGAATGAACAGGTGGGAAGGGATGTTGCATTGCCTTGAACGAACAGGTGGGACGGAGGTTTTCTTTTTTTTTGGTGTGTGAGTGAACGGGCATGCTATTGCGGGCTTCTTCTTTTTTGAGGGGGTTTGGCGATGCTACTCGTGAGCGCGATCTTGACTACTATGCTCGGGCTCGGTACTATTCCATGGTTATCGATCTGACTGGCTGCTGCCGCTTGATCTGCCGAGTGTTGACATGGTCGGATGCTACCTATGCCATATTGTATGCACGTTGTATGTACACAGTATGCTCAGGTGTTTGTCGAGACTGGACAGTTGGAGAGTGACGTAGGATCGTGTCCAATGTACTGACGCAGCCACAGATTGGCTTTCAATCTCCAAGATCTTTGACTATGCTACTAGTTATGCTTGTCGGGTGGGGATCCATTGCCGAGCGGATGAATAATGAATATGTACAAAGATGGCGAACCATGATGCATCAACATCGTGCTGACAGCCGATCAACTCGTACGGCTAATAAGGATTGACACCGTTGTGACGAATGCGGCCCTTCTGGGGATAGTTCCCCCTGGCAAAAAATGCTAGTGGCATGTTCACGATGAGAGGGCTCTTTCGGCGAATGTGTCGAGGTCGACTGCATTCGACTGCCTATGTGATGGTGCGGCGCGGGGCGAGTGGTGGAGGAGGGTGTAAGAGATGTTCGGTAGTGTGTGGTAGGTATGTGTACAATAAAACAAGTACAGTAGATCCAATGCGGTGGGTTCGCCTCGCCATGGTGCTGAGTCAGGACCCAAGGCAGAGGGTCGCTCTTTTCTGTTTCAGGAGTTCAGTAGTGCCCCACTTGTCACCGACGCCACCATTCTGAGCGCGCGCCTCGACTTCGGAGGATAAATTGCAGTCATGCCATCACACATCACATACAACCAGCAACCAGCAGCTCGAATGGCAACACCGACATGCCATGTCGGTGTGACAGAAGTGCGATCGATGTCTTTCTATCTCAGGAGGACATGGTCGAACACAGCTACCGTATCTCGCCGTCCGATCGAGCGGGCGCATATCCAAGTTCCACGGGCGCCAACTGGACCTACCCATGCACATGGCATTGTATGGTAGTGACAGTGACATACGATCCCCTAGACACGAGGAGGCTCGGCTACCAAGGCTGCATACGATTTGGCTATACGATGGCGTGCGTGGTCGATTACGAAGTACCCATAGGTAAGTAGGCGGTCGCCACAGGGTTGGTCCCTATCAGCTGCTCCTCATGATGAAAATAGGGTCCCAAGCCCCCCCCCCCCCCAAGCGGAAGTCGGAGGGGTGCGCTGAAGGATGTACATAAGCTGTTGTACACTACTACCATCTAGTAAGCTGTGCGGCGTACGGATACAGCAGGCCACCTCTGTTGAGTCTGATCCCACCCAAGACGAAAAAGCGATTGCAGGTGCCGAGAGGGCAAAACGGCAGGTCGAAGAGGGCGGCTTGTCTTGATTCGTGAGGCGATGGAGGGAGCGGAGATGATGACCCTCCTGGCTCCAGCCCATTGTGTCCAAGTTTCACGAGGATGCTGGTGGGCGAAGATTCGGATCAGCGGCAGCGGCGAGCCATCGAAGATGACTTGAGTGTGTGAAAGCCTGAGGCGTGTGCTCGATTACATCGGGCCGCGTCTACGGTTGTACAACTTGTACAGCCTCAGTGTTCGCGCAGAATTCTAGCGCGTGCGAGTAGGTATAGTATGTATCTATCTATGGTAGGCACCGTAATACACAGTGGATGTTCGGTATTGCGCAGCGCAGCGTCTGGCCATTGTCCAGGGCATGTTCAAGTGTTCTCGGACGCACTGGGGGAGGGATTGTATTGTAGCGGTGCGGGTGTGGTGGGGAAGGGGGTTGTTTCTTAGCTGCAAGGGCAGGCCTCTCTGCTAGGCATAGTATGTGTACATGGTAGGCTTTGGTACATACATAGTGCGAGGGTACGCTTGACATTCACAGTAACAGCAAAACGCTAGCAGTCGACCAGTCTCTGTACCGACTTGACCACGGTTCCCAACTGTCTAACTGCAAGTATCCAAGTATCTGTACCATGGTGGACAAGGTCAAGACCAGGGGGCGCGTGGGCGTGGGCGAATTACTACAGTAGGCCAAGCTGCACACCCACCCGCCATTGGCCTGTCACACGATTTACCCCTGACTGCACGGTCCGTTCGGGGTCTCACCACAGACTGTACAATCTGTTGCTTTCGGGGGGGGGGGAGGGAGAAGAAGAAAACGAGGAAGCTGCCCAAGCCCAGCCGATGGGCATTGGAGGGGGCTTGCGGGCTTGCCCTTGCTCGCAGTGCGCAGAAGCGGACCCTCGCAGCGGCCTTCTGGCTAGACTGTGTGGACCACCTCCCTCTCGCTCACGCAAACCGTCTCCTCCCCCCAGCTTCAGCCTGCCAAAGTGTCTGAACACACCTTCACCACCGCCACCACCCACCACCTTCACCACCACCACCTGGACGGTCGCTCTCCTCGACGTCCGCACCACAACCGCCGCGCTGTGCTGCTGCCTCTCATTTCCCTTTCCCCTCTCACACTCCCCCGTGCCGTTCCAACACAAACACAAACAAACCCTCCCACACGCCTGCCTCTTTGATAGAGCGTCTCCCTATCGCTCACCCTGCATTCTTCGAAGAATCACCTGTCTTGGCCCTGCGCCCCCATCCAACGTCACCGTCGCGCTCAGTCTCGATCTTGTCTTGGATTCGAGTACGTCAATTGAATTGCCGAGTTTGTTTACATGACAACACTGACGACTTGTCGCCGCCGCCTCTAGATTATCCTGTTGACCCTGTTGACGAATCGCATATGCGATCAGGCCATATCCTTCCTTTCTTTTGACCTTGTGCTCACCACGCTACATTCGCTGCACTGCTGCTACCCTGGAACCTTTGCATCGTCATGAGAAGTCAGACAAAGCAATAACGCGTCGTTGGTTGCATTCTTGGGCCAGCGAGTCGACAACTCGTCGCCATCACTTTCGCCCCTCCACTGGATAGACCCCTCGACTACACATCATGGGCACCCCTAAGCCCAAGTACCCGCTCGAGAACCACTGCTCTATCGTTTACGAAAACACTCTTTACGTCTACTCGCCCAAAGGATTTCAGTCGCTGAAGCTGGAAGAGGGCGCACAATGGCAGTCGCTGCCAATGGACATATCGCTGACCGGAGCTCAGTGTGTCAAGGCCGCCCCGGAAGGAGATGCAAAGGCGGCTAGGCTTTATGTTGTTGGTGGTGCGGTAAACGAGACGGCTGCGACGTGGGACTACCCTGGCATGATGCACTACACTTTTTCCACCAAGAAGTGGGACTGGCTTCGGGCTGAATCGTGGAACACAGCAAACAGGCAGAACCATGCTGCTACGTACCTGCAAGCTTCACAAAAGATCCTTGTCTACGCCGGATCGCAAAAGACGGGCGATGTTGGTCCATCCACACAATCATTCTTGTTTTCCACACAGCCGCCATACACCGTCCAAAGCTTACCGTCTGCCGGAGCACCGCCCATGGTGAAACCGATGCTCATGTCGGCCGACTCGCGATCTGCCTACATGGTCGGTGGCAGTGCTACCAACACGGCTGTCTGGAAGTTTGACGAGGCTCAAGGATGGCGCGATACAGGTGCTACCCTCGCACAACCCATTGCCAACCAGGATTCGGTGCAATGCTCCATGGTCACTGGAAAGGATGGAAGCGTTGTACTAGAAAAGTTTGACATGAGTGTTGCGCCCAATAAGGTGGACCGAATCTTGATCCTGAACAAGGATGGAACACCTGCTGCGCCTGGGACGACTGTCGGCGCTGAGAAGGTCAAACGAGTAGAAGTATCCAGCTGGTCCAGGTATAATGAGACCTACGCTCCAACATCGACACGGTCCGGCTACTCGCTAGCACAAGGAGCCGACGGCCTGACCGTGGCTAGCGGTGGCAGTCAGACTGAACCATTGGTTCTCTTTGATGCGCAAGCAAACTCATGGCTCAATGCGACTGAGGTGTTTGCCGGGCAGGACGTACTGATTGATTCGCAATCGTCGACGATTTCTTCGTCCGCTACTTCGGCCACCCCATCCGCACCGGCACCAGCCTCGGCAACACCCACTACCACGGAAGTAGCAGCAATCCCAAGCCAACCAAGTAACAAAGGCAAGATGCTTACTGTACTTGGTGCTACGCTTGGCACGATCTTTGGTATTGCCGCCATTCTCATCCTAATCCTCGTCTGCCTGAAGTACAGAAAAAACAAGAACAAGAAGTCCCAGGGATATGTAGAAAAGGATCGTATGAGTTTTGCCGATCGTGGTGCCGACTTTATGAAAGAGGCTGGCGGGGCTGTGGTGACCCAACCATATCAGCAGAACAACGATTCTGTAACATCGCTCGCGATTATTCAGGGTCGCCCAGGAAACCACAAGAAGAACCAAGCCAGCGATGCCAGCTCTGCTGGTTTGGTCAAGAAGAGCAGCCCTCTCGGCTATTCAGAGCCCGTCGAGCTCTCGAAATTTGATCTAAAGCCTGAGACTCTTAAGCCCGAGACTGTTCGCATGGATGCAATGGTTCGTCAAAACTCGAGTCGGACCCCAGCTGCCAAATCTGCTCCAAGAGCTCGAAGTTCGGGCTGGAGTAGATATTTTGCAAACAACGAAGCCACGAACCTCGCCAGCGTTCAGCCTGACCGATCCACATACGCGTCAGACAGAACGAGCACTGGAAGCCAGTCACAATACACCAACTCCCGAATGTACAGCCACCGTCCCTCCCAGCACATTGCTCCTTTACAAATACCCCAACCCCAATTCGACGGACAACGCCTCAGCCGCGTGGCCAGTGGAAGCCCAACACTCGGCACACCTACTGGTATACTGCCTCATCAAGTTCAACCAATGCAGGCAGAACTAAGCCGTGCCAATTCAAACTGTAGTTCGAGGTCCGGGGTCAGTGGACACAACGACTACTACCAGAGACCGGTTGAAAGTTGGACACCAGTTGGTGAGGATCACAGAACGAGCAGTGCGTACACGGGTAGCATGGTGATAGAACCCAACAGCAAGTATGATGTTGCAAGCTCATATTACGCTGACGGCACCGACTCATTCTATCCGAAGAGCAACTTTAGCTCTTTCTATCCTGGGCAAACGGACAATTCGCCTACCATCCCTCCTGATGCCAGGGACAGTACATTCACCATGTTTCCCAATGGCAATGCAAACTCTGCGCCAACAGAGGATGGCCCTAAGAGCAAGTTCAGCCCAATGTACCCTCTGCCGCCACAGGTAGGCACTTCGCAAAATCGGGATAGTTCGGCTACTTTGTTCCCCGGAGCTCCTAGCTCCTCCCAAAAGGGTCAACAAGAGTCCACGCAAAACCCGGCTTTCAACTCGTTCTACCCACCAGGACGAGTCGGAAACGAGAGCACAGTTACCATGTTCCCAGGTCCGGGGCCTCAAGACTCTTCGAAGAAGGAACAATCAGACATGTCATGGCTGAACCTAGGTAAAACCTAGACCCCAACGATGTGACCACGGCTCCCTTCTTACTACCATCAACGACATATCACATACACACATGCAAACACTGCCAAAAGCGGCTTGCCAGCGACAGCTTCCCTTCTGATGCCTGTATATCCAGCGGAGTCCTCCCTTTCCCTCATCGAGCATTGCATATGCCAAGCAGCGCCGGGCGTATTTCCAAGAAAAAAACCCAACTCTTTCGTGTATCTGCTTTTTCCCCCCAAAGCGTGTTTCACAAACTCCTTTTCCCATTGCGAAGCGGTTGCTTGACGCGTAAACAACCCCCCTATACACTCCTGTCGCTACTTGATCTACCGATACCCGACGCGTTTATGACGCGTCAAATCTACCCCACAAGCCCCCTTCCCCCAATCTCCCGTACGGTACCACTCCCTCCATCGGCTCGTCTCTCGTCCGAGTGTAAATAATCATCTACCCTGCATTTCGCTTCTTGGGTCTTTTTTCTCTTCTCCTGCCAATCTCGTCGAGGCTAGCTCTTCCATGTCTTCTTTGTTCGCTGGAATTTCACTTCATGTGCACTGGCTTCAGCAGTGTGTGTTTTGTGACTGATTCTGTTGATGGTTTTGGTAGCTGTCGTGTTGTATGAGCGAGCTGGCTTGTTGCCTTGTCTCTTTGTCCTTTTTTTTTAACGTGGCGTAAGAAGTGGTGGTATCTTGGGAAAAGAGGAGTGTCATCCTTGCTCCTGCTCCTGCTCCTGCCTCCCCCCGCTCTTCCTCCCCTTAAAATCGGTCACTACTCTTTCTTTGTATGTAGGAGAGCGGCATCTTGGTGGTGGGAAAGTGCATAGTAGAATTGGTCCGATGAAAGCTGCGTTTCTCTTGTTTGTTGACGCATGTTGGACGTTAATATATCTAATGAAGAAGCGAGTGTTGAATATGCTGGTTGTTGGCTTTTTTCTGGAGTGAATTCGTGACGATGGTGATGATAATGTCTGGTATGTAATGAGTAAAAGGGAGATCTAGCTCTATGAATCCTTGTATGCACATGAAGAAGCTGCTCCCTGCGCCCCCGCTTCCATTATTCTTCTCTTCGCATGCATAGCAAATGACTCCAAAACTCCCAGCAATGCCCATCCATCTCCATCTCGTCGCCCTACACCCACGGATGAAAACCTCGCCCCTCTTTTTTTAATCTAATTCACCACCCTCTTCAAGTGCGCCGCCTGCCTCGGCTCAATAAACAGCGCCTCCCCCTCTGTCAACACCACCGGCTTCTCCCCCTTCTCCTCATCGACCAGCGTCTCGAGCCTACCCTTGACCCACGCCTTGCGGCCCTCGACCTTTGTCGTCTCCGCCCTCAACACCACCACCTGGTCCGCCATGACGGGCGCCTTGTACGTGATATTCAGACTCGCCGTCACAGCCACCTTATTCGGCAGCGCGGGGAAACAGCAGCGCGCGAGGCCCTCGTCCAGCAGCGTAGCCAACAAGCCGCCATGCACGATGCCCGGGTGCCCGCACAGCGCGGACCCGAGATACTGGATACTAACAAAGGTGGAGCCATCGGCCGTCGTAAACTGCACCGGCGGAACGGCAATCTTGTCGTCGCCGAGCAGCGTGCCAGCCGTTAGGTTTTGGGCGCGCAGGGCTTCGGGAATCTTGAGGTGCGGGCGCGAGGCAATGTAGTTTGGGTTGGAGAGGAGGGATTTGGTAAGCGGGTGATCCCAGATGGATTGCTCGATTGCGGCGCTGGCCGGTGTGGCTGGCTCGTAGAGCGAGAGCGTTTCTGCGTCTGTGGGTGGGTTGGCGAGGGCGCGGAGGGGCGCAACGGCTGGGCTGCCTGCCATGAGGAAGCCGGCGCTGAAGGTGAGGAGGGTGAGGGCTAGGGCGATGGGGAGGCGAATGTAGATTGGTTTTTTGGGGGTGGTTGCAGTTTCTGGTGACTGTACGGGGTCTATTTGAGGTGATGGTGGTGGTGATGATGATGATGATGATGATTTCGATGCTATTCACGGTTTTTTTTTTGTTAACATACTAAACTCCAACTCCAACTCCCACTAGGGAAAGAAACCAAGGACAAAAACTCACCACCAATCCCACTAGAAAAATGTCTATTCTGGTTGCCCCTAAACCCAACTGAACATTCTCTTATTATACTCACACCCGCCGCCCCGCCGACCTGGCGCCGGAGTCCTCGAGCGCTGCAACTCAGACCCACATGTCTCGATACGGCGATCCTTGCGGAGAACATTTTGACCACCCGCCCAGGAACAAGGTATGTCGAGATGGAGCGAGCGAGCGAAGCTAGCCGAACAAGAATAGAAGAATTCGGGCAAGTGTCTAATGTCGATGCGCCAAAAAAAAAGGTTGATGGTCGGGGAGGCTGTGTGAGCTTGGACGCGAGGGTGGAATTCAAATTTCAAGGGGATGGAGGGGGTTTGTACCTCGGCATGGCGGTTTGGGAAGGCAGGGCTGGCGAGAGAGATGGTGTGAGGCGGCCAAGGAATCGCGCAGATGTTACCATGTATGCATGTATGGGGGTTTCAAGTGCTGTTCGTCCGAAAATGAGGACGAATGCATTGGTTTGGGGGTTTGACACACTGCCTATGTTATCAGTCGGTCGGCAGGCGTGGTGACATCTTCACATGTCAATACACCGTACCGCACTCGCCCTTTTTGGGTATTGTAGAGTACTACACGTACTCTTGAGAAGTCATCTTTGTCTCTAACTCGATACTCTCCTGAGCCTCGCTGTGATGTCGTCAACCGCTACGACCCAGCCATATATCATCCAAATACTATACATACAGAGTGGGAGAGTGCGTCTTCATATCATACGTCGAGCCTTTGTGCAACGTTGGCCTATCCACCATCCTACAACATAACAAAAAAAAGTGCACATCCTCCATATTGGTTGGAAATGTGACAGACAGTCGTATTGAGACTCTGGACAGACTCTTTTTTAGACGCCAGAAATATGCCAAACAACCTGGAACCACCTTGAGAAATACGAATAAAAAAAACAGGATAATGGTACAAGATCGTTATAGAAACAAACAGTCAAAGGATCCGTGCAATGGCGAGTCGATCAGTAGTAGTCTCTTGCGCTCTTATGGAGTTCGATGAGCCTCCAGCCTCGCGTCTCGGGGTTGTTGACGTCTTCTGGTATCCGGGTGACACCAATGGCGTACGTTACCTGCTGCACCTTGTCGTCCATGCCGGATGCAAGCTCTCCAGATTTCGCATTCCTGTAGACGTGCACCTCCTGTGTCCTGCATGTGAGGATAAAGACTGGGATCTCACCGGGCTCCAGGAGCTTGGCGTTCAGCACGTCGACGCCTCGAATGTCGACGATTTTGCCGTCAGACTTGAGACCAGCGGCCTGATATTGTTGCATCAGCGCTGCATAGACGGAGTACTGTGCTGCCGAGAGCCACTCCTTGAGAACGGCGACATCACCCTTTACATAGGCGTCCAAGACTTCGGGGAGAATGTACTCGCGCATTTCGGTGAGGAAAGGCTCCATTTGAAAGTTGGGATCCATCTCGCGGAACTTCTTAATGACCATGGCTGTCTCATTCTCAGCAAAGAATCCAGTTATACGGTCAGAGATGCTGCGGGCTGTCGAAATGAGGGCATTGTCGGACTCGTTGTATATGGACTTGATGCTGAAGAAGCCCTGTGCGAGCTTGGAGTTGTCTTTCCATTCCCGCCAGACCTCCTTGTACTTTGCGTCCTTGTGAAGGGTGACGTTGGTGCCAGCACTAGTGGTATTAGCAGATTGCTGCGTTGAAAAGAATTATCGCCTTACTTGGGATCTTCTTCCATGGGCTCAGAGCGCTTGCCTCCAGTCCGCTGCAGCTCATTAAGCTCCCTCAGTTCTCTCCTCTTCCTGCGCTCCTCCTTTTCAGCCCAACCTCCATATCTCGACGAACTACCGTCATCGATAGTTTCCTTGACAGCCTGGAATGCCTTGGTTTGCCGCACTGGCCGTGTAGCATAGTCTAGACCGGTTCCAGTGACTCTGGCGGCGGCACGCACGCCCTTGACGGGCAGGGTATCCCAAGTCCATGCTGCACCCTGGCCCACGGCGCGTCCGGTAGCCTTCAGTGCCTGGGCAGTCTTTGTCTTGGCTGCCTCTGTGATCTCTGCTGCCTTCTGGACTTGTGGGTTTTGTGTGAAGTCGTGGATCGAGCCGCCCAACTGCTTGGTGGACTCATTCCATTCCTTGGAGGCCTGGAACTCTTGCTGCAAAGTCTCCGTGAAGACTTGCCATGGTGTCTTGTCGCCGTGGGGTGGTGGTGGGGGCGCATCCTTCTTCTCCTTCTTCTCCTTCTTCGCACCTTCTTCTCCTTCCTTTTCTTCGCCAGCCTCCTCCTCTCCAGCCTTCTTTTCCTTTGTCTCGTCGCCTTCCTTGCCCGCTTCGCCTGCTGCGTGTTCGTTTGCAGACCCTTCTGGGTTCACTGGCTTCTTGGGAGATTCTGGTTTTGCCTGGGGCTCTTCAGCCGTCGCGGTCTTTTGTTTTTGCGCTTGTTCTTGTGGTGCAGATTTGGACGAAAATTGGCGGGTATATGCAGACGAGGTCCGGAAGATGACGACCTCAGGCAGGAAGTTGCTTCGCAAGAACGAGAGCGGCGAAGGACATGATTGTATTGACAGCGACGTTCGGGTCGCAGGGCTCCGGGCCACAGACGCTGTGGATGTCCGTCTGTAGGCCGCAGCTCTGCCATATGCGCTCGCAGAAGTTGCTGGGGCGGCGGCAACGGGCTGTATGCTCCATCGCGCAAGTGTGCTTGCTGTGGGAGGTCTCATGCTTATTTGGATAATTGGATTACGCAATAGAAGACGACGTGTTTTATTGACAAAGAGGGGGGGTATGAAGAGAGATTATAACAAGGACAGTATGGCGGGGAGGGATGGTCGAGCACAAGTTCAGGCGGCGATGCTTTTCTTTCCCGCATCGGAAGTGATGAATTTGGGCAACCAGTACGGTAACGTTACCGGCAAGGCCCGAGCGCTGCGCAACTCTCAACTTTCTTCGACATTGCTATTCGGTCGGTTGAGCCCATCTCGCCCCATTGACCGTTTGACTTGATGATTACGGGGGGCAGCAGCCGTTAGCCAAATCCAGCACACCGTCGCCGTCCATGGCCATGACCCAGAAGTCAGCGCTGCGAGGCTTGCGCGCACTGCAGTCCACCCTCTGTGCATCCTGTCGCCATGCCCAGCCTTTCCGTCCCTTCTCGCAGTCGACCCGCGCACTCGCCCTGCTAGACAAGAGCGACAAGTCCGAACACACTATCGACTCGCTCATGGGCACCGTCGACAAGAACTTCCACCGGGCCTCACCAGACCACATCTCCAACCTGATCCCTGGAGCCGCACCGTCCGAGGCCTGGAACCTCAGGACCAAGGACTGGGACGAAGACACCAAGCACAAGCTGCACATCTACGCAACCAAGCACAACACACACATCACCCTCTCCAAGCCAAACAGAGATGCCCTCATATCTGTTTCCTGTGGCAACATTGGTTTTCGAAAGGCGGGGCGGGGCACATACGATGCTGGATACCAATTGGCAGCCTTCGTCATGAGCAGGATCCAGGACAAGGGCTTGCTCCCGCAGATTCAGAAACTCGAATTGATCTACAGAGGCTTTGGGCCAGGAAGGGAAGCCGTCACAAAGGCGATACTGGGCGCAGAAGGAAAGAGGATACGACCGTTGATTGTAAAGCTGAGCGACAGCACGCGGTTGAAATTTGGTGGTGTTAGGAGCAAGAAGCCCAGGAGGCTAGGTTAGATGACTCTGCCCTTGGGGTGTTTTTTTATCTTATTGGCCGCATCAAAGGAAGAGCAGTCTTGTACAATACGGCCTATCACGAGGCAGCTGGCCATTGAGAGGGTTCATGTATGTGCAATCGATAAAAACATGTAAGATTGGGGTATTGTGCATATAGAAGACGGACACGACCAACATCTCTCTCTGACCAACATGTGTCTCTCGCCAGTCATTTCAAATTCTTCGGCAATGGCGCTCTCTCCGCCGACGGCAACGTCCTACCACTGCTGTCGGCTTCCGTGATGTTGACCAGCCGGGGCACATCCTCTCTTCCCGAATGCCCAGAATTCCATCCTGCGCCGCTCTGCTCACTTGGACTACTGCGAGCAGAACTCTCGTCTTCATCCCACCCTGTTTGCTTTGCAGCTGCCAGATAGCGCTCTCGTTGTCGGTCGTGTCGGAGCATAGACGTTCTTTCGTCTTCAAAGTCCTCGTCAAGGAGCTCTCCATCCGCTGTATCATATTCCGGTGGCGCAATCCATTCCCGTGGTACAACGCATGGGAGAGCTACGCCTATGCTGGCGGCGCGGTTGAGCCAACTGGGGGCAGGGCGACCTGTGAGTCTTTCACAGAGATACGAGGTGAAGTGGTTGCAGTTCTTGGTCAGGAGGTTGTAGGAGGTTCCTTGGAATTCTTGCGACGCCTGTTTTGTCTGTGTCAGCTCCGTCATGGGCGCGGCGCGCAGTCTGCCTACCTCTTGTATGATGGCTTCAAGCTCCTCGGCGGGTCTGAATGAGAAGCCATGTAGCACTGCCTGCCTGAAAGTCCCGCCCGGAGGCTCTTGGCCTGGCTTTGTCCAGTAGACTCCAGTCAGATTGCGTCGATCGTGTCCGCCATAGGCATATTCCTTGTTGCCAATAACAACGCCTGAGTGTAGGAGGGAACTACCAATCGTCCACAGCACAGTCGAGATCTTGCCAGGTGGTAGTAGATCGTATATGTGTATGGTGACTTGGGTCCTCTGTAGTGAGAGTGTGCTTCTGTGATTGCTCCCTCCAGAAGTCTTCTGCGCGGCTTTTGGCCGGGTCGAAGAAGACATTAGGATGAGTAGGGGTAAGGCGTGAGTGTGTGACGACAGGTTGCGCCGTGCTAGTGATGTAGGAGCAGTTCACGCCGGTGATTCCGATGAGGCAGAATACAGCAGGGTATCATAGATGCGTGAACGGTGACATGTATGACGGTGAGGGGAGGGTGAGAAGGAGGGAGGCAGGAAGATGTAATATCTATGGTGAAGTGATCGGGACCAGCCCTGAGGGAGTCAGAGTACAGCAGCAGCAGGAGGAGAAGGGGGAGGGGGAGGAGGAAAAGAAAGAAGAAGACGGCGACGACGACGACGACGAGTGTAGGTGACGCCGTCGACCCGCGCTCGGCTGAGACATGTGCATGGCAAGGCTGGCTGAGCTGAGCGGCTGAGGGAGGGGGTGAAGTGGGCAAAGGCTCCAAGCCACCCTTTCCCCTTTACAGCACAACAACCCCTTCTGGGCCTTTGGTCGGTCTCACTGCGGCTATGAACAACGCTGCAAACACTGCAAACTCTACCAAACCCATCAAACACCACAAGAAATAATTTCTTCTGTGCACGCACCCAGTGGTGACAGTACTCTAGTAATCCCCCCCCCCTCCCCCCAGAACGGCTCATTAGCTCAAATACTGAGCTGCAGAATTCGGTTGGCCGCTGCAGCTCATTTTTTTGCCCACCACCCACATCCCAAGGAGAGAGCGGGCAGCTCCCTCTGCATCTCATCACGCCCCCCACCAAACTTCTTCCTCTTTCCTTTGCTTCTTTGATACCCTCTTTCTTCCCTCCCGCAGCAAGTACTGCGTGCCATTTCTCAACTCCTTTTCATTTTGCACCTTGTGCGCCCTCATCCTCGTCCTCGGCCAAATTTTCCCTCTCTTTCCTCACACTCGCCCGCGGCTACGCATCGGCGCCCAAGAAGAAGAAAATGCCTCCCAAGAAGCAAGTCAAAGAGGAGAAGCTCCCCCTCGGCAGGCCTGGCAACAGCCTGAAGAGCGGCATCGTGAGTGAGAGCCCTGCGCTGTGTTTGCCTTGCCGCGTTCTCACATTAACAGTAATCGCCAGGTTGGCCTAGCAAACGTCGGTAAATCAACTCTTTTCCAGGCCATCACAAAGTGCTCGCTTGGCAACCCCGCCGTAAGTTAGCATCCCGTCCTGCCAGCCATTTGCGCCGCGACCTTTGCGCTGACATGCGCCCAGAACTTCCCCTATGCGACCATCGACCCTGAAGAGGCCCGTGTCATCGTCCCTGATGAGCGCTTCGACTGGCTCGTGGAGCACTACAAGCCCAAGTCCGTTGTGCCCGCCAACTTGACCGTCTACGATATCGCTGGTCTGACGCGCGGTGCCTCGACTGGTGCGGGTCTCGGAAACGCCTTTCTGTCACACATTCGCGCCGTCGATGCCATCTTCCAAGTCGTTCGATGCTTCGACGATGCCGAGATCATCCACGTTGAGGGCGATGTTGACCCTATCCGTGACTTGGACATCATCTCCGAGGAACTGCGGCTAAAGGACATCGAGTTTGTCGAGAAATCTCTTGAGAAGCTTGTCAAGGAGACACGGCGAGGTGGTCAGAGTTTGGAGATGAAGAAGCTCAAGGAGGAGCAAGCGACTGTCGAGCAAATCCTTGCCATGCTCAAGGACGGTAAGGATGTGCGAAAGGGTGACTGGTCGCCAAAGCAGGTATGTATCCCTCTCCTACCCCTCCTTTTCTTCTCGCGACAAGATGACAAAGAGCGATTGCTCTATAATCCCAGCTCTCTGATGACCCCGTAACGCCGGGTCGTTCTGAAGTAACTTCCTTTTCTGATCGACGCACCCTACATGCTTTACATGTACCAAAAATTGCATATACCAAACATTGGCTTACAATTCACTAGGTCGAGGTCATCAACCCTCTCTTCCTGCTCTCAGCCAAGCCCGTTGTCTATCTCGTCAATCTCAGTGAAAAGGACTACATTCGTCAGAAGAACAAGCACCTGCCCAAGATTGCTGAATGGGTCAAGACCAACGCGCCCGGCGACCCAGTCATCCCCATTTCCGTCCAATTCGAGGAGCGTCTGGCCGCCATGTCTGACGCCGAGGCGGCTGAAGAGTGCAAGAATCTCGGCACAAAGTCTGCTCTTCCCAAAGTCGTCCTCACCATGCGCAAAGCTCTCAACCTTGGCAGCTTCTTCACAACGGGTACCGACGAGGTCAGGCAATGGACTATAAGGAATGGCACCAAGGCACCACAAGCTGCTGGTGTCATACACGGCGACTTTGAAAAGACGTTTATCCAGGCCATTGTATATAACTACAACGTCCTTAGGGAGGAGGGTGATGAGGCTGGTGTCAAGGCAAAGGGCAAGATTATGACCAAGGGTAAGGATTATGTTGTCGAAGACGGCGACATCCTTCTCATCAAGGCTGGTGCGGCCAAGTCGTAGATAAGCCTGCCGACCATATGGTTTCGCTGCGCTGGGTCCATGGTCTAAAGGTACCAACCTTGAACGTTCTGTCCAGGAAGACGACATGACATGATGAAGACATGCATTAGATGCATATGAAGGACTCTGAATGAAAAAAAAGAGCAAATGAACATTTTGACCACGATGAAGGTTGGCCCATGTTTGTCTTACAAGTTGGTTGACCTTGTTCTAATAGAATATCGTGTGACAAGCCTCGAGGTAAGACTGTGTATACACGAGGTATTCCGACAGGTAATCAGAACACATCTACTTGGCCCCCTTCTTGTCGTCTGCCAGCATCCAGCTATTCCCACAATTACAATGCTTGGCCACGCCCATGAGCCAACTGGCATGCGTCAGACTATAGCCTGGCAGACCCTGGACCACATCCTCCATGCACTCTCCACACCTCACACACTGCCTCAGCCTGGCCTTCTTCCCGGGCTCCTCCAAGCCGCCCACAGCACCAAGACCGGCCCCATGCACACTGCGCAACCCATCATTCCGATCCCCATTCTGACTCTGGCCCTGACCTTGACTGTGACCTTGACCCTGACCCTGCAACGGCCCAGCGATTCCAGGATACACCGTCTTGCCTCGACCGCGAATCACCATCTTCTGACAAACGTCCACCACATGGCTCTGATGCCACAGACGGGCCCGCTTCGACTCGGTGAAGCCGAGCCAGGTCGTATCGAAGAACATGAGCCTGCCGACATCCAACTTATCAGCCAGACAGCCACCAGGTTGCGCGCTATTCCACAGGCGATCGGTAACGAGGCGCTTGGCGACGGGGAACAAGACGTCTGGGATTTTGCCGACGAGGAGATCGCGCTCGACGGCGTTGCGCTGGCTGTCGGAGAGCCCGGCCTTCTTGAACGTGCCGCGGACGAGGTTGTGAGTTTCGACAACGAGCATTTCGAACCAGCGCCATTCAAAGGGGAGTTCGTTGAGGGCGACGTGCAGGGGCGTGTATATTCTGCGGATCTCAGGCGCGGGCACTGGTGTGGAGGAGTGGGTGAGTGTGTCTGCGGAGCGCTTGACCCAGGCGAGCGGGTGGGCCCAGCTCTTCATCATGAAGCGGGGAAAGGCGGAGAGGAGGATGAGGACGGCAGGCTTGTTGAGCTCGTGGATTTTTTGCTCGAGCACTTCGCGCGTCAGAGATTCTGGGGGTATGTCTTCGATTTCGCGGCCGAGAGAAAAGAGCTCGTCGAGTATATAGGCCATGAAGTGCATCATCCAGCGGCATACCCCGATCAGTTGGGGTACGCCATCGGGGCGGAGAGAATTGCTCTCGAGCGGGCTTTTTTGGTTGTGAATCCTTGCGATGGTGGTAAGGATCTGGGTGACATATTTGATATTCAGCACTATCCAGGCAATTTTGCTGGTTAGTGAGCGGCTGACGATTCCCTCGAGACCGAGTATGTGCATTGCAGACAGGGTTTTGACGAAGAAGGGGGCGCGGCCGAGAAGGATGAGGTGATTATTGCACATGTCGTCGATACCACAGTCAATGTTCACGTCCAGGCCATCGAAGAGCAGGGCAATGAAATCTTGTTTCCTCTTTTCTGATAGTGGACCCAAAATGGCAAAGATGTCGTCGCTCGAGTAGTACTGATGTGCTGCTGATGAAGACTGCAGCACCAGCGCTGCGAGTGCTGCAGAATGCCGGGGGTCTTCCTCGTCGGTGATTGTGCCGTTTTGGTATTCCATTGGGCGTAATTTGATGCCGCCTTCTTGTTGCATGCAAACTGCTATGCAGTGATTTGGAGAGAATGCAACATGCAGTGATGGTTCGGCATGCGAGAAGACATAGCCAGCTTGTAGTAGAGAAGTCACAGTATTAGTATTCCCATCTGGCATGATTATCTCCATCGTCGATCGCTTCCTGAATTCCAGTGTTCCGTCACTGTAGCAAAAGGCCAGTAACATGTTGTACCAGATAGGGTAAAAGGCGAGTACGACAGCATGGAGGGTGAAGTCAGGTTGTCTTTGGAGTAGGAAGATGGTCCTACCAGAGACTGAGTTCACGCCTTTCTTCTTCGAAGTGACTTGGTCGAGGCTTGGATGTACTTGATTCTGCTGACTCTGAAGCACCGTCCACTTTACTATCACGCTATGTAGCGTTTCCTGAGGCGACATTTGATCACAGGCTATCATGTTTGGCGGTCTGGCGAAGATGGCCTGGATCGTGGGCAATGAGCCATCGCCATGTTCAGGCGTAATAGGAAGGAAGTTGAGATGCGTTAATTGGGCAGCGGCGGTTCCCTGCGGTTCCGTGCCATTGCTCAGGTCTGCTGCAGTAAGGTCGATAGGACTGGTATTATCCTCCATGGCAATGAGCACAACCTGTATCGTCGGCTTTTCGAACGGCGTCACACGATTGGGTTGCTTATCCGCAGGAATGTTCCAAGTGGTCTCGATGCGATAGAGATGCAGTCGCCGGTTCACGTCATAAGCTGCTAGTAACAGACTGTTGTCTGATAAGAGTGGTTAGCATTGACAATGCAGACCTTTTGGTCTGGTTCTTACCGTTATTAGATGCGAACGCAGCGTGTGTAAAGGGTTCCTTTGTGGAAACCATTGGGCCCAATTGAGCCGAGCTCTCTTGCCATGCACTGTCGTTTTGTTGGAAACGAAGCCTTAGCTCGCCGTGCCTTTTGAGATAGATGAATGAAGCTTTGCTGTCAATTGGATGATGTGCATCATGGAACTTGTGGGAACGAATGTTCCACTTCCATTTGGCACCGTCCCGCACGGCCGACCAGGCAATGTGACTCTACTCTGCTTTAGTTCTCGTGGGCTGGGCATCTATGGCTTTCCCTCCCTACCTTTTGTTCGTATGGAAGAATCGCTAGCCAATGCATTCCCACCACGGCATCTGCCTCGGATTCTGGATGGGCTAGTTCGACAGGAACAAACTGCAATCGATCCAAGGCCATGGCGCATGAGAAGACCATGGCACGGCCGGCTTCGTCTACAACAGCAAGATCGTTGCCCAGATTACTCCAGGATACATGAACTAATGGGTAGACGTCATGGCCTTGTGGAAATTCCAGTGGGACATCTTTGCCCAGATCCCACTTGGCGGTGGCAGGGTCTCGAAAGAAGACTTTGAGTTTGACACTATAGCCATCTGGAGTGATGTATGCAACACAGCCATTCTTCGACCATGCTATTCTCCTGCCGACTGTTAGCAGCAAGCCCTCTTATTTCTTCTCTCTCGCACCGATCGTCTCTTACTGACAACAGCCACTGGATCGCAGGTCATCGATTCTCCGTGCAAGACCTTTAACGGGCGGTGCAACGTTGATTGTTTGCAAGTTGACATTCTCCGAGTCTCCAAAGAGGTCGTCGACATCCATACTATATCCTGCATCCATGCTGGCAGTTTGCTGTATATACACGACAGATGATGTCTGTTTGGGGTGGGGGGGGGGGAGGGGCTCAAGAAGGAGAGACAGGCGAAGGGGTTCAAAGGAAGAAAAGTGATGAGACTGGCATCATTGGAAGTACCAAAAGAGAGCCAAAAGCAGGCAGGAGGAGGTGGGAAGATTGGGGAGATTAGGTTGATGGTTCAAGGTCAAGGTTGTGTAGTGTACTCTAGGTAGAGCGGCGTTCTTGGAGGATCTTCCTACTGACGGGCGAGGTCAGGTCTGGTCTGGTCTGGTCTGGTTGGAAGTTGGAAGGAGCCCTGGAGCTTGGAGCTTGCTCGCTTCGCTTGTTGCCGGCCGCCCCTGCTTAGCCGCGATCGTTCCTTCCTTGTGCAGCCCTCGTCGTTGGCCGCACCGCGTGTCCAGTTCGCGAGAGCTTCGTGCTGGTCGGTGAAAGCTCTTGCTCTGACTTGGCTACTCGACCTGCTTTTGCATGTATGTGATGGTGATATTCAGAGAAGACTGAGTGACAATCTTGTGGATGAGGCAGATATGTGTGTTTGGACTGTTCCTCGACCCCCATCCATTGCTGCACCACATGCCAGGCCAGCCAGCCAGGGAGGGAGTGGATGATGGATGATGATGATGATGATGATGATGATGATGATGATGATGATGATGATGTTGATGATGATGATGTTGATGATGGATCAGTAGTGCGCCATGTCTACATACAGTAGTAGATACATAGTACAATAGTACATGCATACCTTAGCTACCACAGGGAATGGAGGGGGGTTACCGGTAGAGAACACTGTCCAGTGAATAGAATACAAGTACTTGAAAGAGACAGGGACAAAGGCCCAGATCTAGTGACAGTATATCCGCGCTTCCATGTCGTTTTTGTTATTGCTGTTAGCTCTCACTCGCAACTCACCTCATGATGATACATATACAGTACTCTACCGGTACACAGTCAATATACATAGCTACTAGCCATGTCCCATGGCCCGAATGCAAGCTGGGGGTGCTCATAGTTTGGCATAGTTTGGCATCGGAATTGGCCTAGTCGCGTCCGTCTCTCAAAGGGGTTGTTGGTAGCATGTACCTAATTAGTTAGTAAAAAGTACCTAGGCCACCCAGACGGTTGCTAAACGGTAAACAGAGGGAAGGGCAGATGTTCATGGCCTTGGCAAATTCATGGTCAACCGTCGTCCGGCATTCAGTTCGCCAACCAACAACTTCCTTCCCTCTCTCTCTCCAACCTCCCTCCCCCCCCCCGTTCCACCCCCAACCGCGACAAACGCGTCTCCCACAGCAAACGCGCTACCTGGCCTGCCATAGATCCACTCGCGCCTTTTGATAATCGTTACCATGGCCTAGCCCGAATCCCCCTCCCTCCCAAGCAACCACGCGGATTTCCTCGACGGGGATCCACAACCAGCGGTGACGGCAGCGACCCGCAGCCCTGGACGACCACCATACAAACCACCCCACAACCGCTGAAATCGCGACTTTTTATCCGTCGCACGCCTTCAACTATCGTTTTCACCCATTGCGACACGCTTTCTGCCCTTTTATAAGAGCGCGCTAGGCGCGTCATCACACACACACACACCCCCCCCGGAGTTGGCAGGACGACCAAGCACGCTCACCGTGACCGTGCCCCCATTGAACCTTCTCCACGACACCAAATCGTCCCTTCGGTTTGTGCTCACATACCCCGCAATCACCACTGTCCTTTCCTCTCCGCCATGGCCTCCCTTTTGCCCACCAGCGGGCCGAGCTCGCCATTGAGCTCCCCTCCCTCTGAGGTCTCTGACTCTGAAGTCTCCTTCCTCTCGAGATCCCCTACACCGCCCGCAGAGCTCCAACGCTCGTTCGCCCAACAGCGCGCCTACTGTTCCCCGTCTTCCTCCCAGCGCTCGTCCACCAAGGCCTCTCCTGCACCCGAAGACATGCCCTCTCCCCCTTCAAGCAATGACGAATGCCCACGCCCCCGCAAAAGGAGAAAGCTCGCTGAGCCAAAGGAACGTACAGCCGAGTTCCTTGACTTGTCGGGCCCAGAGATTGCCCCACAAGAGCTCCCCCAACTCCAGCGACTATTGAGCGTCCTGCACAAGAAGCGGAAGATTGTGGTCATCGCTGGTGCTGGCATTTCCGTGTCGGCGGGCATTCCTGACTTCCGATCGGCCACGGGCTTATTCAACACGCTCAAGAAGGAGCACAAGCTCAAGTCGTCGGGCAAGGACCTCTTCGACGCTTCAGTCTACCAAGACGATACATCTACTTCGACCTTCCATGACATGGTGCGTACACTGTCTCACCATACCAAGTCTGCACAGCCCACGGCCTTTCACCAACTTCTGGCCACCTTGGCTCAAGAGGGGCGCCTGATGCGACTCTACACGCAAAACGTCGATGGAATCGATACATCACTACCACCTCTCAGTACTCAAGTCCCTTTGCCAAAGAAGGGTCCTTGGCCTAGGACTGTTCAAGTGCACGGAGGTCTCGATTACATGGTCTGCTCAAAATGCCATGCGCTGAAGCCTTTTGACGCTGAAATGTTTAATGGCCCTACCCCTCCCCCTTGTGCAGAATGCGTCAGTCTAGATCAGGCCCGTCAAGCCGTCGACAAACGTAGCCACGGTATTGGACGACTTCGCCCACGGATGGTGCTGTACAACGAGCACAACCCCGACGACGAATCGATTGGCTCTTGCGCAACCTATGATATGCGTATGCGACCAGACGCTGTCATCGTGGCCGGCACCACCTTGAAAGTTCCGGGCGTTCGACGCATCGCTCGGGAAATGTGCAACATCGTTCGGGATCGCAAGGACGGTGTCACGGTCTGGCTCAACAACGACCCGGAACCATTGGGCAAGGACCTCGAGGACGTGTGGGATTTGGTCGTCAAGGGTCCCTGTGACGAGGTCGCTCGCCATGCCAACATGCGCAAATGGGATGATCCGATGGACTACAAAGTGGTCACGGACGAGGACATTAACAAAGCCAAGGAAAACAAGAGAGTGGAGGTCATTATTGGCACGCCCAAGAAGTCTGGTGTGCTCTGCAGTGCAGGTCAGCTAACGCCCGGCCAAAGTCCACGACTGCATCCCCGCTCCATGGTCAACGAGGAGCCTTCAACGCCTTCCAAGAAGGGTACCAAGCGAAAGGTCGAAGGGCAGAAGGATCTTTTCGGCAACGTTGCGACAAAACCACTTGCGACAAGGCCCAAGGCGCAATCGAAGAAGGCGACAGCAGGCAAGAGCAAGGCGAAGAAGGAGTCGAAGAAAGAAAGTACGGCCATCAACAACGTCTTCAAAACGACCAAGGGCGCCGTCAAAGCGGCTGGCAAGCCATCTGCTAAAGCATCCGATCCGGCACTCACAATCATCGACTCGAGGCATGTCTCTAGACTTTTGCCCACGCCCAAGGAGAACCTCGGCGACAACATTCATGTGGAGAAGCGTCGAGACCCTAGTACACCCAAGAGACCAGCAAAACTTACAAAGCTAAAAGGAACCTACGTCATGGCACCTCTATCAGATGTGGACGGTCGCAACAACCACTCGCCACAGCGTCCAGAAGTAGAAAGCCTGACACCGGTAAAGCCGCGTACGCCTAGTGAACAGCTACGCGAGGAGGCAGGCTACCCATTGTTCGCATCGCCCTCGAGTGACTCTCGTCCTTCAACGGCCTCATCGCAACGACACGAAATCATCAGATCTCCATCTATTCCCAATCAGATGGAGAACATACTCTGTTAGATTCAGATGCCTAGTTCTTCGGCGTTGGCGTTGGAGGTGCACTCCTATAAGCGAAGATTCCGCGAACAGGGAGTTCGCGATGACTGCATTTCGAGGCGTTCTTTTCTCTGATGGGCGGCAACCCATTTCACGGGTTTATTTCTCATTCCTAAACTATGCATATCGCACCTTCTCGCAGTAGGATACCTGGTATCAAGGTTGGGCAGAACATGGTCGGCAGGAGAGTTTTTTTTTTCAGGTGTCGGGAAACTTGTTGTTTAGCTTAGGCTTCTGTACTTCAAATCAATGTCCTCTCGCGAAAACGTGTCATGCACAAAGGCTTTGTGAATCATCCTGCCGAAACCGTGATAGACGTACAGCGTGATGCTTGCAAGCGAAATGACTCGTATCTCTGGCCATAATCCCTTATTTGCATGTTACCACCGATAACTTGCGCGTACGTGTGCCTCTCACTCGAATTAGCTCGACTTGGCCTCAGCTTACACAATATTGCACCGAATGCCGACACTTCCACCATGGAACTTTCGGACGAGAGGTTTGCTCTGCAATTTCGGATCATCAGATTCGACTGATCTGCTTACCTTGCATCATCAAACGTGAGTGCCTTTGCTGTACTAGGCCCGTTTGTTGGGCCATTAAGAGCTGGGAATCACCAAAGGAAGGCAAAGGCCAAAAAAGGACCATTGCACAAAACACGCGAGTGACATTGAACGTCGTATCCATTACCTCGTGATTAGGCGACTTGGGTACTTATAGCTATGGCGCTTGTGTTGACTGTGCGAAATCTCACGTCAACAAGCCTCTCGATCAAACGGATTGAGCGGTTCCAGGATCTCAATACGTTGCAATCAAAAAACTCTGGGTACTTCTCCAGCTTCGCTAATACCGGTACCTCATCTGCATTTCCAACATCGCCTGAGCTGAGCGAGCATGCGCAAAGGTTCACGCATCAAGATCTAGAGTTGACACTCAGGCCCTTTGAATCTTGTACTTTGGCATCGCAGGAGCAAGCTTCCGAGCAAAATGCCCTTGCCATCTCACGTGCCACTTTACGCCTCACATTGGAGACTTCGATAGGGGAACGATATCGCGTTGATACACATCCGTCGTATACTCGGAAATCAAGCCATGCAGTCACGCCTTTGAGCTCAAACCCTTCAGCAAGCTACTCTGCGCTGTTCCATCCCTCCCGTCCTAGACCGCACCTGACGATTCATTCGAATGATGAGATCAAGTACGAAGCATGGATGGCTGATGTACCAGACACCGTCCCACTGTCTGCCCTGAGTATCCCAGGAACACACAATTCACACACCCACTACCGAGCCCTACCCTCTGTCCGTTGCCAAAACGTAGACGTGCAAACCCAGCTCGAAAACGGGATCCGCTTCCTGGACATACGACTCCAGCCCGCGCACTTCACCGACACCGCCGAAAAGGTCCTCTACCTCGTCCACGGCGCCTTCCCCGTCAGCCTCACCGGCCCCAAAACCTTTGAGCCCGTCCTGGAAACTTGCTACGACTTCCTGTCCGCCCACCCCACCGAAACCATTATCCTCTCCCTCAAACGCGAGGGCATAGCCACTGCCTCGGACGAACATGTCGCCCACATCCTCGACCAACACTACATCACCCCCAACCCCTCCAAATGGTACACCTCCCCCCGCCTACCCCATCTCGGCGCCGCCCGTGGCAAACTCATTCTCCTCCGCCGCTACAAAGTCTCTTCCCCATCCGACACCACGGGCCTCGACGCCACAGCCTGGCCCCACAACGTCACGCACGCCACCTTTCCTCCCCCCTTCACCTCGACCCCCTCGCAATTCTGCCTGCAAGACTTTTGCCAAGTCCTCGTGCCGGACTTGATTGCCGACAAGATTCAACACTGTAATGACCACCTCGTGCACGCTGCAGAATGTATACACCACATCCCCGCTACTGTCCATGCGGATCCGGAACACCCTGTTACCCCCGGCCCGCTGTATCTGAATTTTCTGTCTGCGAGCAACTTTTGGAAGAAGAGTTGTTGGCCGGCGAGGATTGCAAAGGTGGTGAATCGGCGGGTGGAGGAGTGGATTTGTGAGGGGCATCATTTGGAGAGGGGAGGGGTGAGTACGGGGGAGGCGGGGGAGGGTGTGAGGAGAGTGAAGGGTGGGGACGGGGGGACTGGGGTCGTGGTTATGGATTGTGTTGGTGAGGGCGGGGATTGGGACTTGGTGAGGTTGGTGGTGGGGTTGAATATGGGGATCTTGATGAAGGCTAGAGGAGTCGAGTGGAGTGGAGATGACGGTAGTTGTAGCCAGTCGTAGTAGCAGTGGTAGGGTTCTGTGACCATTGGTCGTGGTTGCAATAGTAGGGTGTTTATAACCATTGATACCATGTTGGTACATGCCATATACATACAGCTGAATCATATTCTACAACATATATGCACAGCCCTCTCTTTATACATACACACATATATACGCTCGTATAAACATCCTACTTGCTACTCCCCACCAAACTCTGCTTGACCTCGGCCGCCCCCTGCGCAGCAATAGCACCCACATCCACCGTCTTATGCTCCACCCCGGCCCTACTCTGCAAACTATCCAACCCCCCAGCCCGGAGCTTCTTCTCGTGAAACCCAGTGGCCCTCATATACCCCGCGGCCGCCATGCCGACAGCCATGCCGCCAAAATGACTTGCATGATCCATATTCTTCGTCCGGCCCTTGAGCGCAACACGCAACTCAAACAGGGCAAACGCGGCAAACAGCGTCTTGGGCCAAAAGCCCACCTCCTGGTCCTTGACAAACGGAATCTTGAGTCGCTCCTGATCCGTGAGCAGGCAGTAGAGGGCGACGATGCCCCAGATGGCCGCCGACGCGCCCACGGAGTGGGCTGTGATGCTGCCCCGGCCGAGGTTGGCCCAGTACAAGGAGGCCAGGGTACCTACTGCGCCTGCGGAGATGTAGGTAGCCATGAAGGTGCCGCGGCCGACGAGGTCGCAGCACGCGGGGCCGACGAGAGCGAGGGCCATCATGTTGGCGAGGAGATGTTCGTATTGGACGTGGCTGAAGACGTTGAGGACGCTTTGGATGGCGCGCGGGTAGCCGGGCACGTGCATGAAGTAGCGGGTCATGAAGGGCCAGAGGGGCATGATGCGCCACGCCACTGCGATGACTGCGTTTGCGATGACGAGACCGCCAATGGTGGTGGTGGTGAGGGACAGGTCGGGGAAGAGGCGGTAGGCGGGGGCGGGGGGAGCGTAGTAGTGTGCTACGCCGATGCAGAGGAGGACAGTGACGAAGACGAAGGCGGTCATGGGATAGAGACGTTGTGCCTGGGGAGGAAATGTGTTAGATCATTACAACGGACAGTGTAAGTGGAAAAGGTGGATGGTGACTTACAAGAGTCGTCTTAGCCAGCAATTCCTCTTCTGATGTCGCACCTGTAGCATCGGATAGTTTGGCGTACTTTTCCATCTCTTCCTTCCTCCGACTGATCTGCTCTTTTCCGAAAATGTCGACATAGGTCGTCTGTCCGGGCTTCATGAGCTGTGTCCCAGTTGGTGTCTTGACCCATTCGCCCGTTGCCAATTTTTCCTCCATCTCCCGCTCATTCTTCTCCCTCTCCTCTGCCTTTCTCGCCATCTCATCTAACCGTGCCTGCCTTTTCTCCTCAATATTCCGTTCAAACTGCGATTTGCCCACATGCAAGATGCCGATTCGCTGCTCTTGCCCTTCCTGTTGCCGTCTCTCCTTCTCCTCCTTCTCCAATTGCTCTTTGAAAGCGCGAGCGGGATCCTTGTACTTGGATTCGGTCTCGGGGTCCGCCAGCCACAACTCATAGGATATTCGATTTGCTTCCTTTTCCGCCCACTCCTCTGCCGCACGCGCCTCATCAATTGGGTAATGTTCCCTCAGCCACTCCAGCCCACCCATGGCCAATTCTCGGCTGACATGTGTGTACTGCTTCCCCAAGTTATCCACCCCGTAGTCTGCAAGCGAGCCGGTTGTTCGCCGGTGATGAAGGATTCGGAGCACGTTGTTCCCCTCCGTGGCTGATAATGCGCCTTTGAAGATGCGCTGTATAACGGAATCCTTGACTGTTCCTCGCGGTAGCATTCCTATCCGTACCGTGCGCTTGCGGAGGTCTGGGTCGGTCGGTGTCTGTGGCGTGGCTATGACGTTGGCGTAGTAGCGGTTGTTGTGGCTGAAGGCTCGACATTGCGGTCGTGATCGTGGTGATCGACGGTAAGAATGGACGAGACTTAGTATGGGAGATCGTGAGGCGTTGTCGAGGAGTGGTTGTACGGTACAGATGCGCCGCGCGAGTGCGGCGCACGAGGGCCGGAGGAGGGACATGGGAGTGATGACTCTTTGGGCCAAGATACCACCGAAGTAATGATGGTATTGGTACCCTCCTGTCTCGTCGATTGACTATGCTGGTCACGGCGAGGATCCCATCATTCACTGGATGTCGACATTGGCGCACATCACATCTAGTTAGTAGTGGTGTGCTTTCTACTCTCCAAAAGTTCGGCAGTGTGCACAGACCTTCTTCTCCGTCCACGTTCATGCTCCAATAACAACTACCTTACTATCCTTTGGCACCTACCTATCAAACAAACGGGCTGAAAATAATCACACCTTCCAATATGAATCAAATAAATGTAGCCCTCTTATTTCCCACTGATGCTTGCCAGCTTCTATAGATACAGGCTAAAGGCTTCACTTGACGATAAACCCATTTTTTTCCATCTTACTTCTATCAATGTACCGGTACTACCGGCACAATCAAGAACGAATTTCCCAGAAAAAGTGGGCAGAATGGATCCCGTCTTCCCCCTCCCCCACTTCTCAATTCTCCCCTCTTATAACTTTGGAAAGATGTATTCCCCCTTCTTAATTGCATCCACCACCGTCTTAACCGGCTTGACCCACTGCATCACCTCCTCCACTCCCTCATCAAGCAGCATAGCCACCATATTACCAAACACCACACTCCCCTCTGCATTCAAATGCGTAAAGTCGTCGGCATCCAAGTTATACGTCGCCGCCTTCTCCGCCCCAATGCTGTTCAGATACTTGGTACTCGCCGCATTCAAGTCGATGATATCCGCTCCGCTCTGCTTTGCAGCCTCCTTGGCCGCCGCAGTCACATCAGCCAGATTCTCGTTCACAAGGCCCGTTGTGTCGCGGAAGCGGCGCCGACTTAGACTGGTGACGAGGATGGGGGTAGCGGGTACGGCGCGGACTTCTTCGACGAAAGCGACGAGGTTGGCCGTGAGCTGGGCCATGGAGATGTTCTTGGCTGGCTTTTGATCGTTGTGGCCGAATTGGATGGTCACGTAGGGAGTGTAGTTTGGCAGAGCGGCTTTTGCAGCGTCGAGGACGGCGGCCCAGTCACCGCCCTCACGGAAGGATACGGTTGTTGCACCATTGTGGCCGAAGTTCTTGCCCGTTGCGCTTTTGCAGAGCGCTGTATTGAGGAAGCCATTGCCCCATCCTGTGGTATATTGTGAGATGACTGATTGGCTTGTACATGACTTATCTAGGGGAAGTTTAATGTACCTCCTCCACCAGCTGATTGTACAGCAGTGGTACTATCTCCAGCCAGGAAGAACGCGGCCGGCTTGTCTTTCGCCTGCCTGGACGATGGCAAAGCAGTCGCAAAAGAAGTCAAACTCGCAAGAGTTGCGCAGAAAGCTATTCCCGATTGGAATAGCATCTTGTCAGAGCCAAGTAAATTACGAATACAATGAAAACTACTATTATCAGTTCAAGCAAGTAGCAGTAGGGATCCAGGAATGCAGGCTATAATTCGCATCCAACTATTCCCTTTTATACACAGACGCTCTCATGTCGTGTTCGGCTCTCCAAACTGTAGTTGGTCTAACTTCCTCGCCTATCCATATGAGCATGCAGATGCAGGGCATCAGATGCCTGTCAGTCTTCGGGTTTGGGCCCCAAACACAGTCAAATCAATGGTGTACGCACTACCTGCTGTTACAGGAGGGGACTTGTGCAGTATTGCTCTAGTCATTTGCAACCCATCATTTCAGTGGAGGGGAAACAAACATGGGGTAGTTTCTAGGGTGTGGGGACAATTCCACCAATCGCCTTGCAACTTTCAGGTCATGGCGATTTCGGTACGGAAATTGCAGTGCATCATGTAGGAACGGATCTGGGGAAACGTCTTCGGCGGATTTTTTTGGTCCTGTCAGATTAGCGCAGGGTCAGGATTGTACGGCTGTGTGTGTATGTGCGCGTGGACGGTTGTGTTGTTGACTTTCTTGGTGAGGCAGGCTTGTGGAGATTGAGGAATCCTACGAGTAGTTACTGTGGGTTGCTGGCGGGTCAACCCTAATCTTATTGAATAATGGGTGTGAAGCTATGGCATGGATTACGCTCTCCAGTTCAGTACATGTACCTCCTGTGTAATTTGTCGATTATTGGTTGACCTAGCTTCGAATGGTGAGTGACAAGATGGGAAGCTTCGAGTTTATCAGTCGTTGCGTTCTCCGTCATGGGCATTGATATTCGTTACACGGAAACTGCTCACAAGTAAAACAGCCTCATGTGTTCGCTCATGGTGAATCTGCACATGTACATCTCTGAGCTCCCTTGGCACCTAGCGGAAACGACTCGTGCTCTGATTTCAAGTGAGTGATTGGGACAATTACTTCGTGTTGGGAGGCTCCTACGTCTGCGCGGTGCATCTGAGATGTTTTGTATAATCTTGCCCGCCCTTGGAATCTGCAGACATGCCAGGTCTTCATTTAAAACTTCGAAGCTTGTGGTATCGCTGTTGCCAAAGATCCTTTCTCCGTATTCTAGCTTTATTGGAGTCAAATGACAAGATCTGAAAATTCTGCATAGTAAGATTTTCATTGCGGTAGGCTGCCATTCTCCTCAGTGGCAGGTTTATCTTGGGCCTCCTTTGCATCCGACTTCATCCTTATAAATTCCTTCTTCATGGACTCAAATTCCTTGAATCCCTGGAAGTACTTGCGTCGGAAGTCATTCAAATCACTGGCTTTCGTGCCCTTCTCGTAGTCTCGCTTTGCCCTCTCAAACGCCCCTTCCGGCACTTCTGAGTCGTGCAGACGACGATACGTAAGTAATCTTCGCGACCATTTGTTGAAGGCTTGGACACAGACCGAAGTCAGCTCCAAACATGGGTGCGATGGTATGATCAATTCGATGTCTTCATCGTTTGCAGTCGGCATCCACATGCTGATGCGACCGTCTTCGACCAATGTCGTGGCTGCAAAAGCCAGTATATCGTCGAGGAGAGCTGTGAAAGAGTAAGGCTTCTTTGGGGGAATATACCCTGGCTGTCGGTACTGATCTTCATGCGACTTTCGTTCTCTTTCTTCCAGTTCCTGACGAGATCCAAGAACTTTCAGGCCTTCGCGAATACCATACGGAGGGTCACAGACGATGCCATCCAAATAGCCTTTCATTCGACTGGTGCTGTGTGGTACTAGTCTGAGTGGAGAGTTTGTAAGATCGGAAACAAAAGCACCCAGGTAGCTGGACTCGAGCTGATATTGCTTGAAATTGCCATTGACGTCGTATTTGCCGGTTTGCCCTCTCCTTGCGCTTCCACCAAGGCCGCGGATGGTTCGCCCATCAATGTCACTTCCGAAAACGACGGCGCCGAAGTGTGCACAGGCAATGGGAAAGCCGCCAGTGCCCATGAATGGATCATAGAATAGTTTTCCTGGCGCAACGTGGGCAATATTTGCAGTAAGAAGAGTGAGCTCCGCGTCCATGGATGTAGTACTGATATAAATTCTCTTCTTGAGATCGAAGGTCTTTTTTGCCTCATTTCGACAAGACTCGGCTATAAATCGACCAAGGTAAAGTTGCTTCGGTACTTTCACATCAAGATCGTAGTCTTCAAAGACACGGAAAGCAACATCCGGATCCCGCATCTTTGGAGGACCCTTGAATGCCATGTAAGAGAATTCATTGATGACGGCTCGCTGTTCGTCCGCTGACATTCCACCGCGATAGCCTTCCACGGTGAACTTGAAAGACGCAGTCTCGTACTGTGTCCATCTTGATGCTGTGAGGTTGCGAACGGAGTCGTGAAGCGCAGGATATGTGGAACCTTCACCCCATAACTCGTAAACGCCCTGTGCTAGAATACTTCGGGTAATTACTTTGTGCGCAGCTGCATCAGATGGAATTTCTACGATACAATAAGGAGACTACAATTATCAGCGTCGGTATGAAGATTTGTACTCGAATATGGGCAGCATTGAGATTTCGACCAGGCACGAGGAATACAGTACGTACGTCTTCTTCATATCTCAGAAACTGTATCGATACTCTAGCCACATCTGCGAGGGCTTGCAATTCGACTTTCCGAAAACTCTCGTGCGTCTGCGCAAAACGAACGAGATACCTGGGCATGATGTCGTTATGCTCAACAACGTTTCAGGTCAGCCTTGGTGATGAACAGAGAAACATTTCAATCAGGTATATCGGTAGGCATATCAGACGCTCAGGCTAGGCTTGTAAGTAGTGTGGCTCCGCTTTCTCCTTGTCATGCTAGTAGAATCCCCTAGGCAGAGAAAATCGTGGGTTTAGGGTGGAGTAGCTCTGATTGGCTCGCTAAGTTTGTTGTGGTCGAGTACGTACCTCATGCGCTCGGGTAGTTTGAGTATCATGTGATCTGCCACTGCTACATCCTGGCTATTTTCATAGCATAAGACAAGTAACGTGATCCTCAAACTAGCCGAGATAACTAGTAGTACTACTGCCTCCCCTCTCTACAGCTGTACCACGACACGGGCTTTGTGCTAAGCGCAACCAAATTACATCTTACCATGAATATTCAACTATGACAAGAAAACTTCTCAGTTGCAGTGCATAATGTCAAGCTCCTCCCTGTTTTTTGAAGCACTCGGGCCTTGGCTGACGATGCTATCAAGGTACAACACTGCAGTCACTTCGAGACTGTACCACACAATGTATACAAATACAGCAATCCAAAGAGGCCAGTACAAACAGTATGCGCTTTCACTGAGTCTCGCGGTATGATCTGTTCTCTTCAGCTCCTTCCGTCTCAACGTTTCGTGGCGCTGTTCCTGCAGCACTGGAGACTAGTGTCGATTCTGCAGCAAATGTCTGCATCCCAAATAATATTGCACGCGGGACTATTTCCATCAGCAGGAGAATTTCATAGGGTACAGGATATTCATCGACCCAAGAAATATATAAAACGAGCCATTCAAGGACTACTTGAGGATGGCACCTCTTCCGTCTACACAACTCAACCCCATACTTGAGCCCTTTTACCGTCTTATCATAGCATCAGACCATGAACCTTTCTCTAGAGCTGAAGAGACTTCGTCTCACGAGAGAAAATGCAGAATCGGATCTCAAGGCGTATGTCTACTTCACTATCTAAGTTTACAATCGACTAATGCTCCTTAGAGCTCATGCTTCCGCCACTCCATGGCACTGGACCCGACACTTTCAGGGCGACATCGACATGACGATGAAAAATAGACTTGACGTTAGGATCCAGCAGATGCAAAATCTCCTCGCCGTGTCCAAAGAACTTTCAACGAGGATCTCAGCACTACCACGAGAACTTCGTGACATGATCTATGAGGAGATCTGGGAAGTGAAAGGTGGGCTGGGGTTAGATCATGGCATCAAGGCAATGTTGCCCGAATCTCACAGCCCGCACAGGTGGTTGCCTGGGCGTTGTTTTCAGACGGTCAGGCCAATTTCCTTGTGTTCGTGTTCGATGCACCTCCCCCACTTTGTGCAGAGTCGGTTCGTGGGGAAAGCCATGGCCGATGAGATGCTCAGTACTTTGAGAAGGATAATTCGAGTGCATGGAGCCTCGCACGAACAATACAAATACGACCTTGACTGGAATACCATGAACCGCTTCCAGACGCCGGATATATTTCACCTCGGCATCTCTTTACATAGTCTGTTTGACAAGCTGCATCTCCGTGTGCACTTTCACCACCTCAATTTGATCGAGAACGATCAATATCTAGATATGTTAGGCATATCAGGCGGCTTCAAAGCTCGATTGGCTGGATGTGTCAGGTCACTCGAGATGCTGTGTGACCACGGGCCGCGCCGAATCACCTTTATCTTCAAAGAAACGACCTGGGCGCGAAGCAGCGTTGCTGCCTCTCTATTCCGTGGCTTGAGCGCAGTTTTCCACAAGTTAAAAGGACTTGGATTCGATATGCGCGTGGAATTCGCTGCCAATTATACGCAATCATGGATTTTGAGCGCCAAAGAGTGGACTGCAGGACCGGAACCAGACCCCTCGACGTGGGACCTGGCTGCCTGGAATCTGAATTTCACACGAACAAACCTTGAGTACCTTGCACCGCGTACACCGCGTCCCAGTGGCGTAATTTGGGTCCATAATCCAAATGGCCCCATGGGACCACGGTTTCTGGAGAAAGCAGTCGTGTGGGAGAGCATCCGCAGGAACTTGTACCAGTTCCGTCCGGAAGTAGACCAGGCAGTTCGTCTGAGGCATAACGAAGCGGGACAGGCTTTTGTAGATTGCGGATGCAATCTCGAAGCTCATACATGCAGCCCGTACTACTGCTGTCATGACCACGGTGGTTGGGACGAGGAGTATATCGGTGGCAATAGGAGCTGGAATAAGTACTGTTACAAGTGTGCGGAAGCGGGATTAAAACCGAAGGGATGGTTCCAGTAAGCAAGACCATGAGAGACGAGATCATATGGATGATGTACTGTACCTACAGTTGTTTTGAATGAGATTGTTTAGTCTTTTAGACAAGATATGGCAAGTCTTTGAATACTTCCTCTAGTGTAGTATGTATGATATTCACCAAATCGAGCCATGACGAGCGCAGATGCACCGTGTCTTAGGCAGGTAGGTTGTCATATTGGCCCAATAGGTTTGACTATGCGAACACTGATCGAAAGCCTTTCATCGCAAGCCTTGACGAATACTTAGCTCGGCAGCAGTAATATCATGAACGTTATAATCTGACAGGGAGAAGGATGAATGTGATGTTAGTGAATCAAGGCCATCTTCCCGCCACCGGCCAGCGCACGCCCGGCCTCCAGTTATCGGACCGCAAGCCGTCGCAGCGGAATTGCATGCACGCAGCCCACATTTCGATTGCAAAGGAGGCGAAACCGCCGGGTCTCGAATTGCAATGCAATATTCTGCATTGATTGCATCATGGGAACAGGAGAAAGGAGAGGCGAGCCGGCATGTGATGATCGCCATTATCGCCTCGTCTTGGTTGCTCAGCCGCGATGGCCAGTGTGGAAGAAGCATGCGAAGGTGGACGAATGTTCGAGGCAGCTGAGCGCTGAGACGGTGTGAGGATAGACTAAATTTAGCACCGGCAGGCCGTTGCTGTGAGTTGACATTGGACGCGTCATTAGCGTTTAGCGAGCGAAGAATTTGCATGGGCAAAGTGCAGGTGGGCATCTGGGGGAGGCGGAGGCCCATACGGATCGAGCCATGGCGCTAGGGTTGGAAATTGGCTGGGGAAGACATGTCAAGGCGAGAGTCTTGCAGCTTGATGAGAAGATAAGCTTAGTTGAGCTGAGGGATGTTGAGATGGTATGTACAGTAGAGTATGTACTCTACTGTAGGTAGGGACAGACGGGTTGCGATGAGCCCTTTGGAAGGACTGTGAGTTTCCCGCACATGACATGATCGGACGGTGATGTTTCCATAGAAACATGACTGTGTGTGTGTGTGTGTGTGTGTGTGTGTGTGTGTGTGGGACCAAAGGCTGCTGATACGATGGTTGTGAAACTTGATGGCTGAGGACACCAGCACACGGCCAGCTCAGAGCGGCCAGCCCTAACATGCCACACGGTTGTTCAGTCTAGTTACGATGTGTAGTTAGTAGGTGCTAGTAGTTGTGTGAAAAGGTAGCCTCCTTGGTTTATCAAAGTGCCATCCACCATGGAGAGTAAGGAGGATGACGGTGCATCCAGTGTGGTTACCGGTAGAGTAGGCAATCGGTAGACTGACAGCCACATGGCACATGGTGGACACTGGTGAGGTGGAGCCGCAGAACACGAGGATCTTCAAAGTAATTCACTCAACAGAAAATTTCGCTTCCCGTCCAAAGTAATTGTCCATGGGGTCGCGAAAACATTGTCGGCCAGATGGCAGAAGCGGGCAAGGTGGACAAAGAAACAACCGCCTGTCTGGCTGCTATAATTGGCCGTCGGGTCCGCTAAGCCCCGCCTGGCTGTCTGATCGGGTAAGGCGCGTGTTGCCCGGACAAGCTGGCCCGTGCGTGGCCGTCTCAGTGCAGGGGCCTGAACGTGACCCAGGACAGCCCCCGTCCTCAATAGGCTTAGCGCCGATGCTTGTCAGAATGAATGGAATAAAAGGAGAACGCGTCTCGCCGAACATCCTTTTTTTCTTCTTGTTCTTGTCCCATCCAGCAGTTCCGTCTCAGTCACTACTCGATCAAGTGCGTTCTACTTGCCAACCTGCTTCTTGACATCCCGTCAAGTCCTATCGTTACCCTCACATCAGATCGTGCCAACATCAATCGCTAAGTTTTAATCCAACCAAACCAAACAACCAAACAACCGTCGCTATGCGTTCCTCCATCTTCGTCTCCGCTGCTGCCTTCGCCCTCGCGTCGGCTCAGACTCCCGACTCATTCCCTCAGACAGCCTACCTCACCCAGACCAACTCCTTGGGTGTTGTCACTGGCGGACCTGCTGTCGTAACCGCCATCCCATCCCAGCCTGCCCCCGACACGTCTATTCCTGCTCAACCACCCGTTGTCACCTCCCAACCTATTCCCGACAACATCCCTGCCGTCGGCACCGGTCTCCACACCCTCATTCTTCCTGGTACAGGCTCTGCCTTCAACCAGACCCGCACTGTCACTGTCAGCGCCAACAACAGCACCACCATCATCCTCACTCCCTCTACCACTTCCTCCGGCCCCGATGCTACCGGAAGCGGTGCCTCAGGTAGCGGTGCTACGCGCTCTGGTGCGCAGACTGGTTCCCAGACCGGCTCCGGCGCAACAGCATCAGCTACTGGTGCTGCTGCTCGCAACTTCAACGCTGCCGCTGGTGGTATTCTCGGTTTCGGTGCCTTCATGGCCGCTTTCTTGTAAGCGGCTTATGAGAGTAGCAAGATCTCTTTCTATTCACATTTATAATAATTCTTTGGGGTGGAACATGGCATTGTCACACGTGGGAACATGCACTCGTGTCGCGGGCCATGTGGGCGTGATATTTGACGAGATTTAATGTTTGATGGTTACTCTTACTGTCCCTTGAAGATGATGGACATACCTTGGGTTGTGCAATCGCATCGCATTGCATTGGCGTCTTGACACAGGCTTGTGTCTTGTTTGAGGTGGATGGAAAATGGCTGTGTGATGAAGTAATATGTAGTAACTCGCTCATGGTAGGCCATGGTGTTTCTACAGAATCATGAATGAAAACATTCGAAACATGAATATCTTCAGAATGCAACGTGAATGCTGGCTATTGTAATCTGTAGCTTCAAGCAAGGTGTCATTGTACTGCGGTGAGGAAATACATAATTCTTGCCTCAGGGCATATGGCAAACGTTTCTCTGCTCTCATGAGACATTTTACAAACAACACTACAACCACTAGAGCTTCAAAGAATCTCTACCTCTAACTGGCCTAACTGTATCCAACTCGAAGCCATGATGCTATCCTAGGCGATCAATTCAGCCACACGCACAGTATATCAGGATAGCTGGACAGCAGACATCATACCATGGTGAGTATTTCTCGCCAGAACACCTGGCCTAGCTGATGGCAAATTATAAAGCGTACTCTCACGGGAGTGGATCCAGTTAAGATAGTGCAACCTTCGGTGGGACTACAGTTCATGGCACCGGGGTGCGAAACATGATCTGGGCAGTTGCACATGGCGAATCCGCAGAACACTGGCAAGCACTGCTTAGATCTATCACTCCACTTGCGATTATTTGTGTCCACGTTATATATCTGCCTTTTTGCTTGCTTATCACAGTGCGAAGTAGTATGTAGACTTCCGTTTTGACAAAAATCACAGTGTCTACCTACGCACGCCTTGGAAGGTGCACAGGACATTTGCACGTCAGTATGCTAGTGCTTGTAACACACTGAATCAGACCAAGACCAAGCAGATAGATCATAGTGTTTGCCTACTATATGAAGGATACCTATGGCACCATTATATCTCTATATCACAAGCCACCTGCCGGTATATGTCGACTTTTCTTTCATTTGATGCGGAGACTAGTAGATGCCTGATACGCAGCCTGACGTGCAGCAGCAGTCCAAAATTGGTTGACATCACAGTCCAAGTATGACGCGTGATCAGCTTCGATAGTTTGCGTATCGTGATTGAACGTCTTCACGCAGCGCCTTGATTACAGCCGCGTCCAACAGCGAAGTATGCCCAGCTACAAGATACACTACCCTATGGTCGGCTATCACCCCCGGGCCGGATATCCAATCTCTCTCCGAGGCCGATTTCTAATTTACATAGTACACAATTTCGTATTCTCTCCAAGAAGTCCAAGTCACGTTCTTTCTCACACTATGTCAGATAATCAGACTTCAAACATGGTAAGCCGAGGCGGCAGTTCGAAGATTTGCAAGTCTCCATGATGCTCACCGCGCAATGTGTTGGATCAGGAAGAAGGTTGTAAGATATTGTAAGCGTTTGTAGATGCTCAAAATAGCTCAATGCCGCCTAATGTTTTTGTCATCCGGTCAGCCAAAAAGGCGTACCAAGCTCACAACTGTCATAAATCAGCCCAGCTTTCATCGCATCGAATCAATCACAACCAAGGAACTATACGATCAATCATATGAACCAGTTAGTGTACCGAAATTGTAATTATACAATCGGTGGATCAACCTTTTGGTCTAGGAATCCATGATTCAATCAGCCAAGCAACCAATCATTATGCCAGCTATTGTTCTCCCCAGATTATTTCTTGTGTCAACTTTCACTTACCCCGTAAAACCGCTCAGAAACCAGCATCCTCTGTAATGACTGACTCTAGGTTTAGATGTTCTCTAGTAAGGATCGCTAACTACTCACGCGCTCGGGTGAGTATGTATGGCATCAGCCACAAGATACACATGTTCGACTGTACCCGTACGCTTTGCAAGTGCGAAAGCTCACCCCGGACCTGCCGGTACGCTACTATAGGATTGGCAATACGCGTCTGTAAAGCAAGGTGTACCTCTTTTGGCCTGGATAGTATAAAAATGCGTGAACCATGAAGCATGGAAATGCGCTGTGTAGCTAACATCTAACACCAGGTTTAATGATTTGAACATCCTCGCGTGTTTATATGGGCCTTGCCGTCGCAGAGAGCGAATTGTCGCGGTTAGTGATTGATGATACCCCTACTCGTGCTTCATACTGTACCGTAAAATACGTGGCATGGCGGCTAACCTTCCCTCTCTGGTGCAGCAGATCGTTACCGAAATATGATGACCACCCAATCTCCTTTTGATAGGCCGGTCTTTTGTTTTGATCCGGCAAAATTACGTTAGCATTGTTGATGACGCGGTGGTTCGAGGTTTAAGACTTCCAAAAAAGTCCAGACCAGCAGGTTTTTTACATGTGGCATGATTCGTCCGAAGCTACTGCCGTAGAGTTACCACGCACGTATGGTATGCGATCTTGACGACGAAGAGCTGCCTTTCACGGTGTCTGTGAAATCGTACAAACTAGCGCTGACAAGACATTCCGGAACTCTCCATAGCCCTTATCAAGGAGCCAAATCTCTTTCGAGGGAACTTATCCCATAGCCTTTAAAGTCTAATCGGTATTGTGAACGAGAGTTGGCTGTGTTGATTGCATGCGAATGCCATGAGAAGCGGCATTATACCACGGACGCGTATACATACACTGTTACTTACACGGATGTGCATGGACTGCGTACCATCTTAACTCCCAAATGTATGTACCGGTAGGCCCTGTTCTCACGGATGACCAACTTTCTCCCGTTTCCGTTATGCCCCCGCATCACTCTGATGCAAGGACACTGGGCAATTCTGTCAGCATCCAGTGAGAGAACTTCGAGACGGCAGCGATTATATAGGAGGCATTCGCCATACCACCCATAATGGAATCCCCAGACTGCAAACGAGCGATAAGCACACCATCATCTCGCCCACTGTCTAACCAAAGGCCTAAGACATACCACCGTAAGCATGGCTTCAACTCCTTCAGACGCAACCCGCATACCTGTGGAGCATCTGCACGCCGTTCCTTACAGCGAACCACCAAGCTGCCTCCACACAGTCGACATCTGGCTCCCCCAGCACGATGCAAAGCCATCCTCTGATCTGCCATGAGTATTGTACATCCACGGCGGCTGCTGGGGCGACCCTGCCATCAACGTGACCAAAGCCCTTCAACCCACCGTTGCCCACCTCTCCTCTGCCTACCCAGTCACTCTCTCCCAAGTCGGCGGACTCGCAAGCATTGACTACCGTCTTTCACCCTACCCAGATCACCCGACCGACCCCAGCGGCGACGACCCCGACCGCAACGTTAGACACCCGCAACACATGCACGACGTCGTCCAGGCCATTCAGAAACTCCAGCGCGAATACAACATTAAGCGCTGGATCGGCGTCGGCCACTCGTGCGGCGCATCCATACTCTGCCATATCCTCGGCCAACTGAGCCTCGACGCCTCGCACACCATCATCAGGCCAGAAGCCCTCATATTGATCTCGGGCATCTACGACCTCAAAGGCTTGCTCCAGTACCGCTTCCCGCCCGCGTTTCCACAAGAGGTCTTTGACGTGTATACCGCGTTCTTTGAAAGGGCGTTTGGATCCGATCATTCGATTTACGATTCAATTTCACCTTTGGCCATGAAGCTGGATGAGAAAAACTGGCCAGAGGGGAAGCTGATCGTCGTGTCTCATAGTCCAGATGAGGAATTGGTCGAGCCGGAGCAAAGCGATCTCATGCGCGCTGAGCTACCACGCCAGGGCTGGCAGGTGATCATGGGCGAAGAGAGTCTGGATAGTAAGCTTGAGCCTGGCAAGAGGGTGGTGAATGTGGCGAGTATCAAGGGTGCTCATCGTTTTGTGTGGAATGATGGTCAGCAAACTGCTAGCTTGATTAGCAGGGTAGTGAGGAAGCTGAATTAGAAGCGGAGGGGTGAGGAATTTGTATCCATTGAACAAGGATTTAACTGGGCTACTTGTGGAGCAGAAGCGATGATTCATGTCCAAAAGTACATACCCTTTACATTGTCTCCAGTGTCTTACCTGCATGCATTATTTCTTACTTCCCTTACACGCATGTTGGTGCCGTAGGATTTCTGTTCATTCCCTAGTCTACACTAGAGTCTCGGGAACCCAGTCCAAAGATTCAAAACAATGCATGCAGAGTTTTCATCTGATCCTAACTGGAAAACGTACGGACTTCAAGTGATCCTGATTCCCGACTAAACCAGATTAATGATCTAATCGTCAACAGTTCCAGTCAGGATATTGATTTGTCCGAGGTCTGTGCAGCATGAGAGGAAGTCATGTCCAGAACAAAGACTCCATAATGGCCGTACATATTGATAAGAGACATCCGGTCTTTCAGATCCTCCCCCTTGTCTACTTGATATGTCTCTCGTCGGCTCTTACAATCATATACCCAAGCTTTTTCATATTCATAAACCAGGTATCCCAGTTCGCTCGCTGACCCATACTATTTATACAGCTTAATGTAATGTACATTCGCGTCATGGCCCATATGCCAGATTGCCTCTGACTAACCTCGGCCAGCAGGGCTACCTCTTGAGCCTCGAGTCCATAGCCTTGGTCATTTCTTCTTGGACCTGACTGGTGCCGCTCTCGACATTTTCCAGTCGCGGCTGAGCATCATCAGTTTGCTTGCTTGTCTGCGAGCCCTCTCCCTCTCCTTGTACGAGCTTGGCTGCCTGCGCTTTTGCCTGCGAGGCACTCACATTGCTGTAGACGGCCATTGCGCTTGCAATCATCCCGCTGATGTCGCCAACATTGCCGGGTACGACAATGCTAGTACCCTCCTTTGCAAGGTTGCCAAAGGCATCAACGTACTTTTCAGCCACAGAGAGAGAAATGGCACTTTGTGCTGCACTCTTGCCCTGGGCAATCGCACGTGCTACCTGATCAATCCCATTGGCCGTGGCTGTAGCCTTGACAAGAATGGCTTCTGCTTCTCCACTTGCCAAATTGATCTGTTCTGACCTCAGTGCCTCGGAAGCGAGAATGACGGATTGCTTCCTTCCCTCGGCGATGTTGATAGCAGACTGCCTTTGACCTTCGGACTCTAGAATCTCGGCGCGCTTGGAGCGTTCGGCGGTGACTTGACGGTGCATGGCTTCAACAACGGGTTCGGGTGCGTGAATGTCACGGATCTCGTAACGTAGGCAGGTGACTCCCCAGTCTTGGGCAGCTTGGTTGATGGCAGCGGTAATATTGGTGTTCAGGTTGGCGCGCTCCTTGAGGACGTGGTCAAGGGAAAGTTGGCCAATTTCGGATCGCATCGTCGTCTGTGCAAGCTGGGAGATGGCGTACTCTGCATCTTCGACACCATAGCTGTAGCATTTTAGCTCTCTTCATATATATATAAAATAATTGCGCTTGCAAGAGAAGCCTACCTTGCTTTGTACGCGTCGAAGACACGGGTGTAGAGTACTCCATCGAGCTCAAGTGTGACATTGTCCGCCGTGATGGCACTTTGACTCGGAATCTCAATGGCGTTTTCCTTCAGGCTCTTGACATAGGCTATCCGATCGATGAATGGTATCAGTATGGCCAGACCAGGCTCCAGTATTCGGTTGAATTTTCCCATGCGCTCAACGATCCAAGCTGTCTGTTGCGGCACAAAGCGCACAATCGTGTTTGTGGGAAGGCGTTGGCGCGACGAAAAGTAGGAGGGAGGTCCAGCTTGCTGGCTCATCTGACCGAGCGAGGAGAAGACACTCGCGGGGCTGGTGGCGGCATGGCTCTGTGTAAAGGTCCGGGTTGAGGCCACGCTCAAAGCAGCAGCAAGTGGCCATATCCGTGAATTGGCTAGCGGTCGTGAGAATCGGAGTGAGCCAGATACCGTAGAGGCGACCAAACGATTGCGCGACGCCATGGTATGACTTCTGGTGTAAGAGATGATGACGAGACCATGAAGCTCAGAAGTGCATCGGCGAATGGTTGGACGAGGGACCGACCGGTGGTACAAAGTATTACATAATCTAGACTCTTTCAAGTGCAAGGTCAAGGCACCATAACACCACACGCCATTTCCGACACCCATCAAAAGTGCATATAGAAGCATATCATTATCTCATACTTCAAAGAGCGTTGCCTTTTTGGATTCAAGGAATTGGCAAGAACTATATTTGCTACAGTTTCTTTCCCTCAAAAATCCATCAAAGAAGACGAAAGTCTCACCAACCTGACTTATCTATCTACTCGTAGTTTACCATTGCCCCTATCACCGCCACACCAGCGACCCAGTAAGCATCACTACCTGCCCGATACAACCTGGCGGCAGCCGCAATTGATGTCGGTGACGGTGCAGAAGAAGGCGCAGGCGGCGTCCCATCAGCATTGACTGCTCGACTTACATCAGCCACACTGGATCCATCATTGCGCGTGACAACGTAGATTTCGCCAGTGGAATCAGAGCTAAAGTACAGACGACCTTGCGTGTCCCATGCCAAACCCACGGGCCGGAAGCAGGCAGCGGGACAGTCTGAGAGGTTCGCATTGGACACAATGTCCACTGCTGCGGTGGGGCTGTTTGCGAGGGCAGTGGGGGCGCCAGCGCCGCTGAATTGGACAAAGGACAACTTGTAGCCGATTGGCTCTTCACGGTTCCTGTGAATCGAGTGAGCCACAATCGAAAATACGTGGGAGAAGAGATACTGACCAGGAGCCATGCATGGTGACCCAGGCCGCGGTGCCATTGGGATTGAACTTGATGTCCAGTGGGGCCATGTGAGCATTGAAAGTGAGACGTGGAGCTATACGATCTTCTTGACAGAAAGTATCATTTACTGTCGCATTCTGCTCACCAATGGCAAATTGAGAACCGACTGTGCCTTCAAAGTCTGGAATCTCCGTGACATTCCACGCGGCGAAGCAGGAAGGGTAGCCATAATTCCCGCCTTGCATTGGGCTTTCCGTCCCATTCAGGTAGCCATGATAGTTTAGTTCCTCTCCGGGGTTGTTCTCGTTGATGGTCTCCCCGCCTCTCTCCAGATCATCGACGCTGTTCTCGACCGAGTAAATGCCGCCAGAGACGGGATCCTCCGCAACTCCTACAGAGTTCCTTAGACCCCATCCGAGGAGTAAGCCGGAAGAAGCATGGTCATGGCCTGAATTGGTGGCATTGGTGACGTTGAATGCTTTAATAGTTGATACTCCAGTGGTCACGTCCAGCGTCTGGAGATCAATGTTGCCAACACTGCCGCGACTGACAAGAAGAAGATCAGGAACCTTCTTTGAGAGAAGCAGGGTCCGGGTGGTATGACCTTCATCGTCACCCATACCTTGGACGATACTCCGGGGACCTGACGTGTTGCGCCCTTGGGAAGCATCGTAGTCCCAAGCCCAGACGTTACTATGCGAAGAAGCATAGAGCGTGCGCCCATCCTCCGAGAGCGCAATGCCGTGGTTCAACTGCACTTGTCAGAGAATTGTACAACCCCAATGTCACAAACACATTGTTTCGCTGCAGAGCAAGCACTCACGGATTGATCCTCAATCACACGCTGCACATCTCCCTCGACACGTACACACGGCCCGTCTCCTGTAAGCCTCAACCGACTAACGCCATGTGCCTGTTCGACTACAAGCAGGGCTCCTTCTGAATCGAACATGATGCTGCGTGGATCCCTCAACCCATTCGCCACGACCTCGACGCGGAATCCTGGCATAACCGAAGGAGAGGCATGTTGTGGCGCAATCGTGCTCTGGCACGCTTCTGGTGTCGTCGAGGTGCCGGTAGTATTCTGCGCGCTGGCGGTCAACACAGCGGATGATGCCAGAGCCAACAAGTGCCTCAGGCTCAGCGCCATTTCAGCTAATGGCAATGTGAGACTGCGGCCTATCACTCTAGATTCCAGTCGTCGATTGGGCGACGTGTGTTCGGGTAATGCGTCGGGGGCAGGCAATCTGAGTGAGAAGACCGGGTTATGGTTATGCAAGGCGCAGGAAATAAACGAACTCAATCAATCAAGGCGCCCAGGTACCGGTACCGGTACCTATGTGCACACGCGAGACCGAGGTATGGCTTTTTCAAGAGGGCGAGACAAAACTTCCTTCCTTTTTGGACGAGACGACAGAGCGAGGAGGATTCATGGAATATAGAGAACCCCTTCATTAACTGATCAAGTGGCTGGTGGCCTCTTCCTTGGGTGTTTCGGTCGCGCATTCCTGGGGTCGCTTGGCTTACACCATCCAAGGAATTGTGAGCGTCATAACGGTGAGGTTCAACATGCGGGGTCATTTGACATGTCTAAACCTCTGCAAGTCTGAAGAAAGCCCAGAGAAACACATCACCCAAGGCCACATCACTTATTCGCACAAAGTGTGTGTCCAACATCCCTTCTCCTGGCTTTCATGGCCAGTGCGCGTAGAGTAACAGCCGCTTCCTCAAAACGGCCATGTACTGATGCTCACCAACAACACAGTAAAACACCAGAAAACAGGAACCTGCAACACAAACGGCTCGGCAGATCTTAGGCGCCCCGAAATGAGTAATCTAGTAGGCCTGGCTATTTGGCCATGTGTACATAGATAGTAAAAGCGATATAGTAAAAGCGATGATAGCGTGTGCGGGTGGTGACCCAATGTGGGTTCAGATGCAAACCATACTTGCAGTTTGCCGTACATTAACACGTTTACATATTACACATGTCCCTGGGGGTGGATGATGATGCATTGCATGATTTGCATCACGCAAGCAACGATCCGATTATTTCCTCGAGTCGGAACCTCAAGCGAAGCTGCAAGTACATGGTCGCATTTGAACCGGCGTGACCGAGGTGTGCACGTGTAGGTAGGCGGATGGAGTAGAGTAGGGAGCCGGTACCCAGATGCGCCCTGGAGTTAGTCGTGTAGGCGGCTCCGCTGCCATGGGCACCTAACGGTAGCTGGCAACACGCCATTGAAGTTTAGGGCGCTGGGCGGTGACATTAGCGAGTGTGATTCGGTTATGGGACTGCAGTGGCCAAGAGTTAGCAACAACGGCATGGAGCTAGGATACATATAGTCTCGTCCGATTACTCTTCTCTCCAGTGCCAGAGCAACGGTACGAAGGACAACGGTGCCAAGCAGACGAAAGGTCACACTATGTTGAGGGGACACGACTTTAAGATATGCTTGATGTTTATATGTATTCGCGTCTGGTAAGACCACGACTTCTGACCGTAGAATAATCAATGCTGTATGATTTTGAGGAAATGCCCTTTGTGGCATGGAAGATGGAGACTGTGATGAGAAGCAAGGAAACAAACGGAAAATGGAAATCCGATCCGCTTTTTGTATACATGACCGATCATGATCCCGCAGCGTGAGGCAGAGGCCTGCCTGTCAACCTCGGGGGGATATTAGATGCCGAAAAACAAAATGAAAAAAAAAGCCTGCTCTTTCCGTAGTGCGCCGCTTCCTGTGAAAAAGAAAAGTATGCGCGCATCCTCCTTGTCCACGTGTGTTCTAGCTGGGAGATGCTCGAGATTATGCAAAAGGGAATCGCAAATGCATCATCGCTCTAAATGCAGAACTTGATCCGACCTGGTAGTCGGTGGCGGTAAAAGTGTACAGGGTATTCGGTGGAGAGGCCAAGGTGCCTCATTCGTCGCTTGGACGCGTACTCCACGGGAAGACATTCAGATAATTACTCATCGTTCCAAAACCCTCTCGAATTCTTGTCCCAGCAAGCACAGCAGGTACTCCGTCTCTAGCTGCCCAAGTTAAGCGTGTGTGCGTAGCTGCGTGTCCAGCGCAGCCATCTATTCTGCATTACATCGTCGTCGTAGAATTAAAATCTACATCACCGTCATGAGCTTCATCTGAGCCGCAAGGTCCGCATCTTGCTGGAACATCCTGCTGAATGGTGGCTCCTCATTCATTGGACTTGCATGTGGGCTCGAGTAGAGCCCTTCTGCTTCTCTTATTGTCTCTTTCACTTTGCGAGTCAACGTGTTGACGTATGGGACAATACGCCGTAAAGTTGCCGTGTCAAAGGGGACCTTCTTCGAGGAAGGTGTAGGCGGCGCGTTGGGAACGATATCAAGGATACTTTTCCGTTTGTTCTGCAACGCTTCAATTACAGAACGTGCTTTCGCTTCCGAGTCTTTTCGGGGTCGCGTGATAATGGTCTTTTGCTCGCTCTGCGGGGGCGTTTCGTATCCGGATCTAGGAGGAACGGGAGACGACTGAGGGCTGAAAACGCCATACTGCGAGGGAAGAATCGATCGTCGCGGGTGTGCAGACTGAGTTGGAGTCTTGGTAAGATCGTCATTCGGGGACCCAGACTTGCGCCGTCCACGGCCGTTGCTGGGACTGGCATTGGGCGCATCATCAAAATCATCGTCGTCGAAACCTGGAGAGGATGGAGGTGACATGCGAGCCACATGTTCGTGCTCTGCTTCCTGGTCTGCGAGGTCGATCATTGCATCGACCTCTTCCCACATGCTGGAATGGGGGCCATTGACGAGATCAAGCGCAACAGCACGCATCCGGTGTTCTTTGAGTTCCTCGATGAGGAGACCCCACTCTCGCAGCAGGCCAATGTTGGCGAGAACGTTGTTCTGCTGCTCCTGGATACTTTTTGGTACGACCATGACAGTAGCACTGTCAACTTTTGGAGTGCTATTCGCCCCTTCTGTTGCCGGCTCCTCTGCTAGTTCGGAAAAGTCAAAGTCGTCGTTCCAGTCCTCAGTCACACCTTTGCTTCCAACACCCCAGGTGCCAAACTTGTTGGTGACCACGGTGTTACGCTTGCCTGCCGCATCTGGAACGACTGGCACACTTTGGCTGCGTGCGTGCAACCCGCTTGGCACACGGCGCCCAACCGATCGACTGCCCCTGTGGTCTGCATCCTTCTTCCCGTGGACGGTCCGCGGCCGTGGCGGTGAATGATTGCCCAAGTTCTTGTCTGCGATTTGCTGTTCAGACCAATCGAATATGTTGCTGCGGGCATCTCGATCGGGGCAATCTGCCGTGAAATGTTGTGGCGTTGTTGGCTTTGAGCTCGGACCCAATGGAAGCAAGCGTGGGTTCTGACGGTATAGCGAAACACCCGTGGCTGTGTGGCTGACTGGTGGCAGATCAACCCATGAGAACTCAGTGTCGTCTTCTTCCAGTGACCACCTACTGCTGTCATCACCATCGTCATCTCCCGCTCTCGCGTCCCATTCCAGCGTGCCCAAGGACAGTGGCTTGGGCATGCTTGGGGGAGAGGATGCTATTGCACTGGGAAATAAAGGGGTGTTAGGCAGCCGGAGGCAACTGGGGGATTCTTGCAAGGAGCGCTCTGGCCGCACGCTGCGCACCGGCGTCGAGAGGCTCTCTTCCTCTTCAGCGATGCTCTGGTGGCCGGACGGACCATGGATAGTATGCTCGCCAAAGGAGCCTGGCGGGAGGAGGTCGTGTAGGGCAGTGACCCTGACCTTGGACGGGGGTGACTCGTCAAATATGGTTTCAATGCGAGGCCCACGGGCGCCGCCCGAGATACTCCTGGTTGCGCCCGTTCGCAGCGAGTCGTAGAGGGTCTCGCTGTGGAAGTCTGCGTCGTCCTCGTCGCCCGAACCTACGCCGCGAATCTCGTTATCTGACGAGCCCACCAATGTCGACGCTTGCTCAGAGGGCGCCGTAGAGAGACGCGACGGACGAGCGCCTGGGTGGGCCAAGGTGGGCGAGGGCGGCATCTGATTGGCGGGCAGTTCGGCTGGCGCAATCACCTCGAGCTGAGCCTGAGGAACAACAACACCGCCACCACTGCCACTACCACGACTATTACTACTGTCGCATGTTGGGCTGAGCGGTGCTGCAGGCAACGGTAGCGGTAACGGCAACGGCTCTCTGCCCTCGCTGAAATGGCCTCCTGATGTTGATGTGGCGGCCATGCGCGCTGCCGTTGTCATAGCCATGTTGCGCGTGGGCTGGCCCGGGTCAGTAAAGTCCCGACGTCGAGGCTCTCCAAACGAGGCGCTTACGGGCCGTCGTCGCATGGTGGGGAGAAGGGGTGCAGAGCTGGCCCGTTGGCTGAAGCCGCGGGTGAGCCGTGATCGTGACGAGGATGAGGATGAGGATGGTAGTGCTGGCAGTGCTGGCGGTGCTGGCGGAGCTGGCGTCTTGGCTGGTCGCTGCCTCTGGGCGCCACCAGGTGCTGAAGAGAGCATGTTGGTGATGGAGAAGGAGCGGCGGGGTCGCACTGCATCGTTGGCTGTCTCTGTGGTCGTCGTCGACGCCCGCGGCCGCGTTGAGGATCGATCAGACTTGGTAGCAAACAAAGCCGTGATACTCAACGGGGTGCCTGGCCTGCTCATGAAATAAACGCTTTCACTGTTGTTATCGTTGTCATAGTCGTTGTCGTTGTTGTTGTCATTGTCGTCGCTCGTCGCATCGTCCCTGTCGTCTGTACTTGGCGACACCGACCTCGCCAGCACTAGCGTAGGCATGTGCTTCTCGTCTGGAAACACCCTTCTGAACCCATTGGCGTTTGCCGTAGAGCCTCGTCGCGCGGCCAGCGTCCGTCGTCCCTTGGCCACCTTGGCGGTGAAGTACTGCGTGTATTCGACCTCACTGTCCGTGCTCGCAGAGTGCAATGGCACATCCATGGACCTGTCTTCCGCCGTCCTCTCCAGCCGTGTAGGTGGTGGGTGCTGCAGCGTGGCCGAGCGCTGGTGGCTCGTAGCAGGGCGACGAAACGAGGGACGAAGTGACACAGAGGGCTGAAAGGGGGTTTCGCGAGGCACGCGTACCGAAGAGGAGCGTTTAACGAGCTTGTTGGGCGGCAGTGGTGACGTACATTGCTTGCCCACCATGGGCGCGGTAGAGCCGTCGTTGGAGAAGGCCATGGAGCCATTGGAGTACGAAGGCGCGGGGGAGAGGGGTGTTGGGCTGGGCTTCCTGTCCGCTTGTTGCTGCGACTTGGACCTCGTCGAGAGGCGCCTCATCCACGAGGGTCTGCGTATCGCAAGGCGTGCCGTTGTTTCTGATTCAGCCGTGCCCTGGTCGCTGGGAGGGTAGCTGTACAGGGCGCTGCTGGGCCGAGGAGGGGGGAGTGACAATGCTGCATCGTCGCTCGTTTTCCTCCTCACAATGATGCGCCGTTGCGAGCGGCCGTCCTGGCTCGACTGGGAGGAAAGAGGCAGGCGCGCGGCAGGTGCCAGTGGTATAGGGGCATAGTGGGAAGATGTCGAGGTGGCCGTGGTAGTCGTCGTCGTCGTCGTCGTCGCCGCCGCGGTCTGTGTTTGTACGGCAGTAGGCATTGGAGCGGGTGCCAACTCTCGTTGTGCTGGAGTGGTTTTTCTTTTGCTCGAGTGCGCCGAGTTGAAGGGGGCCTCCCGTCCAAAAGACAGACCGACGGCGGATGCACCAACGACAGTGGCAGTTGCACAAAGCTGTGTCACGAGAAATGCGTCAGTCATGGCGCTCAGTGCGACGTCAAAATACATGAATTGGCCTGGACATGGGGCAGGACGAGGCAAGACAGGCAAAGTGGCCGCCGCTCTCGGATGCAAAGGTACGGAGAGGCCTCGAGACCATATCAAGTCGACGCAAGGGCAGATTGACAAGGCCGTCCCGCGCGCGCAGAGGGAGAGGAAAACGCAGCGTAATTACCGTTGGAACCGTTTTCATTCTCGTTAGAATCCAAGCCGCCGGGGAAAGCTCTCTCGTCGAGGCACTTGTGACGAGGCGATGAGCATTATGGCATGTTAGAGAGTGCTAGGGAACCACAAATCGGAGGATGCACGACGGGTAGACGGTGGAATGAATGGAGTCAATCAGACGCGGCCAAGGGAGCATGGCATCATGGAGCGAGGTAGAGGGGGACGGCGGCAAAGGCACCCGCGCTGGGGCTGAAGCAGAGAGGTGGAGCTTCGCTGAAGAAGCGGATTGACGGACTGAAGAAATCCACTGCTACCTATTGCTTCTGGGATCTACGTACAGGGTAACAGGCCTACCCAAGCCGGCTTTGGGATTAGCGAGATGGCGCCGCTGAGGGCTGAGAGCGGCATGTCGAAACATAACACGGAGTCGACACAGGCCTCATGCCTCATTCTGTAGCGTCATAGCTCGACGCTGGGCCAGACTCTAGAGGACCTATGTAGATAGGTATGTTACCGTGGTAGGGAGCGGGCAAAAGCGGGCGACGGCAAGGTGGGCAACATGCTCTTCATGCAGCAAGGTACAGGATACAAAGACAGAGACAGCAAAGGGATAGGGATACAGGACGATATGCTCCCGTGTACAGTGTCGTTTACCCAGTGTTCCTGCATAGTCCTACGTGATGGACCGCGAAAGGCCAAAAAAGCATGTTGCCTGTCGATGCGGTCTACTAAAGATACCATAACCGTGGGACCCGCTGTACCCACTGCTGTGTCCAGTATCACCACAGTAGACTTGAATAGCAGATTATCAAGGTGTACCTAGGTAGCTATGTACCAGTGACTATGGTGCTACTATGGTAGACATACATACTCTTGAAGCCAGTCTGTGATGGTGGTAGCGCCGAGTAACCATCAACAACAACAACAATGAATCAGGGACAGTAGCGAAGGAACCCCTCGCCCGCTAAGACTTCGCCCAAAATAGCGTACCAGACAGCATCCTGGCCGACTCGTGACTACGAACGGTGATTCGCGAGTTGGCCGCTGAACTGCTCGCTGGTTCCCTGCACCCGAGTGGAGATTGTTGCTGATCGGGCGCGCAGTCTAGCAGTACACATTCCATGAACCGGCTTGATGCAGCGTATCGATGTCTACCATGTACGTACGTACATACTCTAGACGACGGTGACGGCCTGCCTTATCCAGGTTGCAGCCATGGAAGCTATTGCATGAGCCAGTTGCCTGGTGCGGTCAACGGCACGTCGAGGCGGGCCACAGTCACCATGATAGCTAGGTAGATGCGCAAGATGACAGCACCAAGCAAGTAACCGATGGCTGTACCAGTAGAGTAGGTACACACTGTCTTAGTGTTTGTGTGTGTGTGTGTGTGTACATGCGGTTGTGTACATAGCAACGCACGAGACGGCGAACATGGCCATGCTTCGGCTTCTTCGCGCTCGAATTGCAGTTTTGGGCAAAGCCTGCTCCACGTCCAGACTCAAGATGGTGGGGAATCGGAACATGGCCAGACGAAACGTCAGCCCCAGAGCGGAGAAGCTGTCAAGGCGGGAACTGAGCATGGGGGTGTGGGATATGTACTGTAGGTAGGTACAGTAGGTCGGGGACCGCCGACTGAGCTGACTTGCAGGTTGCCACCGATGTACTGTACCGGTACCGGTAGGTACTCTCCATGTTCATCCCTAGCGGTCCATGTATGCACAGCTGTATAGTATCTACTATGCAGATGGCAGACGAGAGGCCATGACAATGTTGCTTCCCGTGGAAATTGCCCGATGCCACCAATTTGCATGTTGTGGCCAAGGCGGACATGGGATCGGGCTATATGTGCCTGTACTATGTACACAAAACCTAGAGTAGGTATGTAGGTACTCTGCATCCATGGAAACAGGAGAACTGGCAGTGGAAGCGGCCGTGCCCCCATCCTTCTTCGTGATGGCGGCCGCAAACATGTATCTTCGCATCATAGGGCTGCGCTGGGCGAGCAGCTTGATACAGTGCTGACGTGACAGTGTGATGGAACGGCGAGCCAGTCTACGGTAGTGACTCCAGTCGGAGAGGCGCACAGAGCACCGACGGCAAAGCCAATGCAAGTAACCACCATGGGCATGCTTCCATGCCAGAGCACACTACTATTGATCGCAGCAAGAGAGGCCATTTGGACGCGTCATGCAGATCGGCCCTCTCATGCGTTGCGTGCATCCTAGGTACGCATGTCCGTAGGTTCAGGCTTCATACTCTAGGCCTCATGGCCTTGAGATGCTCGCAGACGCCAAAGTCTTTCCAAGGTTACACGGATCAATGTCCATTTCTTATTGAGATGTGTCTCTGGTCTGGTCTGTGTGTCACGTGTCTACCATATCCAAGCACGTTACCTAGGGTTGAAGAGGCACGCCGCTGCCACGCGCTCATTGGTTGGCCAACTTGTGTTCCTTTCCAGAAACGACCGCAACTCCACAATCGGCCGCGTCCACGATCAAATTGCAGTCTGGTTGCTGTTGCACCGGTCCAACCGTCTATCCAACTATCTGCCGTCCCACACGAGTAGCCGGCGGAAGACGCCCACTGCCCCGCTATCTACTGATTTTCACCGTACATCGTTTAGTCAGTAGCAGCAACAAAGTGACAAGCGCCCCTCCTGCTTCTCTGCCCGATCGCCGACCTTGCCAACGCCACAACTTCCACCAGACCTCCCAGTGACCTTGCCAGCATTGCCAGCGTGGGACAAGGCACCTATCCACCCCCATCGCCCGACCAGCCAGCCGCAACCATGGAGGCCGAGATCAGATCACAGATCCCCAACATCGATCCCGTCCTGTCAGAGTACTCCGTCGGCTACCTGACCCATGCTGCCAATCTTTTTTCTTCCGACTCGGATCTCAATGCCCCCTCGCCACTTGAGGAAGCCGGGGTAACCGTGAGTGCATTGCTGTTGTCGGCCTCTGGTGATCTCTCCAAGCAAAATGAGGAGGCCATCCAAAGTCTTATGAACAAGTTCATTGAAAAATTGAACGCTGCCAATGGCACAGACAATGCCCATCGCCAAGTTGCCCCGTCCGCCAAGAGGCTGGATCAAGCGATACACGTGGGTTCATCGAGAAACATTTCCTCCACCCTAGCTCTAGCAGGCGGTGCTGTCGACCTCGAATCTGCCAACACCCGTAAGGTCGAGTCCAGAGTGGATCGGAAGAAATTAGAGAAAGCAGAACGCAAGCTCCGTGCCAAACAAGACCGCAAGGAGTTCAAAAACGTCGAATACGAGGCCTCGCGACTTCTCAACCAACCTGATGAGACGCAAAGCTATGAGGAGTTCTACATGGCTGTCAATCCTTTGCAGCTGGGCGAATCATCGACCAAGAGCAAAGATATCAAGATTGATAGCTTTGATGTCTCCATGCCGGGGCTACGCATTTTGACCGATAGTACCCTCACGCTTGCCTATGGTCGTAGGTATGGTCTGGTTGGTCAAAACGGTATAGGTAAATCTACGTTGCTGCGTGCTCTCAGTCGCCGTGAAGTGAACATTCCTACGCATATTTCGATTCTTCACGTTGAACAAGAGGTCAGTTTGTCATGTATGCTTCCTGCACAAGTTTTCTGACCGGCTCGCTAGATTACTGGTGACGACACACCCGCTTTACAGGCCGTCATGGACGCCGATGTTTGGCGCAAGCACCTCCTTAAGGAACAAGACGTATGTCCATCAATTTGTTCTGAACCAGCTTCTGCTAATGTTGGTAGAAAATCACCAAGGAGTTGGCCGATATTGAGGCAGAGCGAGCTAACTTGGCGGACACATCCGCCGATGCTGCAAGGTTAGACACACAGCGTGAAGGACTCGATATCACACTGAGCGATATCCATGCCAAGCTCTCCGAAATGGAGGCCGATAAAGCAGAGTCCAGAGCTGCTAGTATCCTTGCAGGTCTTGGGTTCTCGCAAGAGAGACAAAAGTATGCGACCAAGACATTCTCTGGAGGTTGGAGGATGCGACTGGCACTCGCACGAGCCCTCTTCTGCGAACCTGACTTGCTACTACTCGATGAACCGTCGAATATGTTGGACGTACCGTCTATCACATTCTTGGCAAACTATCTCCAAAGTTACCCCAGCACAGTCTTGGTTGTATCTCACGACCGAGCTTTCCTGAACGAGGTTGCCACGGACATCATTCACCAGCACTCTGAGCGTCTTGACTACTACAAGAGCTCCAATTTCGACGCCTTCTATGCTACGAAAGAGGAGCGCCGTAAGACATTGGCGCGCGAGTATGAGAAACAGATGGCAGAGAGGGCTCATTTGCAAGCATTCATTGACAAGTTCCGATATAATGCGGCAAAGTCGTCAGAAGCTCAGTCGAGGATCAAGAAGCTGGAACGTATGCCAGTACTCACACCACCCGAAGCAGAATACACAGTTCACTTCAAGTTCCCTGAAGTGGAGAAGTTGTCACCACCCATCATCCAGATGACGGGTGTTTCGTTTGGCTACAGCAAGGACAATATTTTGCTTCGAAACGTTGACCTCGATGTGCAGCTGGACTCTCGTATCGGTATCGTTGGACCTAACGGTGCCGGCAAGACGACGGCCCTGAAACTACTCATTGGCGCGCTGCAGCCTACCACGGGTATGATTTCACAAAACCCACGTTTACGAGTCGGCTTCTTTGCGCAACATCATGTTGATGCACTCGATCTCAACGACAGTGCAGTCGGCTTCATGTCGAAGCAATACCATGGCAAGGCAGATGAGGAGTATCGTCGCCACCTGGGAGCATTTGGTATCACGGGTATGACGGGCCTGCAGAAGATGGCGCTGTTGTCGGGAGGTCAGAAGTCGCGGGTAGCATTTGCTTGCTTGGCGTTGCAGAACCCCCACATTTTGGTTCTGGACGAGCCTTCGAACCACTTGGACATTGAAGCCATGGATGCGTTGTCCGAGGCATTACAAAAGTTCCAGGGTGGTGTGCTCATGGTCAGTCACGACGTCACGATGCTGCAGAATGTATGCACGAGTCTATGGGTTTGCGACAATGGTACTATTGAACACTTTGACGGGACGGTCAAGGACTACAAGCGCAGGATTACAGCGCAGGCCAACGAGGCTGGAGTGGTAGCCAAGCATTAGGCAGAGCAGGATAGATATGGTAGGTAGATAGGTATATGAAGATGAGGCTAACGGCCAAGCCCGACAGACATATATATATACGTATATGTTGCTGGATGTACCAGGTACCTATCGGCCTACCTAACTCCCTACCTCCCTACATACATACATACATACACGATAGAATACAATTGAACTGTTTTAGGCTGTGTGGCAGTCTTCTCTTTTCGATGCTGTCGTGATGGATCATGGGCCTCTCGCTGGGCCTCTCCCGGCGGCTACCCATTGCAGTATTGACGTTGGCAAGCACGCTAATCCCAACTCGACGCATCTCATTACACTCTTTCCGTAGTTAGCAGTTAGCTTCACACCGCGTCCCATTATCCATTCATCTCCACGCTTGACAACCAACCCTCATCCTTCCCCCCCACCCAGCAGCCAGCAGCACCACACGCCTGGTGACACGGCACTCTCATCGCGACGACACACGCCTTTTGTTTTGCTCTCCAATGCGCCTAGCCAGCTCGTGATCTGCCACGTGCACCCATTCCACTGCCCGCGGACTTGGCTACTAGCGCTTCTGCCCCTTCACACCCTCCCATCACTTCACCCGCCGTGCACTTGACGCGACGACCGGCACCTTGTCGCGCCCGCAAGCTCCTGGTACAGACGGCTTGTCCGTAGTCACTCATTTGCCTCCGAATTCCAGCGACAGCGCCCGCGATAGCCAGAGCGACAACGACAACGACAGCGACCCTTCGCGCCCTCCGTACTCGGCCTCGCAGAACATCAACGCAGTGCTAACCAGCGCTGGAGAGTCTTCGTTACCCCCGCCATTCTCTTCGCTTTTTTTTGCTCTTCAAGGTTCGCACGACGAGCGCAACAAGGCTCTCAGCAGCACCGAAGAAGAATCGCCGCCCGCATTCGCTTCTGCGCCGCCCTTCACCGAGTCCTCGTCCTCCGCCGCTGCCACTGCTGCTGCTGCCGCTGCCGCTGCCGCAACCAAAGCAGCCCTCCCGCAGGATACAAAGGACGCCTCCAGCAGCAAAGACCTTGACGACGGCGAACCTCCCCCACCCTACAGCGAAGGCTCCAGTCCGCTCGAGTCGTTTACTTACGTCATGGCTTCCGCAGGAGGTCCCGCGAGCATCATCACGCAGGTGTCACAAACAAGTGCTGGACCGCCCATCAACACCCTTGGAGGATCGGACGAGAACATCACTTTGGAGCTAAGGTATCAGAGACAAGGACCCATATTCATGTGTACAGTCGAGCTAATCCATGTACAGAGGGTCGCGCTTCACGCTTTCCCGTGATGAACTCCTAACTCTCCCCGAATTTGTTCTTCTCTCTCTATTCCCCAATGGCTTGCTCCCAGACGGCCATATGAACTCCTACCACGATGGAGATGTATACCCAGTCGACGTCGGTAATCCCCATGCTCCATCTCCCACCCCATCCCCCAGTCCCCTTGCCAAGATCGTCTACCATCTTTCCAATCCGGCTATATATTTATCTGACAATCTGTATCCATCACAGTATGATCCGAATTCCCTTCAGTACATGCTGGAATTTTTCCGCACAGTGGCTCAAACCATCCCCGCATCTCCTCCTTCACCCACCGCAACCCCCGAACACACCGCTGAGGCTGTGCCCATTGAGCCTATGCATGGCTCTGCCAGAGACATGCTACAAGATCGCGCTGGCATAATCGTTCTTCGAGAGGACCTTGATTTTTACGCGATTCCCCCTCACCGCGACATCACTCAACCGGAAATGATCGAGGTCAAGCGAGCTGCAGGCGAGGCACTCCTCGAGCAGAACGGCATCTTTTCCGGTCTCAGGAAGAGCGAAGAGCCAGGCACGACTGAACAGCATCTGATCGAGATGTTGACTGCAGGGTAAGAAAATTTTAGTCTTCTCTCGCGTTATGCTGGATGCTGATTATTTATAGCGGTTTTAACCATGACGATCGATGGGGTCACCGTGCTGGTGAGCCTAACAAGGCTGTCATCTGCAGCATTGCACTTGCTCGGTTGAGAACCGACATCAAAGGCAATGATATTGCTAACAGTAACGCCGTTGGAATGGCGCAGAAACTGCTTCTCTTCTGGCGCAAACCTGCGCGTCGATGCTGGTGGGAGGGTGTTGAACTAGAGAATGTGAGGGGTGTTGAAGGCAAGTTGAAAGTATGGATCAGAAGAGTATGGACACTAGAGATGGTATGTCTGCCCCCGCAGCCGAACACTGCGACAGAACACTAACTGCCCGGACAGAGTGTTATTGGCCTTCGTTGATACCCTTGTTTCCTTTTCCCCGGCTATTTATATGCCTGCCCCAAAAATCCTTGACATTCGACATAGCAGCCCAGTGAAAACTCGAAAAGCATGAGCGGATGGCGGGAACTATTTGCGTTTCCATGTTTTTGATACCTCTCACTGCATCTTGTCTATTGCACAGACAAAACTCCCGCGGGACACACTTCGATATCCATAGCAAGCGTTGGTACAAAGGTTTCGATACAAGAGTCTTTCTCCCAATTTTTTCTGTCTTTTTCCCTTAACTCTCTCTCTTTCTCCCTCTCTTGGACACGCGGCGGAGAACAGAAACGTACATGTGCTTTTGTATAGTAAGTACCCAGTAGCAATATTCGAGGCCCGTAGTAAATTGTAATATCATCCCCCCCCCGCGCCCCCAACCCCAACCCCACGCATCACCAAACCTAATTTTATCCACAACACCGGGGCCCGAGGCCCTGCACAGCAGGGTCAGTAGAGTATGTACAAGGCCCATGCTACGCGAGATCTCTGGAAAGGAGAAGGAAACTCTTGGGTCGTACACTCGATTGACCCCTCGCATGGCGTCTTGCTAACCCCACACAAAACTTATCACCCGATTAACGGC